TCACATTTTGCCGGAGCAGGTTGTAGAGTGGTGCCAGTAGCTGGGACATTTGAGGTAGAAAGCTTCTGTAGTAGCTGATAAATCCCAGGCAGGAACGAAGCTCGTGTAGGTTTTGTGGTGCTGGAACCATCATGATGGCTTCGAGCTTTTGTTCTGATGGATGAAGTCTATCTCTATCGATCTGGTGACCCAGGTACATGACTTGTTCACAACCGAGTTCACACTGTCTTCCCTTAGGCGAATGCCATTTTCCCGGAATCTACTGAGCACTCTCCGGAGGGTCTTTCCAAAATCGTGGGGTCCCTCGGCGACTAGGACATTGTCCAAAAAGACTTGAGTCCCTGGGATCCCCTGAAGGATGTTCTTCATCTTCCTCTGGAATAATGCAGGTGCAGAGGCGATGCCATATGGAAGGCGATTATAGCAGTACAGTCCTTTGTGCGTGTTGATGACGCACGCGTTTCTGGATTCCTCGTCCAAGGCGACATCACAGTATGCCTCTCGCAAGCCAAGTTTGGAAAACCAGTAGCCACCCTTCAAAGATGCAAACATATCCTCAATTCGTGGAAGCAGGTACTGCTCCAAGTCACAGGCAGCGTTGAGTGTCGCTGAGAATTGTCACCGCAGATACGGATTCCGCTGTCTTTCTTCGTGACGGGTACCACGGGGGTAGCCCAGTCGGCATGAGGTACTGGTGATAAGGTTCCACTCCTGCATAACCTGTCCAGCTGTGCCGCCACCTTGTCGCGCAGTGCATATGGCAGTGAGTGTGCTTTCGGGAACTTGGGGTTGTCATCCTTCCGCAAGTTGAGGTGTGCAGGGGGACCCTTCATCAGGCCTGTTCCCTCTTCGAACAGGTCTTTGAACTCTTCTTTTAGTCTTTGACTATGATTGCCACACAGTTGTCAGAGGGCAGCAGGCTGCCGACGTGTTCAGCAGACAGAAGCTGTAGCTTCTGGATCATGTCGTGACCATACAGGATTGGGCTCGGGTAGTCCAGCACGTGCAAGAAACCATTTGCTTGCTTGTCGCTGTTTTTTACTGGTAGGTGCAGGGCTCCCACCACTGGCAGTTTTCCAAGGTAGCGATATAGACTTGTGTCCGTTGGACTGAGTGGAGGCCATGAAGCAGCATGTTTGCTATATGTGTCTTTAAAGATGACACACATGGGTGAGCCAGTGTCCACGATCATGTTTAACGCCACTTTTTCCCACTGGAGAGGCTTGACAATCGGTTGAACCGCTGACGGCGCCGTATTCACCGAGCACAGGTGCTGCGACGGATTGTTTGGTTCCGCATAGTCTTCACCAGTCGACAAGGTGTGTGCGTGAAACTGTTGGGGTCATCCTGGTTTCCGCTGGTAGGCCGGGCAAGCACTTGCCAGGTGTCCTTGTTTCTTGCACTTGAAACATGTTGTCGATCTATGAGGACAGTTGGGTGGAGTGTGTGTGCTGTCACTGCAACGAATGCAAGGTTGTGCTGAGCTCTTCTGAGACTTCAGCTGGGTTTTCTTTTGAAAGCGTCCTTTCCTTTCCGTGGTCTGCATATCTGCATAACGCTGACCTCAGTCGTTTGCGGCAAAGGTTGGGCCGTGTTAGGCAGCTGGGTGACATTTTCCGTTGCCACCTCTGCAGCTCTTGCGATTCCGAGCGCCTCATTCAGGTCCAAGGTCTTCGGCTTAGCCAGTAGCACTTTCTTCACAGTTTTGTCGCACAGTCCAATGACGAAGCGATCACGGGAGTTCCGCTCGAGCGCAGCGCCGAAGTTGCAGTCTGCGATCTTCCGGAGCTCGGCGACATAGTCTGCCACCTTTTTGATCGGCCCTTGAACCCATGTTTGAAAATGGTAGGTCCGGTAGATCTCCGAGGGCTTCACGTTAAGGTGCTGTGCCAAGATCTTGAGAGTTTCCTCATAGGCCTTGTCCTTGGGCTTTTTAGGTGCCAAGAGGCTTCGCAGACACGCAAAAGTTTCGGGTCCCACCGACGTGATTAAAATTGAACGTTTCCTCTTACTGTTCATGAGGGCGTTTGCCCCGAAAAATGCTTTGAGCCTTTCGGCGTAATTTGTCCATGATTCGACGAGCAGCAAGTGTTCCAAATGTCGGCCTCGACGTTAGTTGCGACATGGTGTGCTTGGAGCTGGATGCTCACCGTTTTCCGAGTAGTAGTAACTCGCTCGTTCAGCCACCACGGGTGGGTTTATTTTCGTCGCCAGTGTTGTGTCGGTTGGGGAAAACATACTTATCTTGTAGTCGCATCTAGTTTATTATCGGATTAGGTTACATCGTTGAGTTGGAACCTCATGGCGGTTGCATAGAACAAGAAGAATGGCACCTCGTGCGCGGGCAGTCCACTGGAAGATGCTGGCCCCCTGGTGGTCAAATACACATGTACACCAGTGACAATTCCACAGGTATATTTTGCCCGTCATTGTTGGTTTAAGGAAGAGTACCACCAGATAATAGCCATACCTAGTGCCATCGAAACGCCTCACAACGCTTTCCACAAAGTTCATTGCTTTCGGGTGCTTTTTGCCAACGCAGCAATTCCCAGTAATTGTGGCAATGGTAAGAAACTCTTAGTCTTTGCTGTCAGAAAAGCTGAGGAATTCATTGAGTGCCGCTGCGAGGTGCGTTAGCGCAAGGTCGCCACCTCGGTGGACTGCGCGTCTGCTATTCCCGCTCCTGGCTGCAATGCCTGATGGGACTGCACCCTGGCGCACTGTCGATATTCTCTGCATGTTGGGAGGCAATGAAAAGCCGCACTGGCAGGGTGCGCTCTGTTGATCGAGGACGTCCGGTGGACACCGGTGCACTTGATCGAAGACGAAGGGGCGCACCCCGGTGTACGTGCGGATGATCAAGGATGCTATTGGTCGGAAGTGCTACGACCAGTGTTGCCAACTCAGAAATTGAAAACCCGCAGTCAAAATCCCGAAAACCGCTAAATCCAAAATACAGCGCAAAAATGACTTTTTAACAATTCATTTTTGCTTTAATTCGTGCCCAAAAGTATAATAACAGTATACATCAATGTCATTTGAAAGGAAGCTTTTCTTTTGTTTTGACTAGAAATCTGACACAGTCGTCTGCCTGCTAGAGGAGAAAGGTACAGCAGCCGAAACATGCTTCTTCGTTGTAGCGCGCATGACCAAATCCATGTGCTTCGCAAATAGTTCCGTTCTGCAATAGCGGCACCTGGCTTATCTGCTATCTTTAGGAACCTCCAGTAGCCAGTCTTTAAAGGGGCCCTCCGGAGCTTTCTGCGATCGTCTGTTTATGTTGTTATAGTATTGCGTAGTAGGTGCAAGTTAATATGTACACAAAGTTTTAGATTACGAAACCTGTTATTAAGCAGACGGCAGAAGAAATATATCGGGACTATTTTCTCTTGGAAGACAATCCCCCATTCCCTGCCCATCGCTAAAACTTGACCAATGGAAATGCTGCATCTCGCGGTGAATGCGAACGTTATTATTGCAACACTTTTTAAGCTTGTTGTAAATTAGAGTTTGAGAAAAACGTAAACTGATTGTGGTGCGGGAAACATAGTCCGCAATTATCGCTCCTAAACTAGCGAACTATGTTTTCTCCCCGCAAGCTTGTTGCTAGGGGGAGATGCGTCGGCGCGTCGGCCCGTCTGCTTCCCGGGGCGTCTGCAGGCGTGTGTTTGCGGGACACGTGTTCCTTCTTCCCGTGGATCCTGACTCCGAAGCCAGCTTTGCGATCCTTCCACGTCAACAAGTCAAACTTTTCCTTGTCATCTGTGGAATGCGACTGCGTATTGCAGTAGCAGCGCGACGGCGCGATGCGACGAACGACGACTGCCGAGCACAGAGTCCGGGCTCCTTGATGACGGTCCGCACGTGTTCGAGAGATTCCTCCGCAGGTCGGCGGTCGGCTGCGTTGGTGACGTGCAGTGACGCTGGAATCCTTCGCTTGCTATTGGCTGACGCGTAAAGAGATGCCCCTCCCGTTTTCCGGGGTCATCTCAAAAAGGGGGGCGTGCCGGGGACTTTGATAGCAATTTTAATAGGGAAATCCGCCGCGCATGACCGTAATTTTATGATTTTTAGGATCCTTAGGGCCTGTAGATTGAGTTACCACCATAAATAGACCATCGCAGAACGCTCCGGAGGGCCCTTTTAAGTTTGGGGTCTTGTAGCCAGTTTTTTCTAAACTTTTGAGCGTACTTCACCGGGCCCATTTCACGAAGCAGTGACAAAAACATCAAAGGAACATTGAAACATTCATGCTGTTCATACGTGCGTGCACAAAGCAGGGAGGTATGTTCTGATATTCGACGCCTTCATGTTTTGATGACGTCACAGGCGTTACTCTCACAAACCAGAACATTACTGAGAGTAGACGACTGTGGTTGATTATAGGTATGACGGGTGCATAGTTGACAGTGAATCAATATAGAACTTCTGTGTGTCTAGAAAACCACCAAGATGACATAATTACAGCTAAAAATCCTGCCGCTCGCAAAACAATAATTTATCCCACTAAACAAAACCAAAAACCGCTAAGCGTAGCGGGAAAACCACTAAATTGGCAACACTGGCTACGACTTCTGTTTCTAACCTGACCTGTGCAATCCCAAACATTGAATCTTTGGAAACATATAGGTGCCTCCACCTAATATAGATGTTCTATCGAAAATTACACCTGTTGGAATCATAGCTGTCAAGGTAATAATTTCACTGGTTGAGCCATTGAAATGATTACCTTGACAGCTATGCCTTGACAGTTATTAATTCCAATGGTTGTTTCCATTCATTGCTCAACTGCTTCAAAGTATGCCATCTCCACAGTGTAAAAAAAAATTAAATGGGAGGACACACAGAAGAGAACCTGGCACTGGTAAACGAAGCAGCTAGCAGCGATACAGGTGGGGCATTGTGGTCAGTTCCAGAGTTGTCTGTGTTGAGCTAACTGATGTTATACTTTTCTTTACAACACTCAGTTTTCAACTGGTTGCATGTAATCCTCTTCACAGTCCGGCCAGCACGGAAGCCAACAACTGGGCAAGGCTTCGCCGGTATGCGGCCTACCTCGAGCGCCAGGTTCCAGGAATTCCACGAGCGAAGGAGATTTTCTTGGAGCTCAAGGACATGAGTTTTCGCTTCATGGATGACTTCTTTGCAGTCTGCACAGAGACCAGTGTGCAACCCTGTCATCTAGTAGACAGGTTTGACTTCTGGAACAGTTTCTTGCAAGAGATGAACATGGAGCTGTCAGAAAAGGAAGCTGGAAGATTTGGCCTACATTACGCAGCTGTGTGGAACATGCCAGACGAGAGAAGACGGTCCTACTTTTTGTTGCACTGGCTCCTCAAGCAGCATTGCTGCATAAAGACTCTTTGGATTGAGCACTCTTTCGCACCCGAGTACCTGCATCTTCTTTGCGACGCTCTGCACCTCAACTGTGGACTCGAAGAACTGGTGCTGAGGTGCAAGATGGATGGTGAAGCACTTAAGATTCTCATACCAGCTGTCAGTACTTCGCTGAAAAGTCTCGTGAGGCTAGAAATGAGTTCTTTCAGGACTCCTGAATGTGCACTAGATTCATTGGGAGCAGCTTTACAGAAGGCTTCCGGACTGGCATCCCTAGATTTACATGGTATCTGCATGGACGTTCACAATGCCGAGTTGCTGCTAAGCGGGCTGGCCACCTGCCCCAGCCTTGTGGAACTTTCTGTCCAAGACTACTTCCTTCTTCCTAGGGAGGGTGCAGTCCTTGCAGAGTTTGTTGCAGAGAGCAGTGCCTTGAAGCAGTTCCGCTTGACATGTGCTGTATGTTTTCAGATGAAGCCACTCGAGACCTTTCTCAAGGGATTGGCATCTAATCGCAACCTCGAAGAACTGCGTCTGCTTGGCTTTGACCTGGAGAAGCCCACAACAGACTTGCTTGTCGAAGCAGCTGCAAACCATAGCGCCCTGAAGATCCTGGATGTTGGCTGTTCTGATGAGTTAATAGATGGAGGTTCCTTTGCCAAGCTTGTAGCACGCAACACTGGTCTTCGTGAGCTTATGTTAATTGGCAGTGATACCAGGTGCGTTGCTGCATTTTCTGGGGCCATTCTCAAGAACACCAGGCTGCAGAAACTGCAGCTGAGCCTGATTGGTATGAAGATTGACAACTACAGGGAGTTGCTTGAGGCCCTTTCTTGTAACCTGTCGCTTCAGGAGCTTGACTTTGACTATGTCCCAGATGTCTTTTTGGGAGACCTCTGCCAACTTGTGCAGGAGACGGGAAATCGGGGCAGGGTTAAGATTCAAGCTGACTTTGAGCATGTCCAGGTGCTTACAGATGCCGTGAAGAAGTGCTCTGCACTGACGCAGATGTCATATTCACCCGAACGTGACGGGCCCCCCTTGCCCCGCAATGCGTTCAGTGAACTGATCCACTATCATCAACTGATGAAGCTAAGCATTTATGGCCGCTACGAAACAATAGAAAGCGAGTGCCTCAGCGACCTGGCTCTCTTCCTGTCAAGGACCACGACTCTGAAGGAAGCCTACCTCCACTTCCGTACAGCAGGTGCGTCCAGCGGAGTCCTTCTGGAAGCAGTCCTTCGAAACCGGAGCCTCTCTAAGCTGTGGATCTGCGACTGGACCTTCGAGCAAGGTGATCTACAACGACTCTGCGATATTGTAAGAACTAACAGGAACTTGAGGGAACTGCACCTGCACCTTACAAACTGCAGAGAAAATTGGGTAGCCTACTCACTGGCAAAGCACATATACAGCAACTTATCCTTGCTCAGAGTGACGGTTGATGTGCACCGTTGGCACGACAGCAAGGTGGCTCAGCTGCAGATACACAGAGCCACCCAGCGTAACTCATTGATGCTGCTACGTGCGGTGCAGTTTGTGACGGGGTCTCGCGGTAAACGGTATGCCGAGGCCTTCGAGAAGATCTTCGACTTGCCATCCCTGGTGGAAGCTGTTCAGAAGTCTGCAAATGAACATGAGCAACAGGCCAAGGAGATGGTGAAGAGCAGCAAGCGCTTCCTTGACTACAACTTCTTGGCCGCCGTCGGTGTTGTCAGAGATGCCGTGGTGTGCGAGCCCAACGGCCAGTCCCAATTGGATTGCGTCGGCTTGGACAACTGGCTTCAGATTCGGCAGTACCTCAAGGTTGCCGACATCAAGCCGGAGCCTGTGGTGGGGTTCTATAGGCCAAGACGTCCACAGAAGAGAAGCCGTCTTCACTGACCTCAAGCTAAGTTGCTGCTGCGTGTTCGTGCGTGCATCCAACTACCTGGTGCCTAAGGGACATGCCCTCTGCATTCGCAGAGTTCTGCAGGATGAAACCAGATTATCGTTAAGTTCATTGTTACTCACTTTGTGTGAAAAAAACTAAAAAAACTGTACACCAAAGTCAGTTAAATTAAATTCCCAATACATTTTTAACTTTCTGTTCTGATATTGTGTGTCTTGCTCTAAATTCCGGGGAGCAACAAAAAAAAAGGGGGCGAGAGCCATTTTGTTTTTTTTTAGACAAAGTCTGGGAGATTAGGCTTCTATGTTTATTTCTTTTTTTTTTTTTTGAAGGAACATAAAGAAAGATTTTGCAATTGCCTGCATACATTGTTTGAGAAGCTGGCATTTTCCTCTAGATTTCTTTTCAGGGGTGGAAGCAAGTTTCAGCCCTTTGTAGCAGATCTGGGAGCAAGCAAAGATGCCCCTTTTGGGCAGCTTTGGAGCCACAAAAGTAGTTTCGTAGCAGCATAAGTAAATCTTGGAGTTGGTCACCCAGGTCAAACTTGGGGCTATAAATGCGGAGGTGTTTTTCTAAATACAAAATGAAAAAGCATCTCAGTGTAATGTTCCAGAACCATTTCCAAATATACCCTTTCCTTAATATAATCCAGCCCATAGCCTAAAAAAAGCCAAACAGAGTAATTGCAATTTATTTCAATGGCAGCTATTGAGAACTACCCTGGTAGTGGGTTGGTTCCTCTTATGGATTTCCAATAGAATGCATGGGCAACAAAAGTTTCATGAAAACAAAACATTCCTACCTAACAGCCCAAATCACAAGTTCCACGAGTTGAAAACAAAACCATTTCGAGATGCAATAGTATGGTATGTAATAAATCTCAATACTTCTCGACTAAATTTTTCATTATCGGGAAATGCAAATGTTCCAAGTCCCCATTTAGCAAACACAAAGGTATTTCAACACAAGTTAGCAGGATAGAAATCTACTCTATCTGATAAAAGTACAAATGCAAAATATTGAAAACTTCATATCATCCCTGCTCATACGTATGTGCTTAAGCCCTTGCTAGAACAAGCATGACTGAATAGAATTTTAAAAAAAGCTTGTTTAAGAGTTTGTTAAGAACAAAAGACCTACATAACAAGTGTTTACAGAGGCAACCAATTATCGCTTTTATTGTTATGTTTAGAATAGAGAGCAAAAGCAAACACCCTAAAGGCTCAAGCAACGAAACAAATTTATGCCAAATGTTTAATTTTGTAGAGTAGTTATCGCTTTCTCCAGAGATTAGACGACAAATGAACATGCCAGTAGGGTCCCTCTCATTTCGTCGAAACTCGTTTCATGGATAACTTTTTATGGACACGCGTTTCATCAACAGTCATTACGCGAATTGCACGCTGTAAAGACATTTCGTCACGTGGTTTATAATGAAAAATACAGCCATCCAGGTTCAAAATACAAATGTGCAATTGTCATTTATGGATTTTGTGGATCATAGCCTTTTTCTGAACTCAACAAGTCTATTTCGTTGAAGTATCCCTTCAAACAACCAACTCGTGCGGTTCTCTCGTGCTGCTGGAGCTCGACAGCTCATCAATACAAGACCATAAAACGAAACGCAACACTGTTTATTTACCTGGTCCGAAATGAATCATGATAATTCTCGTTCTATGAAAATAGACACTTGGTGCCTGTTTTCATAAAAATAATTAACTGATTTGATAACCATAAAAAAAAAAAACTTTTTTTTTAATTAGTTTTGGTGCAACGTTTTGTGCTTGGGAGCAAGATGGTGTAGCGATAGCGGATTGGCGCACACTGGCGCAGCACTTCCACCCCTGCTTGTTACTGCAACTGGAGGCATCTTGCTGCTGTCTCATCATCTATATTTTTACTATAGTTTGTTTCAACATAAAAAAAACTTGGAGGATGCCTAAGCTTTGTCTTTAAGAGTGGAACGCGATAGCATTATCAGGCCCTGTTTGCATTGCCTTCTCATGCGCTTCTCATACTTTTCCTGCCAGTGAGCAGGAAGTGTGGCGGACATGGCCTAGCGTGTCCGGCTCGCAACCAAAGGGTTGCGGATTTGAATCCCGCCCAAGATTCTTCTTCGCTTTACATGTCATGTTTTTATTCACTTCCACTCCATGCGCGATGTCACGTTTCCTGCGAGCGCTGCGGGTTGTTGGAAATTCCCGGGTGAGGTCATGTGACTGCAACGCCATGACCCTATCGATCAGTCGGGATTCTCCCGTCGCAACGCCACCGACGCCGTCTTTTCTGCCATGCCACCGAGGCTGCCTCTTTGACAAACAATTTCATCACTATGTTGCTCAACATATACGACGTACACCATTTGCCAAATGTTGCAAGGGCACCCATTGGCACCCTTTTTGGCCAAAAGCCAGCCCAAGGCTGGTTCTTGGGCATTGAAATAAGTATCTCCCATAGTTCTTATATTCTAGCTGAACATACTACTACCGTAAAATACCGGCGAAGCACCCTCCCCATTTTTACTAAAAACTGGCTTAATCCAGACATGGGCGCTTGCCCGGGCAAATTGTGCAGCTAACGTATAATTTGCAAAATTCCCAAATTTGGGAAATGCTAATGGTGGGCGCTGGAACGAAGTGTGAACATCTGCGGTATTTTACGGTAGTCGTGTGCGAATAGTGGATTTTGAGTTAAAAGCAAATAAAAGGTTTTGGCCAATAATTTTTTTTTTTTTAATGGAATAGTTTCTTCAAGCATTTCACTACTGACATTATGCTTTAACGAAAACCCAGCTAAACTTGTGAAGGTTGTTGCCAAACTTACACTTGTCCATTTATAAGCTAGATTTATACATCGGAAAAATTTATGCCTGGAATAACAAGTGAACAACAGATTTGACAAAATTAAACCTATACAGAATTCCAGCTATACCTACTTGAGTGGATTTATAAATCTTGCTACATGCAAATACTCTTTCTTCAATGTCAAATATGAAAAAAAAAAAAAAAAACCAATCACGAATGATGAATGCAGGTTGTCAGCATATTTGCCCAACATACTGTTGCATTGCAGCTATTTTAATTTTGAAAAATTCACTGTAATGTAGATATCAACATTCACAAAGCCTTATTTCTTTCTAAATACACAAAACATGCACGTACACCATCCAATTTTAAAGTGCTTTTCCCAAGTGTTGATCGCAGTGGGTTACCCCAATGAACGCGCTTCTTACCGAGCACAGCTGCAACGTGGAGAAGCAGCACCTGCAGAGCTTGCTTCTGCGGGTGTCGCTTCTCCGCAGTGCATCGGTGCTAAGCAAGAAGTGCGCTCAACGGGGTTAACCCGCCACGATCGACACTTCGAAAAATACGAAGATTGCGGTTCCTCTCGAAGCGAATATCGAATTATTCTAAACTACTATTTGCAATTTTGAATATCTACTCAACACAAGAATATACAAATCATTTTAAGGCCGTGAACTTTGCACTTTCCCTTTTTCAGGTTAGGGTCGGGTAAAAGGCGATTGCATGCCCTGCAGATGGTGGGGTAATGGCAATGTTTGCTCTATAGACCCTTTCCGAAATTAAGCCTATCCGCTTTGATCACTCCTGTTGTCCAGGGCCATACTGGTTACTGACGAAGGAAGTTGAAGATGCTCCTAGGCGGATAATGCAAGGACTACACATGAGACGTTAGTGCAATGTGATGCAGGAATCCAACTTGGGTCCAGTCAATCCGTTGGTGGCACACAATCGGCTCTAAAAACCTTTCAAGTATAGAATCTGACCAAGGTGTCTATGCAAGTTGGCACTTCATCCTAACCCCTTTTACTTTTGTCACTATCGAAACTTAAAAAAATGGGCAAAGATCTACACAATGAAAGGCACATTCTCATCTGCTGCCGACTTCCGAAAGCGACGGTGCCCGATAAAATAAATACCGCGTACTACAGGTTCCTTACCGCCATCAGTGTGGTAAAAGGTAAACTATTATCCAAGCCTCCAGGTGGCATAGAATATAGGAAACGCCAGGTACCGACAGGAGTTGGATCGCCTGTTGTCCTTGGTTCACCCAACTTGTCTACTCGGGCCAGGGGCTGGTCTCGACACTTGGGGAAAAAAATCGGCGGAGAGTCTGGTCGGCCGCGATTGGCCGGTGCTGTGCTCAACTTGGACGCTGGCCAATCGCAGCAGTCGAATCCCTCTGCAACTCTTTCGCCAAGGGTCCGGATTACAGCGCTGGTATTTCACGAACCAGGCAAGCTGGCTAAAAGGTCTGCTGCCCTCATGCCATACGAGACTTCTTTCCATACAACCCGCACATAAAGCCTGCCACTGCTCATGGCGTCGGTGAAATCGACGCAAAAGACTGGACACCACGCACAAGCGTAATAAGCGACATTCGTTTTATTTACTGTACCAACACACGGCTGCATCCACAAAATACTGCGGCATCTCTCGCACGACCCAACGTTTATATATTACCCACGATAAAAAAAAAAAAAAGTAAAACTTGGACATTTGGACAAAGACTTGAGCACACCCGGAGCTAGACAAAAATTGAAAACGGCGGACACTTCTTTACGCTCGCCAACGGCGGCGGGAACTGCTTCGTTTGCTCAGACGAAGGACACTTGTGGACGACACGATCGAGGCGTCGCGCCGCCGATTGCCGGCAACCCGAGAAATGCGAGGCGCACTTTCAACGACGTGACCATTAGGGTAAGGAAGCGGACCTATTCCGAAGCGATGAGCAATCTCACAACCGGCGGCACCTCGCGTTTGTCGAGCTGCGGGGAACCAACCGCGGCGATGAGGAGGAGAGACGGACCCTGATATGCACGAGCCGGCGGGGAAGAGCAATGTTTTAAAAATCTTCGAAGTTGGCCTTTTCTATTTTCTTTCGTAGTTCGTTACTAGCGGCTTTGCGCTTGCAATCCCTATAAAAGCATCTAAAGCGATCTAGTACCGAGGTCGCAAAGAGCGACCTGCGACACGCAGCCTTGAGGTAGACGCAACCCGCGGAAAAACCTCGGCAGAGTTGGCTTTTAGGACCAAGTTCCAATGCTCGCACACGTTTTTGGTCGATAGTTCGTTACAATACCGCACGTTTGGCGTAAAGGCAACTGATACTACGTCGATAAACCGACGGTGAGTCGCGTGCACAAGATTGCAAACCAAACTTTAGGGCTTTCGCTTCGAAAGTTGAGAAAAATGTGTTGAGCTCTTGCAACCCTAGAATCGTGGCTCTCGGTGGGCATAAATGGTTGGTAGGTGAGCGACTCTAAGGGGGCGGAGCAAGCTGAACTAGCGTCGCGTCAATCGGTCGGTCTTTTGGCGGTGTACTCTGCAAACCAACACATTATTTAGGCATGCTTCCGAGGAGGGAGCGTTCTAAGCACACTTAAAACATCCAGGTCGTACAAAAACCGTAGCACACATCCCTTGCACATTTTTTTTCGGGAAGCTACGGCCAATGTATTGAAATGATGCAACCACCATTGATCGTACATGGTTGTTCACATGCCCGGCAGACTAGAATGCTAACATATACAAGCACCTAAAGTAAATAGAGGAACCCCAGAAAAAACAAGAGGCGGCCATCTTATTTTGTTTGAACATTGCACGCAAAGTAACGGACTAGCAGAAACCAATGCTTCAGAGACAACACACAAGACGGTGCCCCGCAACGTTTCCTTTAACTTTCTCAAAAGTCTATGCGTCTTCCGAAGTGCCGGACGGAAACGACCGGACGAGGCAACTTTCGTCGTGCGACCACGTTCCGCTGAGAGGGGTCACGGAAACAAACGTCGCGACGCTTGCAACCTTTCACCGCCGAGCACAATGCAGAATTAACGCAGCTAGCGACCGGCTATGTACAGGCGCACACACGGAGTGACAAAACGACGATTCATATATTAAATATAAACACTGCATTTTCTTCCACCTCACAAACAGCCCTTCAAGGTGTTTGAACTAGCCCAAGCGAGACCGGTCCAGTCGAACGAACCTTTCGCTTCTTTTAAATGCTTTGGTAGAAGAGCCGTTCGACTGCCCTGGTCGTAAAGCGGGGCGTCCCCTTGACGGAATCTTTCTCGCAAGTACGGCACCCATTTCCGTCGCCGTGACGCGCCTGCTTCCGCCGACTGGAAAATCGGGCCTTCTGCCGTTGTAGTGCAGTTCCTGCGTTCCGTAAAATCTACGAGTACCTGGCCGTGGACTGGGCGCCTTAAGATGTGAAAGACTTGGTTCATTGTCAGACCTAAAACCTGGAGAACGGTTCGAAGAAACTGGCCGAGCACTTGAAACTGTTCACATCCGCCGATTGTCGATAGGAAGGACTAGAGTTTTGATCTCCCCCCTTTTTTTTTTCCCCCAGAAATCTGTAAACGCAAGAGTTCTATTACATATTTCACTTCGTCTTTTACTTTGTGTGACCAGCTTCATAACTGCCTTTTGAGTCCTTCCAAATGAAGCATCAATTTTCACGTCGAGATGTGTTGCATGCTGTAACCTGACCCAACGAAGCTGTCGACACTTTGACTGTTAAAATCATTTTAAAAGAACAAACAAATCAAACAAAAACGCCTTTCACAGGCTGTTGCAGTCTACCGAGACCATCACAAATGCTTCTGCCAAATTGACGCAACATTAACCTGTAAAAAGAAGTGCACAGAATAAGTACAACATGAAAACTAAACACCCAGAAAAGAGTGAACGGGGGGAAAAAAATAACTAGTAAAACGACCAACAAAGTCCATAATCTCGGCCGTGAAAGCCCAGTAATCTCGGACGTCTGAAAACTGGAGTAGTCTCAAGCAGAGGACATGGCCGGCACGTGCATATGTTGCCGGCAGACTTCAGCACTCTGGGAGGTAACTGTGCATGATGGGGATCATGAAATCGTCCATGTTGGGCATGACCAAGATCCTCTAAAAACCGGAAAGAAAGAAAAATGAGAGGAAAAATATCAACAACATGTTGGCCTGAAACGCCCTCTAAATTTACTCTGCCAGTTCCTCGAAATATAGGGTAACACAATGTAACAGAGCGCCGACAAATACCGTTTGTAGCGAGTGTGAAACAGCCCTGCAAATTAATTTTTTCATGTAAAGAGCCAATCGCTGCAAGTGGCAGTTGATCGGCAAAGCACAGGACGCCGACGTGCTCGGAATAGCGAAGGAGATTTCGGCTTTGGACGCAAACACAATCTGCACCTTACGATTCCCTCATCTTGCCAATCAATCACAATGGGCCAGCTACATGCAGTACATGACAGTAAGCTTGCAAAGATTCCCATAAGTTAGGTCATCCCCAAAAATTCTCGGTGGCTTTGGTGTTTGAAAAAGTCCGTTAAAGAAATTAAAGTAGTTGTTCTTTTTCTTCTTTCTTTTACATTTTTTACAAATGAGGTATTACAATAATTATGTTTATAAATTCCCCAAGTTTTCTCTGGCTTTTCCACGACTTGTTCCAGAATTACCCTAACGATTTGAAGGAGGCAGGAAAGTAACAATGACAAGAAAAACTCTTAGTCATTAAAAATTGTGATCATGGAGCTCCAGAAGGACAGAAAGGTTCTTCCACGCAGCTTCGATAGGTACCTGTACGCTTAACAAATTCATCGGTAGAAACAGCGATGCACCCACCTGAAACGCAAGCCGACGAGAGCATGTAATCAACCGGCATTGTTTCGCAAATTTTCTCGACACGAAAACTCCCGAAGAGCAGCTACCAGGAACCCTTCCTTACGTCCCTGACAGACGCACCGACTGAGCCGCGAGCGAGTTACATGATGCGCCACTCACCTGAAACTCGAGGAAGAGCATCTTCTCTATCCGTTCGGTGACCCTTGCAAAGGTGACTTCCTTCTCGCCCAACTTGGGCCTTGCCACTAGCTCCATCCTGGGGAGGGTGCGGAAACCATACCTGCGTGAAGACGAAGCAACACCGCGTAAAATTGCTGTCGCGCTAGGTACAGTACTTGCTGGATTCAGTTATTTTTGAACCCCCGTTTCTGCCGATTTTCGGACTTAAAGGAGCACTAACCACTCACTGCTATAGTCTATTTATGGTCATAACTTAATCCATGCGCTCTAAGCATCTTAAAAAAACCAAACATTTCTCCTCGTCCGACGGCGCCCTCTGGCGAATGCGAAAATTGCGAGGTAATCCATCTTTAGTGTCAATTTTAATACGGAAATGGCCAAGCACGAATGTCATGTTTAGTTTGTCAGGATGCTTGGAGCCCATAGATCGAGTTATCATTACAAACAGACTATCGCGGTAACGCAGTTAAAGGCCGACGACCAGACTCGAGATTCTGCAAGGCAGAAGACCCTCCTCTCCACGCCTTCGGGCGAGGGAATCGAAGGATGGAAAGAAGGGACCAAGAGGGGCGGGCGTGGGTGGAAAGGGTAGGAGGGAGAGGAGGAAGCGGGCGAAAAGTGGAAAGCGCGAACTGGTCGTCGGTCTTTAAGTGACCTTTAACCTTAAAATGAGCTTTCGGGCTACAATTGTGGTCAAAATTCCAAGACCAAGCAAGTGATTTTTAAGAGTCCCTTTACACCATACGTCTCATAATGTAAACAATGCAGGAACGTTTGTATTGCATACCGTGTTTACTCTATAGTCAGTTACAGGTTAAGAAGGTAGCGGCAAATGCCCCTCAAAGGGAATCAGATATCCCTCCGCCACCTCCGCATCTAATAGCGTCCCACCATTTCCGTGACGTCCCGGCCAACGCGCGAGGAGGGTCTTGCCTTTCTGTACATATTTGCTTTATCTTTCGACTTTGACTTAGCATTGTGGAAGCCACGAGAGGGAGATTAGAGTTCTCCCCCACCGACGGAAACAAATGCGACTTTCGGGGATTAGCTTCCCCCCCGATGGATACAAAGGCTGCTTTCAGGGGCTCGGTTCCCTCTCCGATGAATACAAAGGTCGCTTTCTTAAAAAGTGGGATCGGAGACAAGTAGGAATCCATTGAAGCGGAACAAGGAGCGTTTCCAGTGAACTCTTCTTTCGACTGCGGAGAGATTTGAAACGGGCGCATCACGCTTGTGGGTGGAGCTTCTCCTACCTTCTTGACTTGTAACTGACTATAGTAATAGATGCACACCTTATGGTCAAGGCCCTCGAATCTATGTTTTTGCAGAGAGCGCATGCAGCCAATCGCAGAGAGCGCAAAGACGTTCTCTCCGTCTCGTAAATCGCCGCCATTGTCCCGTCGATCGCGGCGATCGACTATCCGCTGCTACACGGGAAAGCGGACCCGCAGGCTTTGTTCACAAACGGTGCGTCTTTTACTCGAGTAAATGCGGTAGGTACCGAGGCAAAGTGCCGGCCCATGGATCTCCTATTGGCAGGCGGCATTGGTGCCAGGGTCGCGTTGCCGACGCTGGGATGTCGACCTAACAGATTGCTTGGAGGACCCAACCATTGGACGGGGGTTCGAAGGAGCCGCCGTCTTTCATGAAAATAATGGTGCCAATATCGCCGCCACCACTACACCGATTCTCGACGAAATGCGTCGGCAATTAGCACGGGGATTCTCCGTCTTTGGAGAGAGTCTCTTCTCCCAGGTGTCGGCGGTTTCAGATGCAGCCAGTATGGCTGCATCTGAATCCTCGTGCCTGCGTGAAGAGCGTTGCATTAGCGGTTCTAGTAGTACTACACTGGCCAAGTTTTCCCAACTACAGTGAAAAACAATGTCGCCATACTCTGGCAGGGTAAACTCCCGCCTTCTCGGCAACAAACGACTAATTTGCTTTTTGTTTCTTTGTCCTGTCCAGTCCTCTACTTGTTCTCGTCTTTTGCGCCGGCCGTCTTTGAAATGTACGGCGGAGACCGCCAAGGTCTCTGTTCGAAGACCCTGGTGGCACTTACCAGATGCGGTCGGTGGGCGGCGGGGGCACGTTGAGCGCCAGGGTGCCCACCAGGTGGCTCACTTCCACGGTGAGCACCAGGGGCATGTTGGAGACCTCCTCCATCTTGCGCTTGATGTAGCGGTTCTCTGTTGCCTGCTGGAAGTACTTGGACTGCGCTATCTTGTCCACCAGGTCCAGGAGCTTCTTGCCCGTGCCCGCCGGACTGTCGAGACCAGGTCCGAAAAGACTTAGAAGGGCGGTGCAATGATTGTCGTACTTTCAGTAAATTCGGACCAGAGCGAAATCCCATAAGACACGCGTTAGTTCCTATCTCCACGGAATGGCAGTCGCAGAAAAAATTTGAGAAAAACGAGCAGCCCCCTCAACTCGCGGCCAGAATAAGCAGTCACGTTACCTGGAGCCGACTACAAGTCGCCAACGTTCGTCATGGCCACGCACCAAGTTTGTCAAAGTGCAGTACACGCGTTGAGTTCCAGACATTGTTACGGTTTGGCTGTTCCCATCATTGCGGCAATTCAATCTGAGCCACTACACGAATGCACAGTGAGGCATTGACTGTCGACAGCATTTCACTGTGTTCACTGCAGCCGCCCCACATTAACAATGCAACTCCACGACTACTGTAAACGCGAGATAAAAGCGCGGGTAATCGCTACAAACTCCTGCGTCACGGAAAAAGATGCCGCAGGTTTCAGATGCGGCGGATTCGCGTTTTACGACGCGATAAACATGCAGAAACCTGCTGCAAACTTGCGCGCCACAGGAACCAATATAGAGTGCGCAGATCGCAAACAAAAAACAGGAACCTGCCATGAACTTGTGGCGGATTCCCACCTTACACGTACCGGCACTGCAGATCGTGCTGTCTGTGAGATTTCTGCTGGACATTGCGTGATGTCCGATGATGGGCAATGTTTCAGAATATTATTGTTACGAACATTTAGCCAGAACAACTGGATGGGCGTTCATACGGGACTGAAAGACCGAAAGGGGAAGTAAACTTTTGTCCTCAAAATTATGCCACAACAAAAGACGCTATGACAAAGGATCTTCCTGGTCAGTGGCATTCAGTACAAGCATGCTGGGGTCCCTCTAGACACAGTAACAAACCACACGTGTCCTTTAAAGCCAAACGAGCAGCTCATGCCCAAAACTATTGGAGAGATGTGCAATAAATATAAACTTTACATTAAAGTCCACTCCTGACGAAAGGCAATGGGCTTCGAACAACTACTTCACTTCGGTCCTTCGAGGGCAGCAAATGACTGAGCAAGTATCCGAGAACGAGTTTGATCAGGATCCGAGAGGTCAAGTTTTATCGGGCGCGAGACTCTGTGATCAAAGTGTACTCGCACACGCCGTCGCCATTCTTCCCTTTGCTCGATTGAAGAGCCGAAGAACTTACGCGTCTTTGGAAATGGTGCTGGATTCTGGCCGCTCGAGCCCGTCCTCCTCCTCTGAAGACACAGCACTCTCCTCTTCCGATCCGTCATGGTTCATTGTGAAACTGAAAAAGAGAAGGTAAAATATAGAAAGGTTATTGAGACAACCGTCGAGGAATAGAGTTGTCGACAGGCCTGACAAAGGGACAGCACCCCCCCTCCCTTCATGGCCAGACCATCCAGCATGCCCAGACAAAATGAAATAACATACTACAGTAGAGCTTCATTGATATATTTTGAAGAAACTGCGAGGAAAAAAACTTATTACCCGGGAAAACAAACTATTCAAACTTACTATTTTTAAACACACACCAAAAAAAAAACAAAAAAAAACATAATAATTTAAAAACAAGCAGCTCTGCAATGGCGTCGTGAAATGACACGATCGCAGAACAAAACGAGCCTACACGGGTCAGGAAAAACGGCTAAATGAGATGGTACGGGCTTCGGGCGGAACGCAGAACCAAGGCTGCCAAAGTGTCGGCAAAATTTGATAAAGCAACCGGAGCTGAACTAACACAAAGAAATAAACAAAGAAATGCAAGATTCATTCATTTACTACTCCCGCTACTACCCCCTTGTACGTCCTAGTCTAGAGCTACTCTTGCGCACTCTTGCAATCGATGCTTTCAACCCTCCGAACAACGCCTCAAAGTGCTTGCTGGAGTTACCGAGAGCGACACATAATCGCACGTCTACTTTGGAAACGCTTGAAAAGCCACAAGCGAATGTACTGCTCCAATGTTGACAACTGAAGTGAACATGCGCTCGCACGGGCAAAGCTCGATCGGTAGACAGCCGCATTTGGGTTTCGATTTCTATGCTGCTCCTTTGGTTGCTGGGTTGGTCGTTACGACAGCATTTGCGCCACTTTCGCCAGTGGTAGCACATGACGAGAGGAAAATGGGTGACAGCATCAGATGGATGTGCTGTTGTTATGAGCGGTTAGTATGCCGACAAAGCGGTGCGGACGCCGACCGCCAACAACGCCGGCTAAAAGTGCCGAGGTTCTCCCCCAAGCCGCCGGAGTCGCAATCGAGATGCGACTCCGGCGTTCTACTGTAATGAACGAGACGCAGCCCGCTCCCTGTAGCCATGCTTTCCGCGTCGAAGGAAGGTTGCACGGATATTCTAAATGTCGAATATGAATAGAATATTGTTCGTGCTGAATATTTAAAAATTTTTTTACTTGTGCAACGTTGGTTCAAGAAACTCTCAATAAGCATGTGCTTGACTAAAGTCACTTTAATGGCATTGGAGACTGTTTAATGCACTTGCTGCACGAGCACACTTATTGTTATTTCACACTAGACGATGCCTGCAATACTACAAATTCCCAAACAAGCTTGTGAAGGTGAGGCCATGAAGTGTCCAACCCTCGACGTATGGAAGAGAGGAAAGGGCTTTCCCACTTTCCTCCGATACCTCACTTCAGCAATGCATAATACGGTAGTCATTTAGTATACATCTCAGTAAAAGTTGCATAATACAGTAGTCATATTTGCACAGATCACAATAAAAAAAAACTTTCAGCCTTTCCACTCTGGTGAAAAAAGGAAGACCAGCAGAGCTGTACTATGGAAAGTAATGGCCGGCAGCAAGTCTGCACGCCAGAGTGGAAAGACTGCCGCCATCTATGAGCGACGGCAGCAACCAGACACATGGTTTGCCGCCGTCGCTCATAGATGGTGGTAGGTGTCCAGAGTTCGGTGTCTTAATTTCTTTGCGGGGGACACAATCATGAGGAAACTAGCCCTTAACAGCTCCGTTGTAAAATAGTGCTGTAGGGAGTTAGGACATTTACAAAATTTACGAGGTGAACATTAAGAAGCAATAGCGCAAGAAAACGCCAGGTATGACTGTCCTTCCAACAAAAATTTTCATCCCGTCGCACCGGAAGAAGTTAGGGCAAGCGTGACGGATCAAGATTGAAACGCAGAGCAGTTGTCACCGCTTGCCTCTGCATCTCCTCGTGCTGAGACTTCTTGAGGCGCATGAGGTTGAGTTTGGTGGACAGGGTCATCTGGAAGGCCCCGTTGTAGGTGAGGTCGAGGTCGACCCACGTCCCCTGCTTGTCCACCACAGCCTCAGAGGTGCGACGGATGTACGGAAGCTGCGACCCCAGGTGGATCTCAGTCACCGTGAGTTCCTCCATGAAGAACGGAACCTGCAGAACGGACGCCAAACAAAAAGACCCTAAATGCGAGGTTCCCGTGGACGTCTAGGCGAAATGCTCGCAGGTTTTCTAGGGCGCAAAGGCTACTGAATGGCCATTTTAAAAGAATGGGTGCTTTGAGGCATACATTTTTTCACTATGGCGACAGGTTCACACAAATCAAATCTGGACGTTTTGGGTCAAGTGTTTTGTGCCAACCGTATTCGACTTGCGTCGACATATTCCAATATCCGCACAGCTACTCTTTTCTCAACTACTGTTTCACTGAAAACTGTGGCATTGGAGTGCAAGACGTTGAAATTAAGAATTACCCAAGCTCGGGAACTAGCGTAGAGCTCGTTTGCTCGCAACAAATCCGTACAGTGGAAAGGGCGACTACCATACTTTCTTTTTCGACGAGCCACAACGCTCAACTGAAGGTACCTTTCATAACGGACGATGAACTTTGGTCGTGAACGGACGGACAGACCTTGATGCGGTTGAGCTTCCTCTGGATGCGCTGCCGGACCACGTCGGACCATTCCTGGCAGGTGAAGACGTCGTAGAAGAGACGCCCGACCAGCACGTTGATCCACTGCGTGCTGCTTGAAGACGCCTGCGCAGACATTCGTAGCGGGCCCCCATCAAACCTCGTGCCCTCCTCTCTCCTCGGATGAGCTGGGTCTGCCGTTGAGCCCTTCTCATACCATTGAGCTAATGTAACTATCCAGAGGGAAAGGTCCTACGCATTCGGGCTGCTTTAAAACGGCGGGGCACAAACGCGGACACCAGCAGTCCCCGTTGGTGGTCCCGACGGGCCCATACATAAGCTTATCATAATGTACACAAGAGGTTCATATGGTGCTGGTGTGCTGTCGCAAATAGACCCCATGCAAAATCCCCCAAGAGCCCCGGCCCGCACTCGAGGAATCATGGGAACGGCGGCCCTTCAGCTCCATAGTGATCGGTAATTTCGAGCAAGTCGATGGTTGCACAGTTTAGAGTGGAATCCCGAGTCACCCTGAACAAGCGTCGTGTAAAGTCCAAGGACCTGCAACATCACTTTTAAAATTTCTCATCAATGTCAGCGTTTTTGATGCTGTGCACACAATCCACGATTCAACCTGGCCGAGCACAGAAATCTCTTACGATATTATCATTCTCGTGATTGTTGTTTAAAGGGACAATGAAGACGATTTCATCCAATTTTTTCATATGGTGTTTTTAGGCTTCTCGGAAACCTAGCATGTTGCCCAATTTTTTGCAGGCATTTGTGACACGTATTTCTGTGCCTACGAAAAAAAATTAAGAAACCGAAACTGAACTATCTCCATTCTCATTAGTGTGCCTCCGAAAACGGAGGTGACGTAGGGAGCGATGTCAAGTGTGAATAGTCGTTATCGGTAGTATTTAGGAGATCGATACCCTGGTTACCGCGGCGTGTTATAGCAGCGCGGTGGCGCGGTCGTTCCGTCTAATCTGTCAACATCACGACCGGCTTTGTCAACATGGACGACAACGCCGCTCTCGCGAGCGAGTTCGGGGCTTCCGTTCAGTGACCCAACGCCAACGGAACGGGAGTATGTGTGTGGCGGCCCCTCCATCATCCGACGGAGACCGGCCAGCCAGCAACAAGTGGCCCGCGGGCTCCAAGCAGGAAGCAGTGAGCAACATTCGTGCAGGCGAGACGACAGCGGCGCGTTGCCGAAGGACAGGGACGCGGGGGACATGCAGAGGGTAAAGTGGGAGAGACCCGGCCGTTCCGGGAACCGGTTCCTCCGCGGGGGACGCTCCCCAAGAAGGAGAAAATAAACAGCACCATTTTTGGTTTTCACCAAAGTTGGACGTCCTCTCTTTTCGTCGTCAAAGAACACTAACAGCAACCCACACGTGAAAACTAGCGTCGCCCGAACGAATACTGGTCTTCAGTCGACCCTTGGAACAGCCATCTACAGCGCACAAATTTGGCATAACTATCATTTTGCAGAATCCTTCGAGTACCGTGTTCCCGAAGTAAACACGACACCGACATCTGAAACCCAAACCAAACGTCTCCCGCGTGTTCTTTCTTTATTTTATTGCCCATAGTTGTTCGTTGTCCGCTTCGCGTCCAGCGTAGCAAAGAGAAAAACAATTATGCTGCTTTATTTACGGTTTAGTAATCATTTCCGGTCCGATTTATACTTTTCATGGCTATTCAAGCGGAAATTAGAACAGTATTCTTCAAAATTACGAACCAAAAAGTGATCGAGGGCACATCTCTCGTTTCGACCATTTGCTGACGCGTCTCTTGTGACGTCGCGCTTCTGGGCCCCGCATCGGTCACGTGAGCTCCGCTTCTCCTGGCTTCTCCCACAACTCTCGGGGTGTCGCCCAGTCAATCCGGGCACCACTGTAGATCTACTTGAAAACATAAATGTTAAAAATGCGCTCTACAGAAAGTTCACAAAAACTAGAGATCCCAGTGACCTTCGGACTTTTAAATCGTACCGTAATCAACTGACAAACGCCCTGAGAAAAGCAAGAGAGCGCTATCACCATGATTCCTTTAGAAACTCTGTAGGCCGTTCTGACCTTATGTGGAAGAACTTAAATTCAGTTATAGAAGGCAAAACGTCCCTTGTGTAGAATGCATTATTTCTGCAGGGAAGAAATTAACTGGCGCGTCGTTGGTAGGGATGTCGCGAACCACCCCAAGTTCGATTTCGAAAGGTTTCGATAATTGCGAAGCGAACTAAGGTTCGATTTCGAAAAATTTCGATATTTTCGTACCGACCGAGGTTCGAATTCGAAAAATTCGCAACTTTCGATCACAGTGGAGTTTCGAATTCGAAAAGTTCGAAGCTCTCACGGTTTCTAATATTTCGGATTCAAATATTTCGAATATTTTTTTACTTCAGGTTCGATAAATTCGAAGATTTCGAAATTCTTTGGAAATAAAATTCGAAAACTTCGAACGCTTCGAATTTTTATAGACATGAAGTTCGAACATTTCGAAGATTTCGAATTTCTTTCTGCATAAAGTTAGAAGGTTTCGATTCTCCTTTAACGCTAAATTCGAAAAAAAAAAAAAAACTTTGAAGATTTTGAATTCTTTTCTAGTCCAAGTTTTCAAAGTTCGAAGTCCGGTTTTCAAGTTCCTCCACAGTTTGTTTCAAATAATGTTTTCACGACTCACTGGTTTTCACAAAATCAAGTTTAGAAAAGTTAGGGTGTAATATCTAGATTATGCGAAGTTGGTCACGCAATTAAATGAGGCGACGAATGTCCCGGATGTGCTGGAATATTTGCCAGTGCAGAGTGAAGTGTGACCATGGATCAGTAATTGTGACCGCCAGCCCGGGGTGGGGAAGGGGGGGGGGGGTCTTTAACCTGCATCACGCAGTAGTGATCACACGAGCACACTGTTCTACGAGACTCATCCAGTTCGAAACGGCCAGGGGCGGTCAGGAGGTTGAGGCTCAGAAAAACCTTGAAGCGACCTGGCAAACTACCTCACCACCCCTTGCACGCTGGTAGTAATCTGATCGAACGCCGCCCGGGTGACGCTGGCATATAGTAAGTTAAGTTTGTGATTGTCCTGAAGGTTTATTTTCTGGGACGGAGGAATCGCCTCGCAAAAAGCCGACACAACTCGAGGTCGAGGAGCGTTCTACCATACAAGTGGCGTCGGAAGAGGAAAAACGGGTGGTAAGAGGGTAGCGGGGGGGGGAGGGGGGAGGGGGGGGGGGGGGCAGGGGCTTTAGTTCCCTTCCCCCCTTCCAGATATTTCGGACTGTTAAATAAAACAATACAGGGAAAGAGGGCATGGTCGAGCTTATTTTAATCTGAAATTGTTAATGCATATGTATAGCTACTGTCGCTCTTCACTGCATAAAAGATTGCATAGATGGTCATTGTTAGAAACTCGTTGTCAGAAGGCACTACTCGTTACATGCTTAGTGGTTCGGAAGTTCAAAGTTATGTCTCTTCGACCTAAATACCTGTGCCAATAGTAAAAAAAAAATAAATAAATAAATAAATAAATGCGGGGATAAAAAGTTGGAGAAAAAAAAAAACTATCAAGAATTCGCCGGAAGTGTTGTATTCTTGCGTATTCAGAGGTTCAGAACTTCGAAACAGGTTTCTTTTACCAAAATGTGTACAGGCTAAAAGAAACAAATCCCAGAATTGTGAAGCGAAAAAATTTTTTTTTTCTTTTAATGACGTGCTGAACTTGAACACTATTAGAAATCTTCTGCCATGAGTTAATTTAATCCATAACGTGAAAAAACAATACATTATTTTGTACTCTGCAGATGGCAATGATATGTACTGTCTGTGGTGTTAATTTAAAAGCGATACCTCAAACAACTTAGACAAAAATAAATATCAAGTTTAAGTCATAATTGCATGTAGATACATGTTTGGACATTTCTTCAAAACTCGCGTTGAATAACAATAATCACATCTTAAGACAGCACTTACCTAGGCTATACATAGATCATTCTTAAAAAAGTATAACATCTCTACCACAAATAGCTTCGGCTACAGCGCGCTTCTAATCTGGCACAGACGATAATCATCAAAAACCCGTCGTCCTTCCTCGCCCCTTCGGAAATTTATTTCTTTAAAACTAGGCATGCCAGAACATTGAAACAAACGCCATTGTCTTTCGTAAGGAATGCAGCACCGCATGTAAAAGTTCGAGAAAAAAAAAACTACGAATGTACCTCACTACTTGAAATCAAATGAAACCGTCCGCTGGTCTTTCGGAGTTCGACGAACGTCGAACTTTTACCCTAAAAGTTCGAAGTTCGTCGAAATTCTGACTTCAGGATTCGAAAGTTCGAAACTTTTCGAAGTCTCTTGATAAATAAGTTCGAAAGTTCGAAATTCATCGAATTTTTTGGTCAGTCAAGTTCGGAAGTTCGACAGGCATCGAACTTTGCAGCGCAATAAGTTTGAAAGTTCGAAAAAGATAGAATTTTTTAGCATAATAAGTTCGACGGTTCGAAAAGCGTCGAACTTCTTAGCTCAACAAATTCGAAAATTCGACTTCCGTCGAATTTTACGATGTAGACAATTCGAAAAATCGAAATCTTTCGAACCTTTCGAACCGCTTGGTTCGATCATCGAAACTTCGATTCGAAAAAAGTTCGCGGCATCCCTAGTCGTTGGCAAACACATTTAATGACAGGTATGTTGATTTGCCTCAAATTAACTGTAGAGATGCTGCATGTGATAATATAACCTTTAAAACTAGGGATTTTATTTTTCTATTGCCAGTTACTGATACAGAGGTGTCTACTGTCTTTATGGAATTAAATAGCCATAGCTGTGATGCCGATGGTATGCAGCTTCGGCCGGTAAAATATGTTTTACCACTGATCACTCCCTTCCTTACTTATTTTTAATTTATGTTTTTCAACTGGGGTGTTTCCACAGCTTAAGCAAAAAGCTAGAGTGTCTGTGCTTTATAAAAAGGGAGACAAGAACGACATTAATAATTATAGACCTATCTCTATCTTACCGGTTTTTTCTAAGGGCTTAGAAAAACTTATTCACATTCGTCTGCCAAATTTTTTTAATAAGTATCGCGTAATTACTAATGATCAATTTGGGTTCACGAAGCATCGTTCGACAGATCTAGCATTACTAGAACAAAAAGAATTTATTTTAGAGAGTTTTGAGGCAAACCAGATAGCTTTAGCCGTATTTATTGATTTTACGAAAGCATTTGATTATCTAAATCATAATTTATTGCTAAAAAAACTTTATCTTTATGGAATTCGGGGCCAAGCACTTACGTTGCTTCAGTCATATTTGAGTAATCGTAAGCAGTTTGTCTATTTAAATGGCTTTTCATCTAATACAAAGTCTGTTTTCTCCGGTGTACCACAGGGGAGTATCTTGGGACCTTTGCTATTTAACATTTATATTAATGATATTGTTAACATAGATTCTCTCGCTAAATTTGTTATATATGCAGGCGATACAACCCTTTTATTTTCAACTAAGACTAGTGATGAACTTATCAACTGCGCAAATGATACTTTAACAGGGTTGCAAAATTGGACACCCGACAACGGGCTTAAATTAATAGTAGTAAAACCAAAGCAATTTTCTTTCGAACCAAAAATAAAAGCGTTTTTATAACGAAAAGTCTCGTAATAAATTCAAATGTTATAGAGATAGTGGAAAATTTCAAAAGTCTTGGCGATATTTTTAACCAGTATTTGTCTTGGGACGACCATGTAAGCTATATACTTCCTCGATTGTCCGGGGTCATCGGATTAGTCTCACGAAACCGTTTTATTTTATCAAACAACGTTAAACTACTTATTTATCAAACTCTATTTGCATCCCACTTAAACTACTGCCACCTGGTATGGGGTACAACCACCAGTTCAAATCTACAAAAAATACATCTATTACAAAAAAAATTTGTTCGCCTCATTGCTAATGTTTCTTATATTTCAAGCTCCAAGGGCTTGTTTGAAAAATATAATTTGTTGCGTGTTTTCTATATGTATACATATAAACTTATGGTCCGTTTTAAAGTAGAAAAAAAAAAGAAACGTGGATATTTTGGCCAAACTTTCTAAACTAAGGGAACATGTTACCACCTATCCAACTCGTTCGGCGGCACGTTGGGCTGTGCCTCTTTGCCATAAAAACTATTCCATGCAGTCTCTAAAGTATATGCTACCTACTTTACTAAATTTCCTCTTAAACAAAAACATTGATATAATGTCTGTCACAATGCAAGATTTATTTTCTTATTTGAATTGAATATATTACTTTTCTGCGATAGGTTATAATCTATTTTTGTATACAATGTTGATATTTTTGCTGTTGCTTTGTATTTCTAATCTGTCATGTGGAACTGTAAGGGAGCAAGGGGCTTCGTCAAGCTGTTAAACAGCTTTTTCCCTCTGTTTCCTCCATTCCTGTATCGAATGGGAAATAAACTTCATTATTATTATTATTATTATTATTATTAATATTATTATTATTATTACTACCGCGACTGTTTAATTGATTTGCGCGGCACACAAGTGCCAGTTTCGGCTGAAATTTGGGCAACATGGTCCGAGACGTGCCTGGAACCCAGTTCAATCGCAAAAAAAATATCCGAAATTGCCTTCATTGTCCCTTTAAGTAAAAATTGCTTAGAAAGCCGAGATTTCACAACAACCAAAACCAGGGTTTAGCTCGGAGTCAGCAAAGGCTGTTTATACCATTTTCAGCGTTTCTAACTTAATATGGCTTAATATAACTAGAGCAATTACACTCTTACAATGATAATAAAGGTACATATTATTCGGTACGACCGAAGTAACAAAAGTGATCAATGTTATTTTCCGGCAAAGAGACAAAATGCTTGCGCGTTTCCCCATAGGAATGTACAAGAGCACCGCAAAAGTAAACTGGTTGCTGTCTCTTTCAATTTGCATCCCGGAAGTCACATAGACACTAGCGCCAGTAGAACCTCTAGCGTACATCATAATAACTCTATGGGCCCACATTGCTGGCGACACCTTAATACGCAGAGAGCAGCAGCAAACCATCACCTGTAAGGTCTGTACCTTGTTCCCTTCTAGCCTACTTTGCAGGAAAACACCGAAATTGTTCATTGTATAGAAGTAAATAAAGCTGACAGGCATCGAGCAACGTCAACTCGTTTGCTGCAAAACATATACACCCAACTTTTTGTCTGCCTTCTTTCTGTGCTCTTCTGTCCCTCTTTTTTTTCGTTCTCTCTCTGGACTGCCGACGTCGGCGCTCCGGATTGGTTTCCTTCCGCTCCCGCCTTTACCCCCCGTCCCAAGCCTGCCACTATACACTGAAATCTACTTATAACAATAATAAGAAAACCCGAAACTTTCAATTATTACTAACCGATTATCGTTGCATGTAGACTAGAAACTGATAATTTCTTGTCTAGAAACTGATTGTTTTAAGTGGTACATCATTACATGTGGTATCGTTATAGGTGGATTGCACTGTAGTGCGTTGCAGAACGAGAAAAGCGGGATGGGCTCCTCCCTTAAGGCCCTCCCCTCTTTCCACTTTAGCACAACGAAGGCTGATGAGGAGGAAGCAACCAATCGGGGCAAACGGAGCATTGTAAGGGGGAATTGTCCAGTGCTCCGTGCTCAGTGTTCCGTGCTCCGTGTCAGAAGCACTTTTTGTGCTTCTGGTTTCCCAACTGGCCCATGTGCCCGAAAAATGTTGCAGATCACTACCTCAAACTTTCGTTAATGCGGGGTTGCTTTTTAAGAATTTTTCGTTGTTGAGAGGATACACATGCACAGAACTCTATGGACGTTCGCCGGGGCCGCCGGATTTCTTTGTTGCCGCGAGAATTTCGTTCTTGAGGGCTTTCGTTATTGAGGGGTTCAACTGTATAACGAAGTCAACAAGAATCGGAAATCACTTCGCTATATCTACTATTTCGTTATAACCGGCTTTGGTTATAACGAAGTGCAGAAAAGAATGGGAAATCGTGATCGCTTCGCAGTAGCCGCTATTTCGTTATAACCGACTTCGTCATAACCGGTCTGGACAGTAGTACTACCGGAATCGGTGACTGAGCACTTGACCTAGATTATGCTACAGTTAAACCTGGATATCCTCTATTTAACAAACGTTTTCAATTTCCCAACGCGATTTTCATAGAAGCGCTTGTATTTGTGAACTCCATATAACGAAGCGCTCGCACTGGATAACCTTGATTTAACGAACTCGCTCCGCTGCAATCTCCAATTTTTTTTTTTCTGACTCCGATAATTCGGATTTGTTCGATATTTCGGACCTAAAGGCAGAACTGTGACTTACCTTATAGAAATAGTGTATATTCACGACCAATGTTTCAGCTTGAAGTCCGAAAGTGTGATTATTTGGACAAAATCGTCAGGAGCGATCAGCGGGAAACACCATCGAGAAGCAGCCATTTTGAATTCTATGTTGGCTGCAAATGGATTGGCTTGGTTTGGCAGCGCTACTGGCGGTACTTGAGTACTCCCGAGTCCTACCGCTAGGTGACTCTATGCTAGCCCTTTTTTTTCTTTTCATTTAGCTGCACGTTATCATCATCATCATTATTATCATTTTGCTTTGTTTTTCATACCTTCGCGTTGCCAGCCGCATTTTGCGCTCGTGGTTTTGTGCCTCTTATCTCGTTCGCACAACGCTGGCTTGGACGTCACGGCCCCATCTGTTCTTCTACCGCCACGAAGTGTCATTAAGAAGCGCAGAAAGTACTCGACCATAACGCTAGAAAAGAAGGCAGCGATTCTCAAGCTAACAGAAAGTTGCCGAACGGAAACGGAGGGTAACCTGAAACAAGGCACTGTTTATAGCTTTTTTAAGCCCACTTGGAAGTAATAAAGGCAAGTTTTTCAATCTGCTGGTCTTTCGGACTGCTCTATTATTCGGACGTTTCTTAGGTCCCTGTGAAGTCCGAATAATCGGTCGGCGACTGTACCTAAAATGCAGATATATTCTTGTCCAATTGCCACCAAAGGCAAGCAGCCTTTGGTGCCTACCGCGAGGGAGGTCTTGGATGTCATCGATGTATTACGCCGGGTCGCCAGCTCCCGGGACGACGACGGCGCTCTAAACGCTTTGGTTTCCTTTGAGCGCTGTGTGCTGCCTTCGCTCGCGCAAAAGACACAAGGCGAGCTTACAGACTTCTTTTCCACTAAATAAATGACGTGGAGAGTTTGCCCACGTCAATTTTTAATTTTCGTTTTTTTTCCACGTGTCCTTCGAGAGTTTTTTCGCGAAAACTGCATGTAACAAAATCCTCCATGTAACGAATTATTGCAAACTTTTATCAATTTCGTTATATCCAGGTTCAACTGTACTCTGAATAACAAACGCATGCGTGACCTACGACTTCAAAAGCCTACCGTGGTCGTGGTGCGGAGCAGCGACGACGCGGCCACGTTGCTGGAAAGGCCTCCCGTCGCCGATGTGATGCTGGCTCGGCCGCCGCTGCCTCGGTGCTGCAACCCCGGCTGCTCCAGGTGTTTTTTCGTCAGCTGCATCATGTACGAGTCGTACGGGAGCGGCGGGTCGTCGCAGTCGTCCGACGACCGGGGCCTCATTGGTCTGGCGTCAGGGTCTACGCGACGGCAAGTAAAGTGATTGGACCTTTATACTACCTGCCGACCAGACACGGACAGACGGAAACACGCAGATCAGCACGATCTCGCAAAGCAACCGATCAGGACGTGGTCATAAGGGACTTAACCTCCCTTACGACCACGTTCGTCGTCGTAAGGGAGGTTAAGGCGGGACCGGAGGGCAGCAACTTGTAAGCACCCGTCGCCATGATTGATCGGTCGACGACTGATTGGCCAGTCACCATGCCGTCTCTTGCTACGACAAAGTTACCAAGGACACTCGGACAGAGGGCATTTGCGACACGCAGGGTGTGCGGAACTTTGCGTTTCTTCGCCCTGAAACTGCTTCTGTCTAAATTCAATACAGCTTGTGACTACCGTAAAATACCGAGCATCCGCCCATTCCATACCAAGAGTCCACCCCCAAATTTTGCAACATCTGAAAAAATATGCACAGTACATATAGAGGTAAAATTGATGACCTAACGAACGCCTATTCCCCCAATTTTCACAATAATCTCCATATTTTGAGTGGGCGCTTGCTCGGTACTTTACAGTATGCACAATATCGGCTCTGTTATGTCATGGCATGGCGGTGGCGCGTCGAGCGCACTTCCAGTCTGGGGCTGTGGGCGGAAGTCAGCATGCGGGATGTGCATTCCTGTGTTGTTTTGGAAGAAACCAGACAAAAACCTGCCTTCTTGTGAAGATGGTTTGGCTGGAGCTGTACCAAAAGAATTGGGAAAGGTCTGAAGGTCAGTTTTTATGCTTTCTCTACCTGCTCGATTCGTCCGAGAACATAGGTAAGGGCCGTAAAAAAAAAGAAACCCAGACGCCGTCAGACCACGACTGCTTGTGCAGGAAGCACTTTGGGTTAAACTCACGGTTACATGTGGTCGTCAGATTTATTTGTTTTGTTCCGACATGAACACGGGAAAACCGCCAGGTTGGAAAAACCGCCTGCGGACTACGTTCAATGCGTCCTGAAGTTCAAACGACCGCCCGATCGTTTGAACTGTTGTCTGCCGCCGACCAAACGTTAACCCAGTAATTGCGATAAGAAGTAAGTGCAGGTCCCAAAAGACTTAAGTTTGAAGGTTGGTTGGGGTAAGTAGGCTTGGTTTAAACAGCAGATACAAGGAGATGTTGATCATTGTTACCAGAGGCCATCACCAAGTTGTTATGTCTGATTCACTTGGTCTTATTCTGCTCGCGATTTTCAGTATCGACGTCAACTATCTCAGCTACGGTTCACGCTTTTGCCGCCCGAGCGACGTCACGACTGAAAATAGCAAGCTGAATCTCAACATGTGAATCGGGCTTTAGAGTCCATTCTGCGGCATCCATGCGGAATGAAATGCCGCATGTCACATTATTCACGCAATGTTTTGCAGTGTAACAAGCCCCGTTCAGTTCCTAAGGCCACTGAAGTAGTTGGACATCGCCAGGAAAACGTAGAATCAACAATTCTAATGCGAAAAAGAGCACGGGGACTTGCCCCTACGCTGAAAACCGTGCATTCCAGTCGATTGTTTACGGATGACAGCAAGCTCCTTGCTTACACTCCTTCGCACATGCGTGACGCCGGTGGCATTTGCCACGGGCGCTCCGGTTTTTTTGTAAACATGAGTTTATCTATATTCGTCAATCCAGCCTATAAAACAGTCACTAGCTACCTTGTTGTAATGGCGACGTGCGGAATCAAAATGGAAACTACCGCTACCATTTCTGGCATCGTGCATCTAGGATGGTTGCCTAGTGTTGTTACTCGAGCTGCCAGATACAGTGGCTCTATAACAAGTTTCAGCGTAATTTGGCAAAGGCCGAAAGCTACAGACCTCGTGAGCCGATCACGGTGACAGAATGAAGCATGCAAGAGTTCGGCACGGGGGGGAGCGCTCCCACGGTACGTTGTCAAGTGACTTGATCCAACGTTTGGATTGGCTCGCCGTGGCCACTGCTTTCTCTAGAGTTACGCTGAACCAAGCCTAGCTGCGACCACACCTTTTCTACTCCTATTAACCATCCTCTCCCCACCATTATAACACTACAGACTTCATGAATTACAATGCACGTAAAGTAGAATCTTGATCATGCGAATTTCTTGGGGATCATACGAATTCAAAACAGGTTCAGAAATGTAATAAACTATACATACACCTCTCAGTGAGAACAGACGGCTTAGAGAAACTTGCTTTGATACCAGAGGGAGTGCGATACTGCCGGTATAGCACTGCCTCCAGGATCAATCTACTTTTCTTTTTATTTCTTGGTTTTTTTCTACTCTAGCCCAGCGGTTCTCAAACTGTAGCCTGCAGATCCCCAAAGGTCCTCAAAAGTAAACAAAAAAGTCTGTGCCAAAAAAAAAAAAAAGAGCCCTAAACAAATTTAAATGCAAAATCCCTTTTATGCCATTGCATGAAGACCTCTTGCGCAGAATGCCTTGGGGGTCCCCAAACGGCCTGAGAGTGTGTCAGGAGGTTCGCGACGGCCAAAAGTTTGAGGACCGCTGCCCCAGCCCTACACGTGGCTGAAGAACCTTGGCTACGGCTAGAATAGGACAGCCCAACCCTAGCTGTAGCTCTCTAGCCATGGCGATGGTGGCCCTGTGGAAATTTCTCACCCTGCAGTGGCTGCCTGCACAAAAGGGGTCGTTCGTGCCCCAAGGTGCGAGCCGAGCTAGTGGACTGGAATATCAAGGTGTCCTTTCTCGAAATACCTTTAAGGCTGCCCGACTGGCAGGAAAGTGTCGCAATGTTGCTAAAAATCGAGGGACTTCACCTCCTCAAGGTCGGCGCTGTTAATCCGCATCATCCGCCTCGGCCTAAGACAGCGTTTGCACTATCCCAAAATGTAACGCATTGTAAATAAAACTTTTCAACCGAGCTATAAAAAAAAGATTCGTCCCAAAATTTTGAATAATTATTAGGGTTGTGCGAATATTCGAAATTTAAAATAGTAGTTCCGAATAATACACTATTCGATATTCGCTTTGAGAAGAACTGCACTATTCGTGTTTTTCGAAGTGTTGACTGCGGCGGGTTGGCCCCGTTGAGTACGCTTCTTGCCAAGCACCGGTGCGCTGCGGAGAAGCAATACCCGCAAAAGCGAGCTCCGCGGGTATTGCTTCTCCGCAGCGTACCGGTGCTTTCTAAGAAGCGCACTCAACGGGGTAACACGCCGCGATAAACACTTGGAAAAGTATGAATATCGTAATTGCGTGCTTGGAAGTAAAGCATACATTCAAATCAGGATGGTGCACCTGTGCCGACTGTATGTGAAAATAAATTAAAACTTTGTGAATGTGTATATCTACATTGCAGCAAAAGGTTTAAAATTAAACTGTTATGCAAGAGTATTCTATGTTAGGCAGAGATGCCCTCACAACCTGCGTTCATCATGCACGATTCATTCTTTTTACCTCGAGAATAAAGAAAGAATATTTTATATAGCAATATTTGTAAATTAACACCATTGGTTATAGTTGGCCATCTTTACAGGATTCATTTTATGTCAAATCCGTCGTTTACTTGCCATCCGAAGACATCAGACCTTCTGAGGTCACAGTTCATAAATATAGATGGACTAAACTTAGCTTATAAATGAACAAGTGAAACAACCTTCACAAGTTTAGCTGGTTTTTTTGCCTAAGCATTATGCAATGGTAGTGAAAGGCGTGGAAAAACTATTCGATATTCGATTCGAAAATATTCGGCCAAAACCGCTATTCGCATCGAATTCGCTTCGAACTCAAAATCCACTATTCGCACAAGACTAATAATTATGATTGTATCATCAACATTCTACCGCAGTGCATTAGTTCATAGCTAAAATGTCGCTTGAACCAGAAAGATGCTTTGCCTGGGGTGGGGACGATCGAGTGGATGCTTGGGGAACACTAGAGGGCACTGAGGGCCTTGGGTTCCTGGGAACCCATCCGAGAGCCCATGCTGTAGTTCATTACAGTGTTTTTCATTCCATTTTGTTTGGATGCTGCCAACGATGAATTGTTACTTTTCTGTTTTACAGCGGCATCGAGGCATCATCAGACCTGGCTTTATGCAGGTAATATGTACTGTCTAACCTAAATAAAATCTAAAAAAGATCTACAGTACTGGTTGCAAGCCAACCCCGCAAAACGGCAACTCTCATTCACTCACTCGAAGACCGTATGGCCTGCTGGAATCGCCGAAACCACTCCTCTTTCTCCCGGCACGTCCGCGCAAAGAGGTAAAGGACCTCGTGGTCGGACGGAGACTGCCCGTCCTTGGCGCCCGACTCCCGGCCACCGTCCTTGGCGGAGGCGTCCTTGGCGGCAGCGGCGTCCCTGCCCGCGGTGCCGCAGTCCCGGTACTCCCTTGGCAGGTCGTCGTCCGGCGAGCAAGACGGGCTGTCGGGGAGCGACGCCCAGGGATCCTTCGTCTGCTGGCTGTAGTGCTCTTCGGACGGCACCAGCAGGCAGATGGGGTACTTCCTGTTCCACAGCCTGCGGACGAATGCCGGTCACCAGACACGCCCGTACGAGAAAACACAATGGGGCCCGTTACGCGGTGGTCCGTTTGCGCGTTGTTTAGAGCCCGGTGCAGTCCGGAAGAATGGGGCGTCGCCTGTTGCCGCTTAGGGACCGCTTTCAATGCACGAGTTGGATAGGACGGTAAATGCACCGGACGAAAACTCATTCCAGGCACCGTAAAATGGGGTAGCATCCTTGCTTTCGCCGCCACAGTCACCACGGTCGATAGATTACTTCTTGTCGGCACTACGGGAGAGGCTTCCCTGGAGACAAATTAAAGTGCCAGAAGCGCGCTGCCGATTTGGGGAGTCGACCGTTCGGATCGCTCGGAGAACCCGACGGACGGACAGGGGTGCGGAAAAGTTGCCGTAGGGAAAGTCGCTGGACACGTCTGCTTTTTCGTAGGACTCCACGGACCCATTGAAAAGAAGGACAATTGGAAAAGCCATCTACACACGAGACCGAGAGGTCACGTTACTTCGTTGTAATCGAAACGCCACGCAAAAAATGCTACATCTGCTCAAATAAAATTTTTTTTTTTTTTTTATGTTCTTTTTAGAATGGTTGTTACTTGTGCTGACAAAGTTTACAGTGCTTCGTTTCACACAATAACCGAGCCATGGCCAAGGCCATATTCCAGTGGCGCCAATAAAGCAGCGCCAAAAGTGTGTCATCACGGTGCTTGTCACCTATGTGTGTGTGCTATTACCTGCTAAACCAGTCACGCATGATGAACGTACCGTGATCGTGCACTTCTTTCTGCCTATTGCAAAAAGAAGCGTGCGACTGTTCGATTGTTATTAGCGGCTTAATAACAAACACGCAAAAACAATGAGCGCCTCGACGATGCGCTCGTGGCGCCGCTTTGTTGGCGCCACCGGGTCTTGGCGTCGGCTGTGCTCGGACATACTACTGTCGAGACTGGTTATAACGAAGTCAACGGGAATCAGAAATCGCTTTGCTATATCCGCTATTTCGTTATAACCAACATTGGTTATAACGAAGTGCAAAAGGGAATGGGCAACTGTGATTGCTTCGCGTTAGCCGCTATTTCGTTATAACCGACTTTGTTATAACCGGTCTCGACAGTATGCAGAGCGCAAGTTTGTCCACTTCTTGCGCAGGAGTTGCGGTGACGTCGGAGCGCCGAGCTCCGAATGACTCGACCGGAAGGACGGCGGGTCGACCTCAATGCTAGCCGCCTCGAGGTCTACCACCTATCCTTACAATCGAGCCAATCGGAGCTCGGCTTTCCGACGTCACCGCAACCCCCTTGCAAGAAGCAGACGGACCTGCGCTTCACGCAGGGTAGAAACTACCGGAGTTTCCGGACCAGCGAGAAATTCGTTCCGGTGCTGCGGCGTCACCCACCTTTCCTTGGAGAGCTTCTCGGGCAGGAGCATGACTTTGGCTGCAGCGAGGTTAAAGTGGCGCTGGCCGACGAACAGGGGCTCCGGCCTCTTCTCGTTCCACATGGCCCGGCGGGGCATGGCGTGCTTGGGGCGACGTAGCCGCAACGTCGAGCCCACCAGGACCAGGTGCACCGACTGGGTGTTGTTCATGTGGTGCGTCTCGATGTGGTACTCGGTCTCGAAGGGGAGCTGGCACATCCAGCCCTGCAAGAACGCGGCCGACCGAGACCGGGCATGTTCAGGTATCCGCTGCCATGGCAACACTTACGTTGCGAGAGGAATGTTTAGGCCGTTGAGGCAACGTTTGCATTACGGCAAAGGTTTGTGCTGAATCAACAACGCTTGCGTTGCTACGGCAACGTGTATGCTGCAAGGGGAACATGTAACTGAGGCGACACCTACGTTACAGCAACATTTGCGCCGAAATGGCAATGTTTTCACTGCTATGGCGACGTCTACGTTTCAAAGGGAACATTTATGTCAGTGGTTCCAGAGAAGGCCTTCCGGACCCTTTTCGGTCCTGGAAGGCCTTCTTGTCCCCGAAGCCTCGGACAATCAGCTAAGCCGAGCACTAAAACTTTTTCTTTTATTCATGCTGGCTGCCTTAAAAAACTAAACAGACAAAACCATGTGCACTGAGTGAGTAGGGTTGGTTATTTTATATTTCACAGCTGCAAAGTCGGTTTGAACACATTTAATTTCCTTCATTTACCCTTTTGTCATTGCAATCATAAAACCCCCACCCCCTATGGATGGTCCGCCATCACTTTCGCCGATCCAGAAAGGGTCCCAAAACATCAGTGGTTGAGAACAACTGATTTATGTCATTGAGGCAATGTTTACGTCACAATAATGTTTACATTGCTATGGTAACATGTTATAAAGGGAATGTTTATGTACTTGAAGCAACATTTACGTTGCAGCAACATTTATGCTGAAATGGCAATGCTCCGATTGCTATGGCAACATCTATGTTTCGAGGAAAACATATAAGTCACTGAGGCAACATTGACATTTTTATGGCAATGAAATCAGTTTTTTTTTTTGGTGCTGTAAAATTTGTATAACCCCCCCCCCCCCCCCCAAAAAAAAAATTTCTTTAGTAACTAGGTAGCTTTTTATTAGTGTGTGCGAATATTCAAAAATTTCGAATACAAATCAAATATTTTCAAAATTAGTCATACTCTATTCGAGCATTTACCATTCAACACTTTATGAACATTCAGCTTCCGTCAAATGTTCAACAAAGCAACGAAGCATCAGGCAAAGAAGGAACGTCCAGAAATTTTGAATATTAACACACTCCCATCTTTTTGTAATTTCAGCTCTTCGAGAGAAAGCGTCTCGGCACAAGTCGCTACAAAAGTGCTCGGAGAGATCTTCCATACCTTGACTGAAGGTATAACAAGCCACTACGACAACTCCCCAAGATCTTCCGTATCTTGATGAAAACTACCTCCGGGTTTTCGGGAGCCAGGAGACAGCGGCCTGTAGTTACACAGTGAGTGAGGGTGGCAGGTTGTGTCTTTCGAACGCCCGATCTTTGGCATGCACTCGGTACACTCTGCCCTTTTTTGACTGTGCCGTTCGGGGCTCACGAGACGTCCAAGCATCGTCGAAAGTAGGAAACTCGCGCAAGAGGCAGGGCAACCGAAGCTCTTCCCCGCCGTTCTTCCCCCATCGGGGACTATTGGGGAGGAGATTCAACCGCTGTGCTCCGAGTGGCTACCTTTAGAACTACGACCAAGAGGATGACGACAATGATGCCGCGCAAAGTCGAACGGCTCCGCACGGCATCATTGTCGTTGTGGTCACTAACCACTAGCCCCAGCCGTTCGGCTGGGGCTAGTAGAGGGTTTCTTATGTAGCCACTTACGTAGCCACTATGGCCCGACCTTCTCACCAACAGATGGCGAGTGTCATGGCAGCAAACAGACGGCGACCTACCTCGTACGAGGTGACGTCGTTGCGCCCACTGTCGCCCCCCACTTGGTGTGGCACCCTCAGCGGAGCCATCTTGCGGTAGTCCGGGATCTCGAAGAGGTGCCGTCTCCGGGTGGGCACGTACATGAACCAGGCGAGGGAGAAGACGAGGAGAGAGACGACGCAGCCCACGATGAGGCCGCTCAGGAAGGAGGGCAGGGGCAGGACGACCGCCGAGACCCCCACTGCCATCGACATGAGGATCCCATTGCTCTCCAGCACGGCCTGCAGTCGTTGTTTCTTCCGTTGACGCCAGCGCTAACCCACAGTAGCACTCGCACTAACACTAACACACACAAACTACACTAGGATGCAAAGCACTTGCACCTACACCAGCACCCACACACATTAACACTAGCACTAACATGCACTGATCATACCTAAATCTTTAGGATTAACTAGCATCATTCATCCCGTTGACGCTAGCACTACCCCACAAACTAACACTAAGACACACCAACACTTACACTTACACCAGCACTCGCACACATTAACACTGACATAGACTTATCACACTTAGATCTTTTAGAATTGGCAAGCTCCAAGGAAGAGCGTCCTTCGGAAACGGTCCTCCTCTGTTGCCCGCAAGTGAGCAGGTTTGGCCGGAGAGCAATCACTGCCCCTTGTTTTCTAGCATTATGGTCGAGTACTTTCTGCACTTCTTAGCGACCCATTGTGGTGGCGGAGCAGATAGGACAATGACATCCAAGCCAGCGTAGTCCGAAAACACGATTCATAGAGACAAGATCGAGATTGAGATGAGGCGCAAGTCTGCGACTACAATTGCAAATGAACAAAGAAAAATGGTAACAATGATGATGATGATGATAATTATGCGCAGCTAGAGAAAAAAAAGCCGTACAGTGTTACTTAGCGGTACGACTTCGCGGTACCCAAATAGCACTGTCAAACAAAGCCAATCCATGTGCAGCCAACATAGAATCCAAAATGGCCGCTTCTCGGTGGTGTTTTTCGCTGATTGCTCGCAACAGTTTTGTCCAAAAAATCGAACTTTCTGACTTCAAGCTGTCCGAAACATCGGTCGTGAATATGCACTATTTCTTTCGGGCAGGTCACGGTTCTTCTCTTAGATCCACAATATCTAACAAGGCCGAATTCTTGGCGTCCGAAAAATCGGTCGGCGACTATTTCAGTAGGATAGATTATCCATTGATGCATAAATATAACCGAAACATATATACCCAAACATAAAAAAAACATCTTTACTGTTGATCCCGAGGTCCCCACATTTCTGCATTGCCAGAATTTTTCACTGCTGATACAGGGAGGGGTTTCTTAATCGCCAGTCAATGCAAATACAAGTTTATCACAAAAAAAAAAAAAAAGAGAACCCTTGGTTTGTGGGGAAGGTGCTACAGGAAGCATCCTATTCAATAGACCTTATGCGAAATTGCTTTGTGGTCTGACAACACTGAGAGCGTCGCCATTTGTATGTTGGCAAGCGTTGTCGGGACCGAAGCACGGTGGAGGCATCGGAGACAGCCGCATACGGGCAATGTGTGATGGTGCAGCAACTGTTTTCCGCCTTCTAACCATATTTTGTGGACGAACAGTTTAAACAACCTACCGCAACTGTGTGACAAAGCTCTCGGAGGCCTGTGCACGCTGGCGACAACCTCGTCGAAGCAGCGGACCAAGCCTTCGCTGTGGAAGCTTGTTGTCGCCAGCGTGTGCACAGGCCTCCGAAAGGACTAGGTCGTCATGCCTTTCTTCTTTGAGAACACCTTTCATTCTTTTTCGATGCGAATACGCTTGAGGTCGTACTGTTTAGCGGTATTCTGCTCCACGCGAATACATGACTCAAAATTATTATTTTTTTAGTTGTTACTGGCGGAAAGTTTTTTGGTGGAATACTCTGTGTTCTTCTAAAACAAACTGTGCCCTGGGCAATATTTTTCAAGCGTTGCAAAGGGCTAAAATTGGTTTCAGATAGCATTGACTTCAAGCACAGTTGACGGATGTTGCGCTATTTGTGAAGGTTTGTTCAACCCTGACGGTATAACTGCAGTGACTTTCTCAAAACTACCCCGAGTTTCTTTGCGCAAAACAAAATTTCTACCTCGGCTACGACAAAAAGAAAAAAAAAAGAAATAAAAGGAGGTTGTAAATTGAAGTTGGCACCGCCCGTGTTGCTTTATTCGACGTCCGCAAGGTAAGGTTTTGCGGCCGCCGACATCGAAGTTTTAGCCACTGCGATGAACCTAACCATACCACTGTGAACCATACGCATCTTGAATTATGGTTGGCGGAGTAGATTATTAAAACTGCCACCTTTTTGCTCGCTTAACAGCCTTGGTCTCGTCCGCATGCATTGAGTTGCTGGCGTATCAAGAAAAACGCAAACCGGCACTACACCGCACATAAACGAAAAAAGTTATAAACAAATTTAGTACAACTTCGTGAAAAGATTAGGTCCCAGTTCAATAGTTGGAAATGGCTTCACGCCACGTGATAACGTCCGCATGTTTCTTCGCGTTGTCACTGATTGTTTTTGTGAAAAACTGCTTCTCAATTAACAAAAAAAAAAAGGTGAACCCTGTTCACGTTTGCGTTCACGTAACGCACGAATCAAAGGTTTATGGGTGCATTTGCAGCGGAACGCAGCAATCGTTGGCATCGCATCTCTCGCACGAAGCGCGGTCGCTTGTTTACATGGGGTCTTTGCCGGTCGGGTCTCTGGTTTCGTTTTCTCGCCCCTAACAAGATGGCGGACGTAGTTCTCGGCGCGCTACTAGATGGCGCTCTATATTTCGCATATGGCCTATTGCATCTACTTCCACGAAACCATTGCATCTACTTCAACGAAACAAGTTCCAACTACCGAAAAATCCCTTGAGATAGCCCACCTAAATTCGAGAGAAAATTTGGCGAAAATAAGTAAGCCAACTTTTAATGTGCGAGCAAAAAAAAAAGAAAAAAAAGCTATTTTTAGAGTATATGTCTTTGCCAAACTCGTTATCGCAGTCAGGGGCAGTGGAGTAAAGATGGCTGTGCTTCTCAGTCAGCAATGTTTGCTTAAATCCCGCCCTAGTTAACTGGACACGTTTCCGCCGGGGTCATCATCGATCTAAACACAACGATCACAAGGAGTGGGCCATCATTCGGTGTTCAAAAGAAAAGAGCAAATCGCGCCAAAAACAGGGTTACTTTTCGGGGGTGGGGCATCTCTCGGGATTTTACGGAACGTCGGCAAACCGAACTACACAAACCTTGGCGACTGCCGCAAGATTGGGACCGGGGATTTTGAGGGGCAACCTGGGCGGGGGCCGATCCCCCAGCTGAACTGTTGTGGACTTCTGCGGATTCTCGACCTGTTCAACAAACTCCCAAGTGTCCAGGTCAGGGTCCAGATGGTCCTCCCTCTTCCCCGAAGGCAGCGTCGTGCACCTGCGAGTCCAAAGAGAGAGAATCCTTTAGCATCTCTTCGTAATCCGTCGCGCATTATTTTTTTCCCGTTACCCGTGCAGCTTTTCTTGGGCACAAACCAAAGACGCTGCCCAGGACCCTCCAAGGGTCCCTCCTGCATGTGTATGGCCAGAGGTGTCGGAACTATTCGGGAGATGGGGGTGGTTATTGTGGGGGTAGCAACAGCGATTTCGTGCCCCGTCCCCCGTATTCACTCCATTAAATGCTTGAACTGTCTGAAGGGCAATTGCCGCCCCGCCCCCCGCCGCCTCCCCCCTCCCCCTCCCAAAGAAGGGGACAAACACAAAACGTCTCAAATGTTAAGACGTTTCGTGTTTATCACCTTGTTCGTCCGTTTGTCTTCGGTTTTTTTTCAAATACAGTAAACTTTCGTTAGTTCAACCTCGGTTAATTCGACTTTTCGTTTAATTCGATCGTGTTCAAAAGTCCCGGCGAGCGCCCATACATTTCTATGAGGGGAAAGTTCAAAAGTTTGAACTCGGGAAGACTCCGTATCAGATAATTCGTCCCGAGCAAATGTGCGCGGGGTCACATTGCACGGCACCACGGCAGAAAAACCACCACCGTACGGTGAAACACAAGCCCTTTGCAGCAAAGCCGAACATGCGGAAATATGCGCCTGCTCTTCTACGCCGCTGAGATGGACTGTAGCAAAGCGAATGACACGAGCAAGTGCCACCAATCTGGCTGGAGGAGCGTGGAGAACATATCACGTGGTCGGGCGCGCACGAGCCAGCGCACGCTCTCAAAGCGTTTTTCTGTAGCATCGTGTGCGCTCCGCTCCATCTTGCATACGGAAAAGCGTAACTTCTCTTTCCCTTTTTTTCGTTGTTGGTTTTTTTTTTTGTTGCCTACGGTCTGGGCGCTCGGTGCCAAAGTAGGCTTGAAGCTTTCTCAGCGCGCGCTCTCAAAGCGTTTCTCTGTAGTCTGTAGCATTGTGTGCGGTCCATCTTGCGCATCAGAAAACGCAAATTCTCTTTTCCCCCTTTTTTTTTTTTTTTTTTGTACCTGAGCTGATTTTGGCTTGGCGATTTTCCGGGGACGTGACGTTTAGTTACGCTGACGCTGCTCTCCTAAGCATGCTTATGGACACGCGTTTTAAGTGCAGACGGCATCAGACCATCTGTGAGTACTTTGGACATTAAAAGGAAGTTTAATTTTAACAGTCTTTCTGTCCTTTTTTTTAATTCAATCCTTCGGATAATTCAACCAAATTTCAAGGTTCCATCGAGGTTGAATTAACGAAAGTTTACTGTATGTAAAATCAACCAGCTCGCCTGTTTAGTTACTCTTACTTGAAGTAAACTACTATAAATACAGTGTACTTTTAAAGTAAAGTAGAAGTACCTTTTAACACTATCTTTCATGGTGCCTTTTCATTCCCCTATAGTGTTTTCTTTTTTTTAGTGGCATGCGTTGGCACTGGGTAATTGGGTGAGCATCATTTATTTTCGAAAATGACGGCGAATATTAGATAACAGTTGTTTTACTCTCGCTGATGAACTATTTAACACAATCAAGTTATGAGGCACTCATTTGTTGACAAGGCATCATTTTGCAAAACAAATTAGACAAGGCCAAATTTGGGGAAATGTACTTTGAACTTGGAAGTTGTACTTCCCTCAAAAAGTACAAAAAAAAAAAAAAATCTAAGTGAAGTACAAGCACACATTCGGAAAATGTACTTTAACAAAAGTGCAAGTTTTCTAAACCTACCGTAGAATACCGTGCATCCGCCCATACCACATTAAGTGCCCATACCCAAATTTGTAAGATCTGAGAAAATATGCACAGTGCATTTATATGTAGAATTGATGACCGGACAAGCGCCCATCTCCCATTTTTTCACGATTATCTCAAAATTATGAGTGGGTGCTTGCCCGGTATTTTACGGTACTTGAAGTAGTACTTTAAGTACAATGTCTCTCATTCATCATTAATCAAACCGTTATTCAGCAACCTTCGCCGTTCATTTTTTGCGCTAGATCCCCACCCCACAGAGTGCACAGCATCAAAGTTCCTTCCAGGATGATTAAACCGAAGTCGATATGCAGCACTACTGTTGCGCTCTCGTTACCTCGTCCCCGCGACGTCCTCCGTCTGCTCCGCCATGTCTTGCCCCTCTTCCACCGGCGTCTCGGACCGCGACGCCTCATCGTCAGAGTCCTCTTTTCCCACCAGCGGCGCGAGCTTAGTGTCGTCCTCCTTCTTGGGGCGGCCGCTGGGATGCCTCCGCTCTTCGAGTCGCTTGGCGAGGCGCCCCAGGCCCGAATACCACTTCTCCGTCGGCTCCGGCGTCGTCCGCACAAGCTTGGGGTCTACGAGAAGGACGCCGGCGGCCGTTGTGTCGGTGGCTGCGGCAGACCGCTTGCCGAATTTGGAGAGGTACTCCTTGACGGACTCCTTGACGGGCGATGACTCCTGCGGAAGCAGAGGAACTTAGGCGCGTCTCGATCTCGTCTGACAGAGTCGGAGATGCGCAAAACGCGCTACGAAAGAGCTGGACACATGCTGTGTGTGCGTCAGTCACATAAAGTCATATCACAACATTAGTCACATGACATCAGTCACAACCTCAATGTCACATGACATCAGTCACGTGACATGACGTCAGTCGCAACACCGTGATGTGATTGGCCTAAGCCATTTTGGAGCACCTTTCGGAGCAGCCGAAACAGTGTCTTGGAGCAGCAAACGTGGCCTTTGGAACAAACAAACCAGTGTTTTGGAGCAGCTAAAGCAGTTTTTAGAGCAGCCGAGACTGTTTCAGAGCAGCAAAAGTGACTTTTGGAGCAGATAATCTTAGAAAAATAAACATATTTGCTTTAAACACAACACAAAGGCACTTTGAGTTGTGTTGTGTTCTGATGTGACGTGTTGTGACAGAATTCGCTGCCTGTGTTTTTACTGATCAGATATCCCACAAGTGTACAGTGCTGTAGGCGTTGCTGAGCAATTCCAAAAAACCGCTTGCCACCGTTTTACTGGTTGCAAGCGTACCAGACTTTCATTAACAGTAAGCAAGCATAAAACAATGGATTGCAAGCATTCCGGCTAGTGTCTCTGTCGTACAATCATGTTCGCATACATGTGAGGGCAACTTCGACAAGCTTGCAATTGCGCGTGCTTCGTGGCGCGAGCGAAGACAAGGCCTGTTCGGTTGAAGCCATAACCATGCCACTCCGCTCCGTCGCCAACTGATTCCCAAAATTGTATGCAAAATGTAACTGCCGGGCACACAACAAAAAGCAGTCCAATTGCGCGTGCTTGCCAGGCCGGCAAATAAGGCACAAGCTAAACACACAAAAAAAAATTAACCTGAGCGCATCGATGCAAGACATTGCGAGCCAGGGTAGAAAATATCTTGGAGCGCTTTGTGCAACGACTGAACTCGAGAGAAACAAGCACACTGTGCGGGTTCAGCGTGCCGACTTTGCTTTCTTTGCATTAGCTCACTTTTCACCAACTTCCTTTCGCGGCAAGTTTTTCACGTGCCGGGGTCCCTCCCGAAAGAAAGACCACCGCGAGAAACCTAAGTAATCAATACTTCGACACTGCAGTCTTTGAGTTAAAGAGGCGGTTTTGTAGTAACGTATGATTTACACATGAACAGGAATGTTCTTGTGAACAGGAATGTTTTTATACGAGAATAGAAACAGAAAGTGTCATATCTGCAGCAACGTTGGGACAGTAACACCCGACGTTGTTCGACCACGGTGACTGGAAGGTAGGGACCAAATATTTTCACGGCCATTGCTTTTAGAAGCGAGTGCTTCAGCTCACAAAATAACTCCCGCTGCGCAAAAACATGTGGTTTCGTTTGACAGAATGACGGCATTGCTAGTACTTGGCATAATAGCGTCGAAGCGTCCGCACACACCCGCGTCTATTGTTGAAAATATTTTTAAAGAAGACGCGAGACGAGACTCATGAGGCGAAACGACGAGAGCGGGAAACGCAAGACAACGGGAAAACCATGCAAGACCGGGTGGACGAGTGATACAGGGTACTTTGTGTCGGACAGCCGCTTGCGCCAGGAAACACACGCATGCTCAATCACAATAACGGTTGATAGTGGAGCTTGTTGGTACATACTTGTATATATATTTGACAGCTTGAACCAGGGGAAGATATAGAGAAATTGAGACAGGAGAGAATAGACAGCTGACTACCAACGATTATTTAGTGGGAACTTCTTTTTCCTTGCGTGTTTTCAGACACCAACAAAAATTATTACATATTAAAACCTATTATACTAATATAATAATGCATGTGTATGTTTACAAAATTTTCACATTACCTAAACCTAAACTAATATTTTAAATTCACCCGCCACAAGCTCATACTGCCATTTTCTGGACCGTGACGCACCGTAGATATTGTCTCTCCTTTTTGTGAATAGTGATGGACGGGGTGCTGACGCACCCACTCGCTTGTTCTTCGATAGCAAGTGCCTCGAGCATCTCGCGCGCATGAGTATTGTTATTACTGGCTAGGATGGTTATGTCCTTGAACGCTGCACTGCAGTGGCAAGTCCTGCAATGAGCTGCAAGATGCCCTGCCGACGTTCCTTGAAGGGATGCTGCGTGCTCGCGGGCTCTGTCAATAATGCATCGGCCCGTCTGGCCGATGTAGCACTTCCCGCATGAAAGGGGAATGTTGTAAACCACTCCTGTCATGCATGGTACATATTGTGTTCTGTGGGCAATGTCGCACGTTTTTTCTTTGCCTGTTCTGTTGTTAACTCGTCTGCACATGGAGTACGCTTTGTTAGGCGCGGAGCATACTACTTAGATCTCATTCCTCGCGGCGATCTTTTTCAATTTGTGCGTAATCCCGTGAACGTATGGTAGCACAGCGATCTTCCTTCGGGTTTCCTCGTTTACTTTTTTGCCCGACTTTGCACTCTTCAAGTTTCTGCAGATGGTCTCACAAACGGGTACCAAGATACTTGTTGGGTATCCCGAATTCCGTAATCGTGACATCTGTTTTCCAAAGCTCTGCCCTATCTGGTGTTTACATGATTTGTTTAAGGCAGAAACTAACGCCGTGCTGGCGATACCTCTCTTAATAGTTCTTGAGTGGCCAGAGGTAAACGGCAGAAACCCTTTTGCCGACCGGGGTTCAAAACCTCCAGCAAACGTGCCCTTGTTGGAAAATTAGCGCGAGGTCTAGGAATTTAATATTTTTGTCCACAGGTGATTCATGTGTGAACACCAATTCGGGGCAACTTTCTTGAAACACTTGCAGAATAGTATCCTTGCATTCTTCACTCTGGTCGTCACCTTCTGTGGCACAAAGTACTAAAAAATCGTCCACATATCGGAAGATGGCTGTGACCCTTGTATCTGTCAGATTACTTGCGATGATCTTTCCGCATGCCCCCAGGAATAAGTCACACAATTGCGGCGCTACCCCGAGACCCAATACACACTCCACTCTTTTGCACATACTGTTGATCTTGAAAGTCTACTACAGTGGAAGTCAAACATACACCTAATAGTTCCAAGAAGGTGCTCACACTTAGTCCAGCAGTATTCTGAAACGCTGTAGAGCCCTGCTCCTCGATGGTGGATCGGAGAATTGCCATGAGTCTTCTGTGTGGGATTGAGTAGTACATATCTTGGATATCGATGGAAAATCCAGATGTGACGCTTTCTCCATTCTTCTTAAGATATTCAATTAAATGTTCCGAATTCTTAATTCTGTACGGATCGTCGGATTCTATCAAGGACAACTGTTTCGCCAGGAACGTCGACAAATGGACTTGCCAGGTTCCTCTTTCTGACACAATGGCCCGAAACGGTATGCCTTCCTTATGTGTTTTTGCTGAGAAAAAAACTTGCAGGTGTCCCTTCTTCGTTTTCTTTATTTTTGTGCTGAGGCTGTTAAGCTCGTTGTTATCAAGTAGCTTCAGGGCTGCTGGTTTAGACTTCTTGCTTCTTTTTTCTTCCACATGAATGAAGTTCTTAGCCCTTGCAGCAGAAGCTTTTTCTTCGTATGCGTCTGAATCTAAGACCACAAATCCGCCTCTGTCTCAATTTCTCTATTCGCGTCTCCAGCTAGACGCTCGCCCTCCCGCGGCGGAAACGGGAAGCGCTCTAGTGAGGGTCCCCCGATTCTCCTGCTCAGCGGGCATGGCGGAACTGCTCGCGATCATGGCTCGCGAAATGTCGTTTCCGAATGCAAACAACACTCTACACTGTCCCAACGTAGTGCTGCAGCCGGTATGGGATTGTACCTTACTGGAGAGTTTTAGTATTGCGCATAGAAGCAAACGCAAGCGGTGTGCGTTTGCGTTAGAGTTGCGTGCCCCACGTTGTGCGTGCGCCTCATCGTCATGCGCCATCCAAGACCGCGATTTCAGGCTCCGCGCACGCGCAGTGTGGAACGCGCAAAGCTAACGCAAACACACAGGGCTTGAATTCGCTTGTATGCGCAATATTAAAACTCACTACTGTTTCACCGGCTTCCAACGGCAACGAAACGTGCTGCAGTGAGCAGACGTGCAAGCAGGTAGGCGTTCCTTCGATCTGGAAAGGCTGAGATTAGCAAAACGACGGCGAGCAAATACAAAAGTAAATAAATGTTATGAAAAAACTTGTAATTAAAAAAAGGCTTTTTTTTAACTTTTGGGCATTTGGTCTGAAAGTATATTGGCGGCGTCTTTGGACGTTTCGCCGATTGTCAAAAGTCGCAACTTTGATAGCACAATTATACTTTACCCACAATTAATGTAATTTTACATGGATTTCTCACATTAGCTAGAATGTTTTCATTGATTTTAGACTATTTTTATTTTGTTTGCAATTAAAATGCAGCAAGTGGAACCAGTGATGATAATTAGCACAGTTTTCATTGTCATATTTCTTTGCGCGTTTAAATTAGATCATAAGCAAAAAATTATAATAGAGCTTGAATAATTACTTATTCAAATAAGTGAATTTTAATATTATTATAATACAAATCGCGGCAATGTATGCCTCTAATTAATGCCAAGATCACAAGAATACTCTATTTAACCATAATAGTCTTTCCAGAAAGGTATAATTCTGTTTTCTTTTTAGCATATGAAAAACTCTGACATAGTTATCAAGATAGACAAACAGTTAAACGCTGGATGTAATATGAAGTCCTATGCGTCACGCGGTGCTATAAAATCACACACACTTTAGCTGCCTGACTCTTGGGCTGTTGCAGTGAGAGCAGCGTTTATTAGTTTATGCGTTTTGTGGACATATTGTAAAAATTGGAATTATTCTCTTATTCTTGTGCTGGGATAATTGTCATTATTTCCCATGACAATTATCTGAGCGAGAAAAAGGCAGCGAGAACGCACAGATATCAGCACTGATTTTTTCAACAACGACGAATATCAGCCTGGATCGAACAGTATGTCACAAAATAAAGTTTCCGCGAACAACTTTTCTAAGTAAATAATTACGATGTGAGACACATCTTGAGTCATGAAAGAATCCGAAATTAAGACATCTGTCGAGAAATTAAATTCAAAATAGAGGTAAGTTTCGGTTTCACTCCAGAATTAAAACGTGCATCCTTCCGTAATTAATAAGCTAAACACCGTTCTTGTTTTCAGGTTAAAGAGGTGACCTACGCTCATAAAACATTAGCTTCCTCGAATTACCAGAAATAATTTATGTCGCTCAGTGAAGCCAGCACACTAGACAGGCTCAACAGCGGCACGCATCTCCGACCCTCACTAAACCCGCCATCTTGGAAAATGAGTGGCGCCACCTATAGTTAGTTGGAGTCGCGAATATCTTCCCCTGGTTCAAGCTGTCAAATGTATATACAATCACAATACTCAGTTTAGTTTCGGTTTCGAAAGGCAACCAAAATTGGTTTTTTGACACAGGCTTGGTGCAGATTACCCATATTTTGGCAACATGTAGCAGGATGTAGCAGGGTTCGCCACTTGGCACAGTTTGGCGCAGCAATCACATCACTGACAACATCAAAGTCCCATGACATCAGTCATGTGACACCATGACACAACATAACGATGCAAGTCAGATTAATGTCACAGGACATCAGTCATGTGACATCAGAGTCATGTGACATCACAATACCAGTCGCATGACGTCGGAGGCGCGAGACATCATGACGCTAAGCTGCACCGTGATGACACGTGATCTGATGTCAACTCGGGGTGTCATCTGATGTCATGACCTTGACCAGCGTGTTGTTTGAGCACGACGGTCGAGTGTCACGAGCATGAGAAAGATATTGTTTGGTTCGGTCACGTGAAGATGAGCAAACTTGCCTGGAAATACCTATGCGTAGGGTTGCACACTTTCGGCACATACCGATAAACCGCAAAAACTAACCCCCGAGCCGGTCTTACCACAATTGAGGAAAACTAGAAGATCCCAAATCGGAGCTGTCCTTCAATAAGAAAAACCCAACAAAAAAAAAAGATTCTTCGTCACAACCTGGCTGCTTTGCAAAGTAATTTGCACTGCAGCAACTGTTTCATTTTTCTGGGGGCATGCAAAAATGGCACTTCGAAACAAGTAGCACACAAGTAGCACTGCATCATTCAAAATGTTCACAGTGCAAAGAAAAGCCACAACAACCGCTCTCAGCACTTTCGAGGCTAGGAACGACGCTGCACTTTTCGGTTCAAACCACTAATTAAGAGCCCCTACTATATCACCACAAAAGCAAAGAGGAGATAAACTTAAAACTAAAAATAAATGTCTAATGGAGCAAACCTGTGCCCGTAACTAAAATTGCAAATCCTGCGTCGGCGGCAAAGGGGCGACGGTAACGAAGCGGCAAGTTGGCCTTGCCTTTATACGTATGGTGCATTCGGAAATGTTCTGAACCAGAACTTACCATGATAGCCGAGAATTGGTTGGAACTTTCCAGCTGAGCAAAGCTTGGTCAAAGAGAACTAGGGCAAACGGGGTTTGATCCACATTCCGCGCCGTGGCAGCCGCGTGCATTACTAACACACGTGGTTGCCAGTGAGGTGGTAAGTTGGGCTACTTAGCGATCGTTAATGAAAAACAGTGCTCAAAAGGGACCAGACAAATGGAAGGAAGACTAGACAAACGCGTGCTAACTCAGAACCTAAATATATATTAAAGAAGGAGAAAGAAGAGGAGCCAGGCAGCAAAATAAAGGAACACAAACAGAAGGCACTGTGTGGAATGGTAACAAACAATATATACAAACAAAAAAGGTCATCCTTATCCTACATTTTTTCTTTTCATTTCTTTTTGTTTGAGTATTTCTTTGCCCTTCTGCACAATGCCTTGTGTTTATATTCCTTCAGTTCACTGCCAAGTGTTCCTGACCTTTCTTTTAACATGTATTTCAGTTGCAAGTCAGTGTGTGTTTGTCCTGTGTTCAAGGGATGGGTGGCCAAGTGTCCTAGCGCACCCCAGCCCGGAGCACGTGTAGCGAAGGCCCGTGCTGCAGGACCTGGGTTCGATCCCTACCCCGCCCGTTTCGATCTTGACGATCGTCGTACCAGTGTGCGGTCGTGCATCGCTACTGCGCGACGCACGTTCAAGACCCAAGGCTAGTGGTCGTACTGCACTGGCTAAATTTCTTGTCTCCAGCGAACAACGTCGCCATACTACGGCGGACTAAACTGCCACTGTATGTGGAGGGCAAGTTTGCCTGCTTCCTTTGCAGGGGTTCTGGTGACGTCAAAACGTCGAGCTTCGATTGGCTCCGATTGAAGGATAGTAGGTAGACCTCAAGCCAGCTTGCTTTGAGGTCTGCCCACTACCCTTCAATTAGAGCCAATTACAGCTCGGCGGTCCGACATCACCACAACCCCTGCAAAAAAAAACAGACGAACTTGTGTTCTCAGTAAACAACTAACGACTAATTTCTTTTATTGTTTTGCCCCGTCCCTTTGAACACTGTTTTTCATTGGGGACAATATTCAATTCAATAATGCCCTCCCATAACCAGCATTTGCTTTAAACTCGATATCATCCATCTGCATGTGCGAGCGACCTCACCGCTTTCAAAGCATCCGTCTCGGCGGTGGCGAGATTCTCGAGGGAGTGACGCCGGAGCAAGTTGACTCGTACGGGCGCATCGCTGATGTCGGAAACACCCAGAGGATCTCGGTCGGCGAGGGAGAGGAAACGATTCGAGTCGGCATCCTCCTTCCCCTCTTTCACGGTGCCCCGCTCCGTAGAGGAGTCCCTGGAGCCAGCCCTCTTCCCTGCACGGTCCACTTCAATGGATCCAACTACGGATGGAGCCGATTCATTCCTGCAAGACCGGAGACAAATCCATGGTTCCAAACTTTTACAAAACACTACTATATACATTTTATGACCGACAAAGTTTGATACATTATTTTGTGTAAAGATTCAAATGCGTGGAATTTTTACGATAATTCAAAAACAGTTTTATATAAGCAATACTCTATTTAATGAGGTTTGACTGTATATTCTAGGGTAGTGGCTTGCAGTTGCCAATGTTTTTGGGCCCACATTGGTAGAAGTGACCAAAGCTCCTTGATAAAAGTCGCAAGCTTCACGTTTCTTTCGAGTACCGACATGGGCATCGTTGTGCGAACGCCAGAAGCCCGTTCATCGAGCAAGTGCAATGCCGCCATTGGCTTTGCTTTGGCACACTTGACACTACTTGCAAGACAAACACAAACATTGAGGGGACAAGGGACTTTCTCCAGAGTGAGGAAAAGCAAAGGTCAGTCAAAACTCAAGGTGCCTAACCAAACACACTCAAAACCGGATCTAGAACCAGGCTTCCAATAAGAAGCCCAACGAAGTCCACTGTACCCCGCCTTAGAGCCAAAGTCAAAGTCAACCCTAGCCTGATGCATCCGCCAGGACAGGGCAACTTAATAAGGTAGCAAACTATAAGTACTACAATAAAACACTGATGTAAAGCAAAGAGGAATGCTCTTTAAAGAACAATGAGGTACCCAACAACGCATCATTAGGACGAAAATAATCCCTGGAGAAGGGAACAAGAGAGACAAAGGACAAACACAAATCTCCAAATGCCGGTCTAATGATGCTTATAAGCATCACTAGACCCACATTTATAGCAGAGTCAAGCCGGACATATACACCACGGCAGGGCAACCTAATAAGGTAAGAAACTATAGTCAGTTACAATGCAAGACAGTGAAATCCCGCCCGCAAAGCTCTCTAACCTCCACAATTAGCGGTTTCCTCCTCTCCAGCCTTCGCTCTGCAAAAGTGGAAAGAGTGTAGGGCTTTGTACAAGGAGCTTGTCCCACTAGCCTTAACCTGCGCCGGACAATCAGTACAGTCAAAAACTGATTTAGAGCATACACAGACTGTTCACAGCCCAATAAGGTACCCGATAAAGCACCATCACATGCCCCTTTAGAGCCAAGTCAAAGCCGACCTAGAGTAAAGCCAAGCCCGAGGCACCCACCTGGGTAGGACAGCCAGTTCACTGGGTGGCTGGAGCTCCTCGATGCCTTCCTCGCAAGGATTGTAGCGGAAGGACATGACGGGCACCGCAGGGGGAGGGCCCTGCTTGCCCGTCAGCTTGGACAGGCTCAGCCGGTGCGACATCGGCAGACGCCGCTGCCACTGGCGTCTGCTACCGGCAGCAACCCCTCAGTGTGCGCCCCTGGCCGGCAAAGAGAAAACTCTCGCATCAATGCAGGTTTCAGACGTTTGCACTTGACCGTGCTCAAGTGCACCTCGCTCGCTCGTGACTACGGTGCTTGGAACGCATCTCTGACTGCAGGATGGGCGTCTGCCACATCTGCTACCGCTGCTGCGACGCTGCCAAGATAGCACCCGGCGATGGCGTGATACTTCTACGGCGTCGCCGGGCAAAAACAGAGAGAGCACTTTTCTAAATGCAGTGACTTGCATCTTCTGGACGCAAGTCTCGTGCTTTGGCGCATTTGACGTCGCTCGTAAGACAGACACGTCAGGGGGCTTTAGACAAGAGTGCACGCTGGCGCCGTCTATCAAGTAGCCCGGAAAACTCCCAATCTACACGTACATTATCATACCTTTTTTATGTATCATTCTTTTGCTGTGGCCTTAAAGGGATGGTGAACCGAAATTTGGACTTCAAAAAAACAATGCAGGAGATGTAGGCGGGACGCTACAATCTCTACAACACTACTTGTAAGGCGATATCTCAAATGGACGGCCGTATTTTTGGAAAAAGAGGTCGAGATTGAACCAGGCCGACGAGGCGAGTGACGTCACAATACCTTGTTTCCTCCTCTCTTCGCTTCGCTCCCTCAAGGAGGCGAGGCAGAGAAGATGCGAGGCCGTTCCCTCTCCTTCTCGGAGAAACATGACGTCAACATTTCTGCCAAATGCACCCCCTTTTTTGAAAAATACGGTCATTCATTAGAGATATTGCTGTATGAGTGATGTTTTAGTGTTTGTAGCATCCCGTTGCACGCTTTTGCTGCGCGTTTTGGGGAATCTAGATTTCGGTTCAGCATCCCTTTAAAATAATTCAGAAAATGTTGTAAGCGACTCTTTCTCGTAAATGATGCATAGATTGTATCTCGTGAATGAGGAAAAACCTTCGGTCTGATTGTATGTGGATTGGAAGTGTCCCGGGGTTAACTGGCCGTCGGAACGAAACAGTGTGTCGAGGAACGTCGGCTGGTCCGATGCTTAGCAAGCGGACATTAGGTTTGTCTCTGGATATAAACGAAGTTTACAAGGATTAATTGAATTCCTTAACGCCCAGTAAATGAACTCAACTGTCGATAGTTTCCGAGACTCTTGCATCGTTGCCGATCAACAAATTAAGTAATTGCCCGCCAATCCTCGAGGCAATTGAAGATTGGGGATCGTTGAGACAATTTCTGAGTGATTAAGAAAAACTTGCCGAGTAAAGAGGCAATGCTGCTTGCCAGAACTGCCAAACAAGTTGCACTGAAGTCAATAGACCTGTTGTTAAATTAACCAAGCATCAAGAAGCATGCAGGGAACATGGTTACACGCGCTGTGCCCGCTCGCCTTGCCTGTATTAAAGATTTTAAAGAAATCGTAACAAAAAGGCACTCGTGGACGCACGTGCAAACTGCCACTTGTTTTAGATTTTTGCTTCGAAAAAATGCTACTGCCAACGTCATTACATGCAGCACACGTAACTATGTTCCCTGCATCCCAAGCAGCACGGATTTTGGCCATGCATTGGCCAATGGCTGGCAATAGTCTTTTGGCCAGTGGCCAAAGAGTGGCCATTCATTGGCCAATGGTTGGCCGATAGCTGATGGCCAATGGCCAGAGAAAGGCCAGGCATCGGCCAAGGGCTGGCCACTGGCCAAAGGACCATTGCGAGCCATTGGCCAAAGATTGGTCAAATCTGTGCTGCTTGGGTCATTTAGTAATAGGTCTATTGCAGGTCACTGAATATAATTTCATTGTTTTGCAACCCTAAACAACTTCGGAAACTTTGTAATGATGCACATGTCACACTGAATTACTGGCAAGTCAGTAGATGCTCCAATCAGCTAAACCTTGAATCAAGGACGAAAATAGCTCTTGTTAAAACAATCTGTAGAGAACCTATTTTGTGCAAGGATAAAAGAGAAATCTCCATTCACTGAGGGCCACTCAAGGATGCAGAACGGCAGTTTTGAGTGTTTAAAATTGATTAAAACATAATTTAACAGAACCATGTTTTCAAGGTCTGCCTGCCTAACAGTCACGAGTGAAACGAGCTGGTTAATTTTATTATGCGCATGCGCATTACAGATACTTTATCGAAGCTTGTGTCTCTTATCCAGATGTTTGCCCTTGTCTGCGTTATCACAACGTGCCGCACTTGCACTCGGGGACAGAAACAACAGATAACGCCAGTTCGGACGCAGAAACGTGACTCAAATTCTGAAGACTGTCTCCAGAGAGACATACTGTTATGAAGACACTTTCTCCAGACCCTTGTAAGAATAGAGGCACTAGATGAACTAAGGGAGCCCCAAGGTTTTCTCTCTTTATAGTAACACATTTACTGACATGTAGCGATAGAGAAACAAAGGATAAAAACTTATTGTCATGGGAGCATTTCAGAAGAAACAAGAAAGGCAAAAAAATGAATTAATTAAAAGTTTATACAGTTAAAAACATTATGGCCTTGATTAAAGAAACACAATTGGAAGAATTCATACATGAATTTAGGGTCTTAACTTTACCAACTGTCAACTATTGTCTTAAACTATCCCCAGTTCTGGTGTTCTTTGCATCTGTTTTTCGGTGCATTTTAATTTGCCTTACATGCATTGTTTGGCCGCTGTAGTTGAAAGGGTTGTTTGGCCCTGTCAGGCACCTATTGCTTTTAGCCATGCCTCGAAGACAATGTTGTGGTCTTGAATAAATTGCCCTGCATGCATGTATGTAACATACACCCGGTGTTTCAGCAAAAACATTAAAAAACCTAAAAATAGGGTGGATAGAAAAAAACAAAAAATTCCTTCTGGGAACAACTTGCCAGCCACTGCAGATGTCAAATTTCCAAAAGGCATACTAATTAGCTAAATAATTAACTAAAATCTACTATTAATAAACTTTTTAATTAGTGTAGATAAACACATGGTTTTAATTATAAACATGCGGAGCATCGCCGACAACACCTAAAACAGTTAACATTTTTAAGTCTCTAAGCATGTGTGAAATGTGGGTGTGCACCGAAGTTGCCACACGTGCAGAAAGTGCAAGGTTGGCAATGCAAAAACGCAGATGACGTTCTTATCATTCGCGTTTTCTTAGCTGAAACACCCAGGATAGCTTGCCAATAAGGCACATAAATAGCTTCTACAAAACAGCCTTCAAATTGCTCTGCAATCGCTCCAGGTTGCCCAAAGTCAGTCTTGGGCAGTAACAAGTTACTAGTAACGCGTTACCGGTAACTTGTTACTTTTCCCGGCAACTTTTACCTGTAACGCGTTACTCTTTAATACTGGTAACTTGTCACTGTAGCACGGTTACTTTTTTATTGGGTAACTGTAACTGTTTAGGCCGTTACGGATATTTTTTTTTTTTACTACATAGATTAGAACCCACTCCGGCGGATAAGGAGAAATTGCCATCTTAAATTATTTTGCCCCAAACTCCTCGCTGACAAAAAAAATAAAAAGCGTGACTACAAATTAAAGAAGAAATTGTCTGGTTTAGCCCACGATCGAGAATGGACGACGGACGAGTCAGCACGAAACCGTGAGAGATAAAGGTGGTAGGGGCGGCAAACAATGTCTGTTTCACTGACTTTGGCTCACTCTTCTCTCGTAGGGATCGTCTGCGGGTGTCGGTGGTCGTGCGATGTCTTTGAGTATTCCGTCTGGGCTGTGTCTCCGATACGTCCGTGCTATCGTTTTTACACCCAGCCGTTCGCAGACTCCTCATCCCTATTAGTTTTCAAGGCAGCCGTCCCCATAATGTGCAGAAAGCTGGCGCTTTAACCTATTCATTCTCTTCGGAGCCGCTCGAGTAAACATGACTTCCACAGTTGGCGTTTCGGACACAGACGTTGCGGTGCTCGTCGTACACTCGTAGAGCACCAGAAGCTAACTGTCTCATTTTCCCCTTCATCCTTTCGAAGCTGTTTGACCTGCTATGTTTAGGCCTGCTTCCGAGTATATCCCATAAGGTAATTATGTGACCGTCTGTGCCCTCATTCGTTTCGGAGTGAAAAATAAACCAAAACGTTCACTGACGCGGGCCGATGACAATTTTGAAGAACGGTTGATTCCAAGTTATAACAATTATTGAAAATAAATTCTGCACATCAAAACGCTGAAACGGCGAATGACGCAAAAAAGAAACACCATTTCGGTTTGAATTTGTCTTATTTCTCAGTTTACCTTTCTGCTCACTATAGTGTAACAAATAAAATAATATTGTTTTGGTTTGTGATTTCTTGTGTCCATTTTTTTTTTTACTGTAACGAGAAAGTAACGGTGTTACTGTTTTTGCAGTAACTGTAACTGTAGCATGTTACATTTTGGAGCCGGTAACTGTAATTGTAAGAGAGTTACTTTTTCCCCTAGGTAACTGTAACACTGTTTTTTATTGGTAACATGCCCATGACTGGTCAAAGCGACCCTTTACACAAGCTTTATTTCTTTATTTTACTTCCAAATCTGCATACTTGCAATGTGATCTCTCCCATTCAACGGTAAAAAAGAGAGAACCAGAACAATGTCTCGCTACAGAGAACTACTTGCGTCGCGACATCTGGTCAGTGGCAAAGCGGAAATGTGAATAATGACATCTTCCAAATTTTCGCTTTACTGATTGCAAACTATGCAAACATGATTCGATCACTGCATAAAAGGTACTACATATATTTTTTCCGAAGATGCATTCCTGTGAATGTGAATGGGGCCTGGCAGTTAGGCAAGACCGCGATGTTGCGGTTCGACAAGTCACTTTGGCCTGCCACTTTTAAAAGCAGTTGCAAAACCGGTCGAAGGTGTGTCTCACAAGAAAAAATGACAAAACGACAAAGTCGAAATATTCAATCATGGCTGCCGACTCACGCAAACTCGGCACAATGCTACGTCTCAAACCAAGTTGACAACAGACAGACAAAAATGATTGATTGACCAAAAAAATAATAAAAAATATGCTAACCATTAAACACGTGCCTTGCCCGTCGGGTGATATGCTCTTTTTTTAACGTACGAGTGGAACGAAATGCCTTATTAAGCGTGCACTCTAAGCCCTTATGGGTTTTCTATTTTTATGCATTCATATTTCACACACCGTGTGTTTCGTTTATTCTGTTCCAACTCCCTTTTGAAACCTGGTCGTGATACAAGCGTAAACAAACGGGTGTTCACAAAACTGGCCCACAATAGACATTTAGTTTGAAGCATTCTTTGGGGAAGTGTTTCGCGGTTGCTCTAGCGGTTATTCAGTTATGGTAGACTGAACATCTGGAAGATTGTCCGAACTCATTTTCGCAGCAATCCATTTAGCTCCGGGGAAGCTATTCAGGGAGAGCCGATAGCGTCAGTTCCACTCGACGCCGCATCTCCACAATCTGGGGCATAGTACTTGGCCGACGCACGTACACTGGCCTTCCATCTTTTCTTTACACTGGCATCTCCCATAATCAAATCGACATTTTGCTGTTCTACACTTTTTGACTAATTGTTGCCTACCTGCTACCGACAACTTAAGAAACGCGAAGTGCAAAGAGTGCCGGAAATTTTATATTTGTTCTGCGCCCAACAAGGATGTGGCGTTTGGTAATAACAACACGAAAGAATAAATCGCGAAGTAAGAATTGTGAACATGACAAAGCCCCGCCCTGTACAGCATTTCCGCCCGTGACCAAATTCTATTTTCGTTTGGCACAAAAACGTTTTTGGGCCGCGCTACACAAATTTTTAACGTTCCCCGTGCAGAATTCAGGAAAGATGCCCATCTGAAATCGGCGAAAGCCCCTCAGGTTCCCGAGCTGCGTCGTCTGTAAAGTTAAGCTGCTCTCGAGCAGGCTGTCAACCATCTGGACACTGCAGATACATCGCGAGGTATCTTTAGTGATGCAAGCAAAAGATTGCGTGCATTCTATTTGTGTCGAGTGCAAAACGTGCGAAGCGCTTTGAGGGAGTCGCAAAACAGAAGATGGACATGGGGTGACGTGACAAATCCTCGTGCTGTCGTGAGATTAAGTCGTTGCAATTTTTCCCTCAACACATTGTGTATAACGAACACGAGTCTTTTTCTTTCCTTTTACTTTGCTGCAATGGAGGCTCTGCAGGTTACTGCAGCAAGTTCTTTATTACTTCTCCTACAGTGAGCACCACCTAACAAACTTTTGTTTTTTTACAAAAGGATGTTTCTTTTAATAATATTGCGTATATGCTAAGACCGCTCGTTCGCTGCAGAAAGAAATGTTTGAGGAAGAAAGAATTCTCTAAATGTGTCTTCAGAAGAAAGCAAAAAACTAGTATGTGTCAGCCCTGCTTTAAGATTTATAAACATGCATTTCTTTTTTTTTTTTTTTTTTCTTTTTCTGGGCACTAGCTTGTCAAATAAAATTCACTGTTTTCTCATCGCATCAATAGCCCGAACCACCGAGGACATGACATATTAAAGTTCCCTCCGTTTCCAGGAGCATTGAAGAGGATTCCAAGGATGTCATAAAACCATTTTTTTTCACTCCCTAAGTAAAGTGCCTTGATTGTCCATAATATATATATATATATATATATATATATATATATATATATATATACCGGGTGTTTTTGCGAAGACTTTCAAAAATCCTAAAAATTAGGGCGATTGAACAAGGAAGAAACTCTCTTCGGGAACAAACTACCAGCCACGGCGGACGTCAGGAATTGCCAAAAACCTACTAATTAGCCAGATAATTAATTAAAACTTGTTAATTAACTTTTTAATTAGGGGAAATAGACATATGGTTCCAATTAGAAAGTTGCTGAGCGTTATTGAAAACCACTAAATCAGTCGTTTTCAGAAAGACTTTGAGCGGGTGAGAATTGTAGTAGTGCACTAAAGTTACCGCTCTTTGAGCAGGTACAAAGCTAGCGGTTGCGATAAGGCGTCCGCGCGATTTTTCCGTCTCTTATCAACCCCCAGCCTTGTACCTGCTCCACGAGTGGTAACTTTAGTGCGCTACTACTCTTCCCAAGCACTTAGTCTTTCTGAAAATGACTAATTTAGTGGTTTTCGATAACGCTCAGCAACTTTCTAATTGGAATCATATGTATATTTCCACTAATTAAAAAGTTAATTAACAAGTTTTAATTAATTATCTGGCTAATTAGTAGGTTTTTGGCAATTCCTTACGTCCGCCGTCGCTGGTAGTTTGTTCCCGAAGAGAGTTTCTTCTTTTTTCAGTCGCCCTAATTTTTAGGATTTTTGAAAGTCTTCGCAAAAACACCCGGTATATATATATAACGGGCATGGTGGCGGGAGGCCGAAGGCGCGGGTATATAACTGAGAAGAAAAAACCCTTAGTGAAAACAGCAACAACGGACGATTTAATCTTCGACGTTTTGGCCGGAGTCCGGCCGAAACGTCGAAGATTAAATCGTCCGTTGTTGCTGTTTTTCACTAAGGGTTTTTTCTTCTCAGTTATATATATATATATATATATATATATATATATATATATATATATATATATATATATATATATATATATATATATATGTGTGTGTTTCCCCATAGCAAGGAAGGTTTAAAAGTCTTATTTGAACGCAGTTTTAGGTGAATCTTAATGATAATGCAGCTGATCTGAAGGACAACATCCGAACGGCCTGTGCGTGCGATACACCCAAAATAGCGCCGCAAACTACGCTCATTGTAAATGCCAAATGAAAACGACCGCAACATTTACAAAGGAGCCTCGACTGTTAAACAAAAATTAAGATATTTTGTTTTCCTTTAGACTATTACGTTTCATTTCTCAAAACATTTACGATACGTACTTCGCGCAGTCTATTACAAACGCGCACAAGCCTTCATTCAATACGCTCAAAATGCACGCAACATCAAACTATTGCCGATAAAAAAAAAAAAAAAAAGAAACGAAAGACAGCGCGATTTCTGAGGCGTGGAACATCGTACATATACGTGTGGGCGTATTTTTTTTTTTTTTGCCATGTTACAAAAGCGCTACGCGGGCACATGTGAGAAAAAGCTTGCAACACGATGAGTCAGCTAGCGACGACGCTGCGTACATCCGCACGCCACATACAAGCAACCCTACTGGTTAAACCGAGCTATGCTTACTAATAACGTTACTCCCAATAAATAAACGAGACGTGGAGTCACGAACCACCATCGGATAAGCAGCTGCGCTGAAGCGAAACGAACCAGACAGGCGAGCACAGCCCGACAACCCGGAAGCTCGCAATTTTGTTTGTTGTTAAACGGGGGCTCTAGGCAAGGTGCGTACGCGCGAACGAGACTTTTAAACGAGCCGACCTCTTGTCCATTTCCGCACAATACACGGACGCCCTAAAAACAAAATTAAACAATTACTTACGTTTTTAACGTTGATGTCAGATGATGCAAAGAGCTTGGCGTCGTTCATTCGAGTCCGTGGCTCACCCACGGCAACAGGTGTTGTGGGAATTTGGCCAGTTCATGCTCGTAGATGGCTTCGTTTCTGAGAGCGGCGGCGGACTTTTTGCGTTTCGCTGAGGTTACGTCGGTTTAAAACGTCGGAACGCGACGCGACGAAGGATTATCAACGCCGGGGCGACATTGGGTGATCAACATAAACTGACTGGCTCACTTCTTGCACACAAGAGCAAGAGCGCAAGAGCTGTGGCTGTGGCTTCCTCGGCTACTCTTGGCTAATATTGGCTTGTTGTCGTGTCATCAGCTGATGATAATGACACTTTCATTCTCGCTTTTTTGTATTAAAAACCTTAAAATAAATTTTAAAGTTCTATGTAGTCGCTTTAACTACATGAAATACTTAAATCAAATTTCTAAGTTAAAATCAGTGGTTAAACAAGACTGGCTACGGATGTGCGCTACGGATCAGCTTTTCAAATGGTGCATTCGGTTTGTCTAGGAACGTAAAAACATTTGCTGGCAAATTTGTAAAGTTTATGACGTCATAGCCCGTAGCAACTTCATGACGAGAAACAAGTGTGCGATCGAAGTGACGGGAAACAATCTCCCGAAGTGAAAGCAACTGAACGCGCACGCTATCCCTGATATTTTTGTTTTTGTAATCTTATTGTTGTTTCTCGCATTGTTGTCATAGGATCGGTGTGTGTCCTCGTCTGATCGCGCTTCAAGATTTAGGCAGTGACTTCGATGATCGTAGTCGTGTCAACGAACGCACACTATCGGCAAACTTCTGCGGAGGTTTGATTAATATGGGTGTAGGGGTTGCGCGCCATCTCAAAGGCCGCAAGTCGTCATGTGGACGCCTTGGATTTTGCCAGCCGTGCTGTGCTGTCTGCTCGTCCCGGTCCAATCGTCGTCTGCGAAAAGTTCGGCCAAGGTAAAAAACGCTATTTCTGGCGTATTCTTGGTTTCGTTTCGAACATCCGAACACGTTTCTAACACATCAGCTGCTCCAAGACGCGCAAGCTACGAATCTGCGCTGTATGATGATGTATCCCCTAAACACGTTGGCTTACGCAACGTATCGACACTTGCGAAGTCTTCGCGGCACAAAGGTTATGAGCTCCGACGGCAGCATTCTCGCTTATAAAAGGTAGGCTTCTAATGTTGTGGGAGAGCGCATCATTTTATCGAATCAATCCGCCGGCTTGAAACGTCGCGTACAATGGCGTTCAAAAGCGTTTTCCCGTATCAAACAACTGGGCGAAGACGGTGTCTCGCGCGCGCCGTACTAGCTTTTACTAGGGAGCCTACATACTGGCCGACGTATGTAGGCTCCCTAGCTTTTACGTCTGTAAGTAGGCCATTTCACAGCTGCTCATTCGTTACGTTGACGAATTCTCTATATTTGACTTTTGTTCACGATTTCGATCAAGTCCACGTCGGAAGTTTCGAAGAGATGAAGCCAAAGTCGAAATTTCGTTGGCTCAAATCGAGCGTGCTTTTCTAAGCATGTGCCACACGGATCTCCCACGAGAACACAAAAAATGTTTTGGACATCTTCCAAGAAACAAATTGATGGAATTAACCGCACGTCGAATCAACGTCTTGAGCATCTAGACCGTGGTTTTAAAAGCTCAAAGTACTAAGAAGAGAAGGAGGGAACAGGACAGAGCGCCATTTCACAGCTTTGTCCTTTGCCCTTTGCGCTTTTAAAACCGCTGTCTAGATGTTCAACCAACTAGCCCCCCAATTAATTCTGATGCAACGTCTTGAGCATTCATGCATGGACCGTCGAAATTCCTGCGGAAGTTAATACATACATTAGCAGCAACATGTGTCCCTGTTCTTCGTAGCTGTCTGTTAACGAAAAACATTTATTGCATGCCGACCATTTCCTTTAAGTCGCTTTGGGAATTAAAACGCTTCCTGGTGTCGAAAGCCCTTTTCTTACCTTTCTTTTTTTACCTCTGCTCTCGAGCATTTCAAACGGGGATCGGATCAAATCCTGTCTGACGTATCTTATGAAACGACAAATGTCTTGTTGCAGCGCAGGTGCTGCTGCGCGCCTGCTACTGCTTCGGTCGCATGTTGAATATCCCAAAGTGGTCTAAATAGTTGTGCAGTGCTTCGCTCCTCATTGTTTTGCCATTTGACATATGTTTCACCGTACAAACGTGCTCTGGGTTGACGCAACACCACCCGATTATGGTAACCTATTTTGACCGTTATCTAGACAAAGACGAACAAACTATTTTTATTTTCGACGCACCGCCGGCGTCCTACTGCCAACCTATGCGGAGCGCAAGTTTGTCTGCTTCTTTTGCACGGGTTGTGGTGACGTCAGAACGCCAAGCTTGATTGGCTCTGATTGAAGGATAGTGGGTAGACCTCAAAGCAAAGCTGCCATGAGGTCTACCCACTATCCTTCAATCAGAGCCAGTCAGAGTTTGGCGTTCTGACGTCACCTCAACCACTGCAAAAGAAGCAGACAAACTTGCGTTCTGTATTGAGGAGGAGATCCCACCATCATGCCCTAGCGGCCAAGTCGACAACTAAACCGACGGGGACAGCAACGACATGAATTACTTTTTTGCGTTTCTGACACAGCGCTCGGCTGACGTAACTGAACGCTGCGTCAGCTTTCGATTGGCTAAACGCCGAGCTCTGCGGAAATGAATGGATGGGTCGGTATGGCTGAAGGTTTTCTGATCGGGCGGCGGCTTGCACCACCTAGGCAAAGCTTCTGGAACTTCTAAAACAAGTAGGATAGAGTGCCCCCTACCATTCGATCTCCTCGCCAATACCGCTGGTGATTAACAGATAAATCTGGCAAGCTGCACAACGTAAAGGGGACCACGAAATGGACAGTGACAATGCAAAACCGTATGATCCTCTTTCGTATAAATGTCTGTCATGATGTTCCACTGACAAGTTCATTACTGCTATAATCACTGACAGAATAAGAAAGTTGGGGTGTTTTTTTGGACATGTAGCCTCCAGCATGCAATCATTACCTTCTGCTTTGGCTGCACACACACTTAGAAGCTCAGGAGATGGCAGAGCATTATAGAAGCTGAAAGAAGCTCTTGTTAGAGGCAGCCACAATATGGCCTAAGTTGCTCTTGCGCCAAAAATACCCCAATTATTGTTAGAGGCAGGACAACTGACGGACATCCCCCTATAGAAGCCATCAGCTCCTACAGTTCTTCGTCCGTGGCCGCTCACCAGAAAAGACAGTAGTCTAACAACAGTTAAATATTTTTGTATTTCCTAAAAAAAATACTTGTTCATACGTTTCCTGTTTTTGCGAATATGAATAGCAGAATGTGCGCATTCGTTTATCGTGGCATGCAGAGTGGCATCGTCGTCCCTTCTGTATCAGGGGCGTGTTGTAGAATCTCAACTGAGGCCAGACTTTCTGCGTGTATATACGTGGACGTCGTTCTGAGTCCCGAGGCACGTTTCCAAAGATCTCTAGTGACAGCTATTCGACGAAGAGTGGCGGAGCGCAGCTGCCTATGGCAGTCGAACAGCACAATCAAAAGTTAGAGAACTCCGTACAAATTTTTCTCGTCTCAAAGCTGGGGGTATAAAAAACGAAAAGTAAAGAAGTGCCATCTGCGTTTTGTGCCATTACAATTGTTGCTTCGCTTGACGGCCTTGTGTGCAGCAGTCAGTACAGACACCCTCCTCGCTGGAATTATAAAGCTCTCCGCAGGTGCCGATAGAAATGTTTGCACCTCATTCTTTTTTTTTTGTAAAGTTTTTACTTTGTGATATTGAGACGGTACGTCGGCCGCTGGCATTTAATGCAGTCTCCGCCGTAAATTTTCAAGTCGTGTAGCTTCTGAACACGCAGTTCTCTTTGATTCCCTCAAACTTTTCTTTGTTTGAAAGAAGGGTATGCTATTGTCCAGTTTAGATGGTTACATGTTTGAAGCGTCTGTGTCTGTGGAGGCAGAACAATACTGGTTGAATGCTCTGAAAGGTTCCCTCCCCTGCAAAAACTGATTTTTCTTGTCGTTGTTGAAAGAAAATAAGATGGGTGACAGGGCAAGCAGTTGGCCCATTTAAAAAACATGTAGCCTGTTTGGGTTATAAAATATGTTGAAAAGATTATGCTTTAGAATTGGGCAATACCGTCCCCCTGACTATGATCCGTGTGAGAAAAGACGCAGCTTTAACGGCGCCCCTTCATCGAGTGTGGCGAACTGGGCAATATAAAGATGTAGAAGACCGTCAAGTGTCTGGAGCTTTGCAATTTAATGAACAAAGTATTTTAACGAGGAAGGAGTCGTGCAGGAACTTCTAGAGGTTCTTCCGGGTTGATGCATTGCTCTTTCGACTCGCCTCAGCAACTGCAGAAATGTTCTTTGTGCTAGGCTGCACGATGAGGAGAGATTTATCTGTAAAGAGAACCGTCTAAAAAGAAAAAAAAAGTTTTGACGTCTGTTTTGCGTTTCTCTTGTTATGTTTTGATCTGTGTTTTTTACATCTTTTGTTGGTTCCCCTTGCATTTTCACATTGTTCTGTGCTGCCATTTGGATTGCACTTCTTGCTGTTGTTTTCAGCAACCATGATCAAATCAAATCAAACTAATCTTTAGTTTTTTTGTGCTCTTTGTAGAGGAATAAGGGTCATTTTGACTGAATCCATTTTACAGGGAATGGTCTAATTTATTAATAACTCAGAATCTCCTAAAATCTGTGTGCATGTTTCTAAAGAAAAACAAAAATAAACAGGGTTGCTTTAATTCTGCCAATTTGTAAAAGGGACTGTCTTGAATTATGCATAAATATAGCATCATTCATCATACATTGACTAGGAGGCCAGTTGATCTTTCAATTAATTTCTCATTTTGTAGCCATGTAACTAAGTCACTTAGCTCTTTTGTATGAGCTACAGTCACTGGATAAGGCTTCAGAGTTGCATGCTGCTAGCTTGGGTACAGAATTCGATGGAAATATCTTGGATCTGGGACAGCCGAGCTGGATTGCAAAATCAACACAGCTGATAAGGCAGCACAGCTTGAATTGTGTGGTTCAGTTGCTCTTTCACATGATACGAAGTTAATCTACTAACACATTCGATATGTAGCGGTGATTTCTAACACTATTTAATACATTGAAAGCATGATGGCCTTATCAGCAGGGTTCAGTCCTTATGTTTATCGCTATACCAATGCGCTCACATTGAAGGAATGCTGAACCGAAATCTGTATTCGACAAAACACGGCAGTAAAAGCGTGCGACGGGATGCTACAAACACCAAAACATCACTCATACAGCAATATGTCGGACGGATGATCATATTTTTTAAAAAAGGAGGCGCATTTGACTGTTATGTTTACGTCTTGTTTCTTCGAGAAGGAGAGGGAACGGCCTCGCGTCTTCTCCGCCTCGCTGCCTTGAGGGGGCAAAGCAAAAAGAGGAGGAAACGAGATATGTTTACGTCACGTGCCTTGTCGGCCTCGCTCAATCTCAACCTCTTTTTTTCAAAAATACGGCCATCCATTCGAGATATTGCCTTACGAGTAGTGTTGTAGGGATTGTAGCGTCCCGCCTACATCTCCTCATTGTTTTTTTTTTTTTTAAATCCAAATGTCGGTTCACCATCTCTTTAAAGGGAAACTGAAGCGGTTTTGTATTTGAGAAAAAAACACTTAAATCGTCTTCATATGGCCTTCAGGATCATGAATATTAAAATAATATTTCAGCTGATGTGGCACGTAGCCACAACAGTGCTTTGAAAATAGCACTGAAGCCCCGTCTCCTTCCTGGCGCGTTCGGTGAGAGGAGGGAATAGTTATGTTATACGGAGATCTCAACATTCCCGCACCTTCTGCAAGCGTTACACATTCCCTCTCAAGTGGCACGCACAAGGCAGTTGAAACCTCTTGGTACGACTTCGCATCCGACGATTAGTTTTCGGTTTTTCTTGCATCCAGTGATGCGTTCAGCTGAAATGCTTGTGGTGCTCGACTTTACGGGTTAAAAATATGCAAGAGCTCATTTCTGTCTCGTTTTTTTTTTTCAAGAACCTCTTCAGCTTTCCTTTAAAATTATTCGCATATCTTTTTTTACCTGATTAATGTTCTGGGGTTTTTTTTTCTTCTTTTTTCAATGAATACACATGGCAATTTAACTGTCTTTTTTTGTGATATGTGTGCTGTCTGTATTAAACTCCGAAACACGTATCTTCATTTTGTTTTGTGCAGACAAAGTAGTATTCAGAGCTATTTTCTGATGCTCGTGCCCAGGATAATGTCGCACACAATTTTCAAGGTGTGGTGCGGTGCCAAGCAGTTGTAGCCCCATTGTCCGACATAGCATGCGATTTTTATGCAGCAGAACGCCTTCCAGGTGCCATTTCACTTGCGAGGAAGTGTTCAGAAGAAGGTTGAATGGGGGTAATGATCAATCGATATCCACCACCCATCTTTGCGGGGTCAGTCGTTCGACAGTTTGCGGACGACCGACCTTCAACCCTTGCGGCCATTGGGGTTTGCTCCTCTGTCGCCTGAAGAAAGGTGATTTGCTCTGTAAGGAGTAAAAAACACTGCTAATACAAACTTTTTCCTTCCCTTTTACGATTAGGAAGTCTCTACGTCTTAAAACCTCAATTATTTCATGCTGCAGTAGCCTACTTGTTGAGGAAAACAAACCAAGTAAAACCGAAACCAGATGACCATGTGAAATACTCCAAAAATCATTCGAAATTTTTTAGTCTCCCACCATCATGATGCATTTGAAGCTTCTTTGGATCAACGTGTGCTCCTTGTTTCAGTTGTCATATTGCTAAGTTTTATGTGGATTCTATTATTTTTATTAATGAATATGCCTTGGACGTCTGTTACTTCTCAAATAGTGTGACAATCGTTAATTTCTGTTCAGAAAAAATAAAAAACTTTTGAGTCATCAATTTTTTTTTTTTTGGTGCCGTGATTTTATAATGAATTTAGGCATGTTTACCGTAACATCCCGAGAGATAGCCCACCTAGAATCGATAAAAAATCGGATGAAAATAAGGGGTGGGCTGACTTTTGGGGTGCTATAAGAAAAAGTTGAAAAAATGCTAGTTTTAAATTTTGTGACCCTCGAAACTTGGGACCGCAAAATGAACCAAAAACAACTGTCCTTCCCAATCACCAATGTTCGCCTATCTCTCACTGTGGTTAAGTAACACCATTTTTGCCAAGGTCACCATTGGCCAGGGCTCTGCAATTACTAGAAGTGGGCTGTCTTTCAGTGTTTAGGAAAAAGAACCATGCCAAAAGTAGGGGTGGGCTATCTTTTGGGGTGTGGCATCCCTCGGGCCAAAACGGACTTAAGGACAGTGAAAGAGGCAACACCATTCAACATGCGAGCTTAAGCATGCTGCAAAGATGAAACAAATGTCGTACCATTTGTAGCCTTCGCAAATTTTATGGTCTTTTTTGCATTAACCAGTGTCTGGGATTTCTAGATTTTCTACTGGCCCTTGTTTGCTTGACAGCAAGCTCAGTGGTGCCACCTGTTGGTAGCCTAGGCACACTTCCGATCCACATATATTTTGTAATTTCTTTTTTTACACATCATTCTTTCATTATGAAAGTGATTTACGTCCGACAGTGCTGTAAGGGAATAAGAGTCTCAGCCAAGAAGAAGCCAGGACTTTTAGTGGCACCTTCCAATGTCTTGAGAAGTCTCCTTCCTAGTCGCGCTTTCACTCTTTCCTTTCGTTCTAAATTTGGACAAATTGTAGCCATCGGCAAACGTGGCAGGTGTCAGTTCCGTACTTGTGCGCAGACATGTGGAATGCGGCAGACGTTTGTTTTCGTGCAGGCGGAGAGACACCTGGCGGTCGTCGAGCCCATCATCCTCGTCTCGACTCTGGAGGGCACGCTGTACGCCATCGAGAAAAAGTCTGGCAACATACGCTGGTCCCGAAAAGAAGGTGAACATCTTTCTCTCCAGGTGGCACAAGCCGCCACCCAATTCAGAGGGTATGGCCACAATTAGGGTGCCCGGGACGTGCCTCCGACCGGTGCATTTGCCGCAGCCTCAAAGGAGGTTCCTCGACTTCCGCCTGATTACATGGCAGAACCGTCTTGTCCCTGCCTGTTGCAATCGCTGCGACGACACAGATGGTGGATGTGAACCTGCAGCAGATGCCTGTTCTGCTGCAGGTAGCTCTCCAGATTGAAACTCCACGCAAGCTTTGGCAGCCAGGAGTTTAAATGCCATAATGACGGCGACAGTCATTTTTGCTCTTTCTTTTTGCCGGGGCTTCTACAACTGACTCACAGTATTGCAATGTTTAACAGTGTGACACTTAGACTTTTTATGGCGTTATTTGTTGCCGCTTTGAGATCATTTTCGATGCATGGTTGGAATAGGAAGCTAAACGCACCAGTCAGAGATGCGATGCAGGCAGCATAGCCACCATGTTCCTTACACCACCAAGCTGACAGTGCAGTGGGAACTATGTGTTCGTTCAAGTATGTCTCACTTTTGCCACATGATCACGCTCTCATGCACGTGCGGAAAGTGGGGCCAAGTGATGAAAGGAAGGTGGCTGATTGGTCCAGCAAATATGTAGCTCCTCCCACTGCTCTGTCGGCTTAGGAGTGAACAGAGTATATCGTTAATCCATCCATCCGAAGGTGTGCTCTACTTTCGATCGAAGTAGAAGGCTTTGTATCAGTTTTGTATCTAGAAACGAAAGGGCAAGCTCATGCTAGACTTTTCGCATTGTGTTCGGTGTATCTCTAAGAACCTTGGAGTTTTTGCTCCTTTGTCTTAATCGTCGTTGTCGTTGTTGTTACAGAGCCTGTCCTGAAGGTACCCTTTGATCTGACCAAAAGGTGATTTTTTTTTTTTTATCTTTCTATTGGCTGAATATGTTAGAAGTTTCAATGAGTGATGTTAAAGTAAGGGAGTGCCTCGTATTTGCCGAGGAATTTTTTCTGTTTTCGAGTGAAAAGGAGGATGTGCACCTTGATGCATTTTGTAGAGGTAAGATGAAGTCAAACGTCTTTCTGATTCCTCTGGCAACTCTGCAAATTTTTAAAGAAACTCAATTACACACCTAAGGACAGTTATCAGCATTCTTGTCAAATGCTGCTTTTATGCATACGTCCACCTAAGAACCAACAATACTAGTTTTCACTTTAAAAACTGTCGTAAAAAGTATAGCTCCTTACATGGCAATACTAATTTCCCCTTAACATGGTCAGTTAGGATACTTGTACGTATGTGCATTGTAGATCCCTTATTTCATTATTTTTAATAATACATGTTTCAAAAGCAAAATGTATTTGTTGTTCCTTTGGCAACCAAATCTTGTAATAACTGCCATGTACAGTGTCTAAATAAGGTGAAAAAATCCTCTTTTCCTTGAGGTAACTTACAATGATCTTAGTCATATATTTAGAATGATGGTTTGTAATCGCAGGCATAGCTTAAGATGTGCTTCATGACAGTGTAACACTTTGTTTTTACAAAATATTTGCTGGTAATTGAAAACACAAAGTTCCAAATTCACCTATTGATAGAAATTTCAGTTTGTGACCAAATATCAATTGTATTTCGTCTGTTAGTGCCTTAACTGTTAAAAACAAGTTACATGGTCATCTCATTTATTGCCGCATGGGTACGAATTCGAGCTGGTCACATTTGTATTATTTCAAATGCTTACATTCATTGGTGTTGAAGCCAAGACTAGTGTACAGCTCAAATTATATTTGCTGGGGGCAGACATTTGCTTGAAGAAATGTGTGTGTGTATCTTTCAATAAGAGCGATCTAAGCCTTGTGATGCTTAATTGATTCTGATTTTAGCTTTGTGTATATTTCATAAACTGTATCGGAAAAGCGGTGATTGATGCCAGCTTGCTTTTGTTTGACGTTTGGGCGATAGGACAAGCTTTCTGCCTGACCCGAAGGATGGCAGTCTCTACATCTATGGTTTCGGGCGTGACACCGGGGAAGATGCCATCAAGAAACTCCCGTTCACCATACCAGAGCTCGTGGCAGCGTCACCGTGCCGCAGCAACGATGGCGTGCTCTACACTGGTAGGCAAGAATGGGATTAATTGATTGATTGATTGGTAATGTTTCCTAAGTGCAAAATCACATCCCTTCGACAAGTACAGTGACAAAGGGATGTGATATAATTGATTGATCAATGAATTGTGATTGATTAGGCTTCCCTGACACAAAAGCTACCAATGCTAAAGAGCACCAAAGAGATGTAATTGATTGATTTCTGTTTTAATCAAAAGAGCTACAAGGGATTTAGAGTGCCGAAGGGATGTGATCGATTAAGATTTTCTTGGCATAAAAGCTAAAAGCTATTAAAGCTATGGAGTACCAAACAGATAATTTAATTGATTGATTGATGAATTGGTCAATTGATTGATTGATTAGCTTTTCCTGAGCCAAAGGCTACCACAGCTAAAGAGTAACAAAGGGATGTAATTGATTGATTGATTGTTTTTTGTTGTCAAAAATGCCACTAGGGTTTCAGAGTGCCAAAGGGATGTGATTTATTGATATAAGGTTTTCATAGCACAAAAACTATAAGGGTAGAGAGTACCACTTAACTGAATAACAAAATATGTTGTTTTCTCGCCTGAATTTAGAATTGTAGTTTTATTGCGACCTTCCAGAATTTGAATAAAGTATTCATTCCGGTACTCAAAGTGATTCTACTCAAGTATTATTTCAGTGGAAAGTTATTTGGTTCAAATTCCACGCCTAAATTAGTACACCTTAAATTTAAGAGGGAGATAATAATGTTATACAAAACTTAAGGGGGACATAATACTGCTATACAATAAAAAAAATTCAGAAAACACAGGAGAGTAAAATACAATCTCATGTCCTTCGTTAATCATCATATGTTTCAAATGGAGCTGTTGGAATGAGCCTTCTGAAGCAAAAATAATGGCTATTGTCACGACCTGTTCTGGCTCAAAAGAGCTAAACAATTAGTTACGCATTCCTGCGAATCAAACTAAATGTGCAGTCGACTAAGGGATGGTTACAGAGAAAGGATAGGTGGAGAAAGCATTGTCCTTTGGTTGAATGGGCTGTCATGTGAATCTTATGGTAGCATTCGCAGGGTATTGAATGAGAACAAAGTGTATGCTCGTGCTCTGAAGGTTTGTTCCTTGCCTTTCTAAAACATTTTGGACCAGTCGCATTACTGGGTAGGAGAGCAGGCACGTCTCGGCGAATTCGGTTCCCTTCCCTGATTGGAACCCGTATGTGGACGATCTTTGAATGGATAAAGTGATGGGACCGCTGTGATCGGCAGAGTGGCGATTAGAGGGATGAACTTTTCGGCAAAGTGGCTATACTGCAATCACGATGCCGCCTCTCTGATGTGATGACGATTAAAAAGAGGATATGTTTTCAAAGTTGTGGAATTTGAAGGGTATTGTGTTTCATGCTTCAAACTTATTTGGTACCGATTCTTCCTAAGAACTTTTGATCAAAATTGATAGAATGCCGGGGCTTTTGTAAACTTTTCTATGTGAATGTGGTTCTTTTTTTTCTTCTTATTAACCATGAACGTAAAGGAATAGGAATATCAAAAACGGTGCTTTTCTGGCAGTGTCACTCAGAAAACAGGATTATACTTTGTTTCAACTTTTTTATCATGTTTGCTTGCTGGTTTAACAAAAAAATGGTTGATAGATATTAGATGACCTATCAACTTGCTTACTTTCTCTTACTTTCTTTTTTCTTCTTACTGTCTCTTTGTTTCTTACTTTTTTCTCTTTGTGTTTGAACTCCAAGATCTACTCCAAAACCAAGCTGAGTTCATTTTTTAGTTTTCTAAGTTATCACTGGACGATTAAATGAAATAAAAATGTGGCAAAAAAAAAAAGCCGTCTGTGATGATTTGTATCATTTGGAGGAAGAATTATGCAATGGCCGTACCACGTACCTTCTCGTTTTAATGTTCCGGCACATATAAACGAGGCGGCACATTTCTTGCTCGGACCGTAGGCCAAAAGCTGGACGTCTGGTTTGCCATCGACTTCTTCACGGGAGACAAGCTCGAGACCATCTCCTTCCACGGGTCGGACAAGGTTTGCCCCGTCTCCTACGAGAAGGCCATCTTCGTCGGGCGCACGGGTAAGTCGGCAACGTCAGCCCAATGAATCCCGTCTCCCTGGTTCAAGCGTCAGATTCGCTCAATCGCTGTTTGTGCAGCAGCAATTTGGTCCTCCCTGAGTTACGATCGGGGTTTTGCGGGATTTTATTTTTTTCCACGTGTGCAGTGTTTTTTGCCGTCCAGTGTCGGACAAAGAAAATGGTGTCATCGGGGCTTATGTTATAAAAATCATGGGCGATTCCGCTCTCTGAAGGTGGATAACCAGCGAACCTGTTTGCCGCACCACACAAACCCTCCCCGAAGAGCCGGAGGAAACTAGACACGCGTGACAAAACTGCCACCCAGCGGAAAGTATAAACGCGCGTCGGGACCACCACCCCGGGAGAGCGGAAGGAAAGGAAACTAGGCGCGCACGCGCTTGGAACAACGTCAAAGAGAGGGCGGTGCGAGCGTGGGCATGGCCAACGCGGGTCGCACAGCGGCAAACCTTTGAGAAACCTTTATCACCTAGCTGAGAGTTTACTGATCTTGAAAATGGTGCCTATTGATAACTAATCTACTGGATAGACCTATTGCTAAATTACCCAGGCGTCAAGGAGAACGCCGGAAATGGTGTTCCACATACCGCATCTTGCACGCGCATTCGTCAACGCGTTATTTTGGTTATTTACTTAGAATCTTTTATACGGGGAAGGTGTGCGCGTGCGGCGGTGTGAGCGTAGGGTTCTAGTCACTGCACACAAAAATCCATGGGACCCTAGCTATAAACAGCTTCGCTCTAAAAAAACAAGAGGGAGCACTAGTGATTTGTTTCTTCTTTTAATGTGAACTGTAGCGTAATGATTGCAGAAATGTCTGGTGCAACGCTTATTTAGTTTATAACAATTAAAGAGAAGTCCAACCAGTATTCTATTTGATGCTGTACTGGAAGCATAGATTGTTTTGTTATTTTATTTTGATTGTGTCGCAGCACTTGTCTGTGCTCTATATGTTGGGCTGTAGTGTGTTCGACCACGTGGCTGCAGGTCTCTCTCTCTCTCTTTGACCGGCAAAGATTGGGGAATGCGACCGTCGTGGTCGGGATAGAGGGTGCACCCAGAAAACCAATTTCGTCTTCCTGGCTTAATTTTGCAGAGTTCCAGATAGCGATGTACGACAGCAAGACGGGCGAAAAGAGGTACGTCCTTTGTCGTTCATTCTTTGTCCCTGCAGTTCAAGACGGGGCAACTAGTTCGAAGTGTCACGAAATCGCCTACGACCTCGAGCCCCGTAAAGTATGCAGTGCTGCCTCTTTTTTTTTTTCCCCGCTAGTGCGCGTCAGTTTACTACCACAGAAGGAAAACCGAACGGGCTTAATGCCCGCATTGCCAAAGACACGCCTCGCTTGCGTGGCGATGGGTGCCTTGTTAGCAGTCCTCATGATGCTGAGAGTGCGAGGACACGGCTTCTTTAATTTGGTTTCCTTATTCACCTTTGAATTTTTTCACAGTTCTATTTGTTTTGGAACAAATTGCTGCATTAGCATTGTGCAGTCTGTTCGTGTTTATATTTTTTATATAAATATTCAAACTTTCCTTCTTTCAGGTGGAACGCTTCTTTCTTCGACTATGCTGCCCAGGCCACTCCTGAAATAGCGGAGGAATACGGTGTGTTTTTCGTTTATTTTTGTTTGAACCCCCTTCATTATGTGGGTTACAAACCGGTGCAGCCCTGTTCGATAGGTAATTAGTGTAGCCCCTCTTGAAATAATTCGTCATACGCTGCTGTACTGAGTGGGGGACGTATTTGAAAAGGGCACCTCACATTCACTCTGTGGCACAGCAAAGAAAGCTTTAGGTGCAATGTCTTGCTTTCACGACCGGTGCATTTAGTGATACCGTCGAAACCGGTTATAACGAAGTCGACGGGAATCATAAATCAGTTCACTATATCCGCTGTTCGTTATAACCGACTTCGGCTTAACAAAGTGCAAAAGGGAATGGGAAATCGTGATCGCTTCGCTGTAGCCGCTATTTCGTTATAACCGACTTCGTTATAACCGGGCTCGACAGTAGTGACCACTTGCCCAATAACATTCCCGTCGTATAGCATTCTGTTGATAAAAAAAGTTTCTCCGGCGACTGGCATTGTTGTCAGTTGTGCTAGAAAACATTCCATGGAAAGAAAGTTTTGAGATGATGAAAGCTCTGGGCTTGAATGAAGACTTCAGATTTGGTGTGCACAAATGTTTTCTGCAATGGGGGTCGGGCTGCGCGTCATAATTCTGTAACGAAACGACAAGGAAGAGCCGCAACTTTACCTACGACTTTGAACGTGGCAAGTGTCGCGCGCCATCAGTCGTGGCAAAGCACATGAAGTTCCACGTTCTCTGACTCGTGCTGCATCTTGCCCCCATAGAACTGGCCCACTTCACGTCGAGCGAGAGTGGCCGTGTGTTAACATTCTACAAGGACACCGGTAAGTCATCTTCCATCTTGAATCTGCCTCAATGTCTGACTCGCGTTGCCAACATTGTCGCCGACACCGAGGGGTGAATTCGGCATTTTCGATAGAGGCGCACGGATATTCAAAACTTAGAATAATTTGCGAACAGTGTTTGCACTTTGATTTGTACTCAAGTTCTACAGTATTCATGCTCAGTTTTCATTAAATGTAAAACATTATATCAGTGCCCTTTTATTTTAGTGCAACAATGAAATTTTTCTCACATATAAAAAAAATTCTTTTTACAAGTTTTTTTTTTTTTTTAGACAAGAATTTTAGGTACAGAATTATTTATTAAATTATTGATGCTCAGTTTGCGTTAAACGTAAAACGCTATGTCGGGTTTCTTTTGTGTTAGTATGTGAAATGTTTCTCACATAATGAAACGGTTTCTTCTCAGAGGTATGCCTTTTTTTCGGGGAAAAGAATTCCAGCCAGGATTCGTGAAAGTATTCGTGCTCGGTTTGCATTGAACGTAAAACATTAGAATTCGATTCGCAGTGAGTCATTGTTTCCATTTTTTTTCTGTCTACCAGGGGACTTTTTGTGGGAGCATGAGCTGGGCAGTCCCGTGGTGGCGGTGTACCAGGTCGGGGAGGAAGGTGCCCTGCGGCGCCTTCCGTTCACGCCCGTCGCCCACCGCACTCTCGAGGACATCATGGGCAGGCTCAAGCGCTCCTCCTGGAACAAAATCTTGCTCGAGCCCTCCCAGCACACCACCCTCTAGTGAGTACAGAAATACCTCCTACAACGTGTTCCCAAAAGAACATTTGCAGCATTTGTTTTGTTTTTTTTTTACTGAAAAAATAAATTGCGCATGTTTTGCATGTCGTAGCGACGCGGAACAGATGGCAAGGAGCCGGACAACGGCAGGTTTCGGAATGTGCCGGTGTCCGCTTAGAAAGTCAAAAGCCGCTTTCTCCGACTTCCGATGGGAAAACGGGGCCCGTTCCCGGTGGTTGACGCCATCTGTGTTTGTGGGCCTTGCCAACCGGCCGTTTTCCTGTCGAAAATTTTCGAAAATCGCTCGTGACTTTTGAGTGGGTAGATGACCGGCTCTGAGACTTTGTGCATCCGGTCCGAACCGTTAGCGCTACACTTGGATGGAGGCTGAGCGCTTTCGGCGATGCACAGTTTATTTTTTCAACAAAAGAAAAGGCGCAAACTTTTTTCCGGGGGTGTAGTGCTGGGTCTTTTTCATCACTTTCCAGAGACCAACACGGGGCATAGATTTTAAGGTGAACATTTCGGCAGACGTCTGCCTGGTTGGGTTAAACGTTATAAATAATGGGCAAACGCCAACTAATCCCTAATAGAAGGTAGGGTCCGAACGTTTCGGTGTGAGCTCAGCACCTTCTTCAGGGGGGCTATTTAAAAGTTAAGCAGCTTCTTTCTTTTCTTCTGTGGTGAATGTAGAGCAGTGTCTTTGTTTCTTTTCTACGGCGGTTAGTTTTCAAACATATAGTTTTCAAACAAACAGGGGCATGGATTGAACACGAGTGCTGCGTAAGCGGCCGGCTGGGACTCGTCTTTCAACGCTGTTTAATTTACTTATTTGTTTATTTTAGGTACATCACAGCACACGTGAGTGCATTGTAGGGGGGGAGGGGCAAAGAAATAAACAATTGCCTCAACACATCAGAGAAAGCATGCGCTGCCCACAGTGAGCACAGATCTTGTCAAAACAGTGAATGCTGTAACACATGCTTATGCACTAAATCAAAAATACACGAAATATAATATACAGCGTATCCACCCCCCCCTCCTCTCCCCCCCCATACTTAGTGTTTTTTTTTTTCGCCACAGAAATCACCTACACATCGCCGAACTTTCATTCTCCGTCCAAACCAGACACCAATGTTTCACAACGAACCGTTGTCTCGGTTAGAAGTTATAAAAGAGATTTTCTGAAAATTTAATTGGGAAAGGGAAGCCCGTTTTCTATAACTGGCGCCACTCGGCTCCACGTATTCGAGAAATCCGTCGGTCGCCATTTTCCCATTGAAAATTACGGAAAACCGCTCGTGACTTTTGAATGAGATGATGGTTAGTTTCGAAACTTTGGCACCTGGTTCGAGCCGCTAGAGTACATTTGGGCGGAGGATGGGCGTCCGGCGATGCATAGTTCACTTTTGCGGCGGAAAAGCCCTCTAAATTTTTTGGGGGAACACCCTGTATATTAAATGTTGGAGACTGAGCGAGGCAGTCCGTAGTTCGCTTTTGCGGGACGCGAGTCCAAGACGAATGCTCATGCAACAGTTGTGTCCAGTTTGTGCACCGTGTTGACCCCCGGTACGTGACGAAGAAGATCCAGCTCTACGGCCTTCCCATCCACGAGATGCTCTGCGAGTCTTTGACCGGACCATTGCGACTTCATCCGACTACGTACGAGCATAGGCCGACCTCGAATCAAAAGCACCCATTTTTGGACGCTACAGTCTTGGATAACATGAGCCACAATGCCACAATTTAATAGATTTTGGCTTCTGCCACAATCTCTTAAAATTGTATTATCTTGAATTCATTCCTCTTTTGTCGAAGGTGAACTTTCTATACTATGAATGTTATATCTCAAAACTGACCGCCACCAGAACTCAGCGCTGCGACAGGTGCGCTACGAACCCGTGCGCTCAATCGCCAGATTCCTCTTTGTTCGAGGAAGCGTCAGTTTGTTTAAAACCAACAGAAAAAAAATTTGCTTGTGGGCAAAAGTAAGGCGGTGCTGCAACTTTACCGAATTATGTCTCGCTACAAAACTTCTTTTTCCTCAAAAAATGCTATTTTTGTGGAAGGGAAGCCAGTGTTGCGAACCCCCTTTTCTTGCATTCTCATTTGCAGTCCTGCGCTCTATGTAGGAGAGCATGCCAAAGCGAGCTACGCACTTGCTGCCCTGGTGGATAAAGACTTGCCAGTGATGGCGGTGAGAACCCTTACTATCGATTTATCGATTGACCGCGTTCTAACCACACAATGCACGTTTTCCTGTGAGTGTTTGTATGCTAAGTAGAAGCTTATACTCTAATAGAGCCATTCCTCTTTATATTTGAGGGTCGAACCGGTGATAATCAATAATCGGTGTATGGAAAAAAGAATTATGTGAGAGTCGCCATATAGATACGAAGGAAAACTTCATACAGTGCTATCTACTTGTAACGACACCACATATAACGATCAGTTTCTTGGATTTCTAGACTAGAAACGCTCGGTTTCTATTCCAGAGACAGCGATAGTCGGTTATAACGATTGAATGTTAGGGTTTCCTCATTATCGTTACAAGTGGATTGCACTGTATTATCAGAATCGATTGCAACACATGCCTCTATACAATGTCATGAGTTGCGACAGCGTTTTGTCTAGCTCTGTAACGGTAAATTATCTGAAAATCACTGTTCAGATATGATGCAAAGCTTTTCCGATACGGTCGACTCTCGGTGTTTCAAAGTCGCCTTAGCAGGGGTGCGGTCCTGGCAATGAAACAACGAGTCTACGTGGAAAAAACGTGGTAATTTGAACTTTAGCCCTGTGCTGGTTAATCCGAAGGATTTTCTTTACGTGCCCCAGAAGTTTGGAAATTCGGGGAGCATAAGGGAGCCTTGGATTTTGCCGACCTAGCTTAAATCGCATCCCAGCACGCTTTATCACTTTTGTCTGTTGTGTGCGTCAGATACATTGATGTCAACAAACATGCCGTGATCCATAGTCCGCTTCCGGACAGTGACATCGTGGTTAGGCCTAGGAACGATCGTGTCGCTTTCCGTGCCTTGTGGCACTACGGAATGCAGTTTTGCGTTTTCTTTGGCCGAGAAACTGCCGAAGGCGCTCAATTTGAAGCGTTTTGCTGTCCCCGCGCGAACTTCGAATTATCGAGAGTCGATTGTGAAGCCATAAAAAAAAAAGATTGTGTAGTGGAATCTTAATATTTTGAACCGAAGGGGGACCAAAAATTTGTTTGAATAATGCAAAGTCTGAATTAACGGGAGTTTCCTTCCTAGAAACACATAGGACCGGACTTGTATGTTAGCTTGAATTAACGAGATTCCACTGTATACCTCTCTGCATGCGTGATTAAAGGACTTCTGCAATTTCTTTTCTAACATGTGAAGGGGGAATTTTCTCTGCGTGTGCTTCACGGCGAAAGGTCTGTTTTACCATTAAGGGATGCGTAGGCCCGCAAAATTAATAAAGGTTTGTGAATTGTAGCCAACATATGAAGCAAAGGGTTGTGACACGATGGGACTTGCAGGCTACCCAGACGCATGAAGGGAAAACCATGTGAGTGTTTCTTTTTATACGCGAGGGAAATCACTCGAGGTGCTCCACGCTCCAGTTGTCTTGAAACTTCCGTTGGCCACACTCTGTACTTTTTGTACAAGGTCTCTCCACTCAGTGCTGTGCAGGTTTGAATGTATTATGTCAGTTGAGCTGTGACTGCGGTATAAGAAACAATGGCTGTCCCTCTTGTGATCGCACAAAAGAGGAGCTGCACGCCGCTATACGTTTCCGTAGTGTGAGGGTGAGTCTGGTGCTGGTATTTTGTGCACAGTAAGGAGGAAGTGTTTTGTCGCGAGAAAGTGTGTTTGATTGCGAACAGAAGTCCCAGGAAGGGCACGCATGTGTCGGCCACGAAGGAAGGGTCTGACCCCCCATCCACGTCCATGACTGATGGACAGTGACATTGAGCGTGCACGTGAACCGACCTGTTGGATAGACGAGCAACGGTGGATGATGTGGCAAATTGTCTGCGAATCAGTCGAGGCTCCGCCTTTGCAATGATCCGTGACGGACTTGGGTTTCGAAAAGTTTGTGCGAGATGGGTATCTCAAACGTTTGTGCGGGTAATTTCTTAATTGCCTTCGTACGTCTGTATGCGAGTTGAGAAATGCAGCTATCTTGCGTGCAAAGTTTGTTGTTGTGACGAGCCTCGCTTTCCTCTCAGACGAGGGATCGCAGGGTACCTCTCCTCGAGGGTCCTCCGACTCCGACCGAACGGCGGGACGGCGACGCAACAGCAGACGACGCTGGCAAGCAGACCCACAGCAAAAGCAGGCGTGCCTTTGTTTCAGGTGCGCTTCACTGCTTACCATTCTAGGCCTGCATCTTGGAACCTACTCGCTCAGCATGACGTTGCCGAACCTGAAAACCATTGTATTCTTTCGCGTTCGTACGACGAAGTATGCCGATGTCAAAAAGTTGCGGGCCTAGATTGTGAGGTTCATTTGTGCCAGAAACTTGTTCTCGTCGCATCACTGCAGGCTTCGAATTTACGGAGTCGCTCCCCATCACATTGCAAGCTCGTCGGACTCACTAAGTCACTGACCGTTGCGTTGCAAACTCATTAAAGTCCACAAAGTTGGTCGTCATTGCGTCACGAATGTATCTGAGTTCACAAATTTCTTCACCATCACATTGTGAACTCGCCAGGCTTCGTGAAGTAGGCCAGGGTCATTCGCAGTTGTGCTGCGACTGTGATTGAGCGAGTTTGTGATGCCGAGCTATGCTTTAGCACTGAACTGCACATGAGTGGGCAGAATAATGTGTAGATGGAAAGATCAGCTGCGACAAAGTTCAAAGTAGGCTACTTTCTGTGCTGTATACAGTATGAGCTCATTATAGCAGACCATGATTAGGATGAAGATTTTGGTTTGTTGTAAAAGGAGTATGCAGAATGTAGATACCCTTACTACAGACTTTGAGGTGAATTGCGATTGGAGTCTGTTCTAACTAGCGAGAGTTATGAAATAGGAATGGATACTAGAAAAGAACTGGTTTATTGAGACTTCTGAACTTTAGGAGGTAGAAATTTTTTATTGAGCTGGTACTCATGATCGTCATCACTGTGTACTTTGGGTCATACAAAGCTCGCTGGGCACCTACAACGATGAGAGCAATTATCAAAATGGATGCCACTGGTACCGAACCAAAGCCGCATAACGTCCGAAAAAATTACTGCCGTCGAAGAGCCCACTATGTATATAATGGAATGGTGAAATACTTACAAACTCCCTTGTATAGTCCATTATATTTGTATGTATGTTATAGCAGAATCTGTAATAAGCAAAGTTATCACAATAGCATAGATGAAAAGACCAACCAGTCTGTTATAATTGAATGTCTGCTGTGACCAAATCTGTTGTAACGAGTTTAAGCTACAGGGAGGAAGACTGGAGACATGATGTGTGATGCTATCCTCAGATCACTTGCTATCAATAAAATAATGAATGTGGTTATTGTAACCTATTGGTTCACCTAAATAGCAGTACTCTGAGAACATCACAGATTAAATACCGTGCTAGAACCAATGGAAGCACAAAGCATCCAGTTTTGTCCGGACGTAGCTCTAATCCCAATGGACTCATTTTACTAATGCATTTATTTTTCTGTTTAGGTTTTGACCAGTCTTGAATGGCATACTTGACTCCGATATCTCAATATATCTCAGTGTCTCAGTTGGTGGTGCTGGCCGTGTCTCTCTAGGTTACTACGAGTACCCCAACACCATGGTGGCAGTGCTGTTCTCGCGACTCCAGCTGGACTACCGGGAGACGCGAGAGCCCCCGGATCGGACGGAGTTCCGCTCCGTGGAAAGCGAAGACGCGGACCAACGCTCCGACCCACGAGATAGTGGCGACAAGGTACAGTTCATAAAGTGTCGCTTTCATTTCATTTCTTTTCTTTGACCTCTTTTCCGTTTTAAAGGTACAATCAGGGCATTACATAAGGGGAGGGGGCAGGAAGATGTAAGTACGACAACAAACACAAAAATGTAACAACAAAGGACGGGGCGCCGCATAGCTGAGATAGGTTTCTTATGGTGTTATTTCACCACATGCTTATGCTGTCAATGGACTAGTGAATATATGGAAAGTAAGTCTCGCATAGTGTTTTAAGGTTTCTCTAGATGGTGGTTCTTTTATGCGGAGCGCAAGTTCGTCTGCTTTTTTTGCAGGGGTTGTGGTGACGTCTGAATGCCGAGCTCTGATTGGCTCTGATTGAAGCATAGTGGGTAGACCTCGAGGCAGCTTGCTTTGAGGTCCACCCACTACCCTTCCATCATAGCTGGGCGTTCGGACGTCGCCACAACCCCCGCAAAAGAAGCAGACGAACTTGTGCTCCGCATAGCAAAAGTCTGCAGTTGGGGCCGACCGAGGGTGCTCAGACTGACCTGGCAACTTCTCAAGACCCTGTATCAGTGACTCAACCAAGTCTCTTGTAACGAAGTCACTATACGATCTACAATGTGTAGTAGTCTTAGCTGCATGTCAACCAAGAAGTAATTTTATCCTATTAATTGTTTAAAAAATCCTGAAATTCGAACGCATCCCGTGGATGCAGTCATTTGTTCATCTCGTCTTACGACTAGCCTCGGGGACAGAAACAACCTTTGGTAACTACGTTTAGTTGCTGCAGTAGAGTGAGCCCTCGTTAACTGGAAGTCATAGATACTGAAAAAACAAATTCAAGGTGAGCAGAGTTTTGAGACAAGCAAGTTATCAAATTTGTGATTGCGCCATTCGTGCATTGTGCAAACGGGGCCCTTCCAACATGCCAACAGTTCTCTATGCGGTGGATGCCCCGAGGAGAACAAAACGACCGAAACAAAGTGAACGACGAGCAACGCTTGTGAGGCGACGCAGTAAGAACTAAAAGAACCATGTGCACATAAAAAAAAAAAGAAGAATGAAAGAAAAAGACAAAAAGAATGGAAGATATTGTTGAGCAAGAGGGAAAAAAGAAACAGCAGCATCAAATGTCAAACCAAGGTTTGGGAGAGAGAGAGAGAGAAAAAAAAAAAGAAGACAAGAAACTTTAGGCGCAAGCTGCTTTGCACCTGCTGCGCACATGAACACGAGGCATTTTTTATTAATTCTTTATGCTTTGTTGTACATGTGGTGATGCGGAACTTTGCCTTCTTTGTTTTTTTATTTTTGGATGGCTGTTTCTTTGTCAACCGATGTTTGGGCCGCTGCGTTCGTAGTTCACTATGCCGTGCCCGATTTTTTCTTTCGTAATTTTTGTCGACAAGACTTTGAGAATCTTGCGATCCGAGGTCAGCAGATGCATTGTGCCTGCGGGAGTTCATTTCACGACATGAAAATCTCTCGACATAACTGACATTTCTAGACAGCCAAAAATTCTAGTCGTCTCGAAGGATTGCCGTAACCGGACTCAAACTTTCTAACGACACTCTCGTCGACAATCCTTTTGAACTCTTTAAAGGCGATTCCCGGGGACGAAGGTCGGCCCGACGTCGGGGACCGGCGAACGCCAGCGTCCCCGCTGCCCTTCTCATCCCGGCGGCTTCCCCCTTTCTTCCCGTTCGAGAGAGAGGGGGAGAGAAGAGGGAGGAGGAGAGACGTCGCCACGGAGACCGCGACGGGGGACGTGCCTTATTCCAGCCAGTTCGTGTGGATCCAGATGGCGCTGGTGCTGCTTTTGGCAGGAATGGTCGGAGTGGTGGCCTACCTCTATCCGCAGGTTTGTCCGTTTCCTCGAGCTCCGGTCTACGTGACTCCGGTTGATGCCGCACACTCGCCACAGAGCTGGTCAATGTATTTTCTCGGTTCTAGTTCGCAGACCACGCACGTCCAAAAGTTAAGGTTACACGCAGTGCAGACCGTACGAGGACTTGGTTTTCCTAGATTTCCGTTCGTTACAATGGTACGGATTGCGAGAAGGACGGAGTGTGTTAGTGACGATGTCTGTGCGATACAAGCTTCTCTGTGAGCTAATGAAACAGGCATTTGTTGAGGTGTGCTGTGTACGAGGATCTTTTTTACTTCCAAACTATGCACTGGCTGCAGACTATCTGGGAAAATGCTTTTTCTCGACCGAAATGGAATCCTGTGTGTTATGCGCCAAATCCAGACCATAGTCCGGAAAGTATGGCGCTATAATGCCCGGAATGCGTGTGGTGGTGTCAGAGAAGCGGTGGCGGATGCAATAATAATAATACCGTAATACCCTGAACGTACGCCCACCCTCGAACCTTGGCCCACCCCCTTTTCATGTCAAAATATTTATGTAAAAAAAAAATCCTAATACGTCGTCCACACTTCAAAATTTAGTGATTCCAGAGAACTGGGTACAGATGGGCAGGCCTTTCCCTCTACAAATCTCCGGTTGCATGCATGTATGCACCAAATAAAAGAGTTGCACAAGAGCACACTCGTTGCAACTGACAAGGCGTACGACTTGACCCGACAGCAAACTCTTTGCCAATGCAATCGCCGGCTTTACTGCTTCCCTAGCACGACACTTTGTCGCTTCTTTCGCTCGCCTGCTCGCTCGTTGCACTTGGATAACTTTTCTATTTTCTTGTTGACTTTTTTTTTTTTTTTTTTGACTAACGAAGAGAACATAGCGGTGTTAGAAACGTGATTTCACGAAACAAGCATTCATGCTGTATTGCTGGTCGGCATGTTCATTGCTTGTATGCAAGCAACGGACTTTGCGAGAGTAAAACATTCTTTCAAAAAGGCGGGTGGGCGAATCTCAAAGATTTGCACCCACCTGCCTTTTTTCCCCAACTACTTATATCGCGCGAAAAGTTGGGAGTTTGTTCTGGATATTACGGTAATCTTTATTCGAAGGGCCCAAGAACAACCACGATGGTCTCTAGATTGCTGCTCTCCACAAAAGCACTATAAGTAAGGAACACTAATATACGTGATCACACTCGAGACACGCTAATGCAAGAATAGTACAAAACATGAAAACGAAAATCAGTTTGTAAAGGGCGAATTACTCGACAGGCGGCGGAACTTTGTGGCCGATGCACAAATGTCAAGGTCTGGGGTGGCGACACTGTTGTAAAGCTACTGGATCCGAGAAAGGGTTGAAATGCTGCATGATGAACGAATATAGAAAATATATATTAAATGTCTGGTAGAGCAAAAATTGACATGAAAATGTACTTTACAGAGGAGCTGAGCTCAATGGCGCTATTTGCAGCCTCACCTAGAGAAACTAAGTTACGAGCTTGGGTGGAGTCTGTAGGGAGTGGGGACACCCAACAAAAGTGTTTTGGCTGAAACAGAACTGCCTATTCTGCACTACTGACTGCCCATCACTGCACAGTCGGCAGTTCCATTAACGTAAAAGTCACCAATGGACATCACCAGTGCCACTTTTGTCATTGTCCTTGTCCTGCTGGGATTGGACCCCAGCTCTGAGTGGCGTACTTGAGCCTTAGGCCCTAACCCCTGTGTTGCGTGAATCAATCGGTAAAGTGTTGATTAATTGGCTAATTGCCATGCAGGCGAGGGAATACCAAAGGACCTCTCGCAGTGGAAACTTGAGGATCAGTGGAGGCAATCAAAGTCTGGGTGAGTGATGCGTATTTGTTTTTTCAAAACAATCCTGGATGCAGGGAGACACAGTACCCTCCAAACGATTTTTTGAGCGTAATTTCGTACGTCACAATTTTTCTGTGAACTAACATGTTCGGTGTCTCCATTCCTTTAAGAGTCGGCTTTTTTGCTTTCGCAGAAGTCACCGAGGACGGTTTCTGTCAAATCGGAAAGATCAGCTTCCACACGAGGGACGTGATTGGCCACGGCTGCAACGGCACTTTCGTCTTCAGGTAAGCAACGACGCCCGAGTTTCTTGTTTTTTCACTTGCCGTTCGATCAACTCGTCGATTGATTGCTCGTATCCGCGACAAACAGGGGGACCTTCGACAAGCGGCCCGTAGCTGTGAAGCGCATCCTTCCGGACTGCGTCAGCCTCGCGAGCCGAGAGGTGGACCTGCTCCGGGAGTCAGACGAACATCCCAACGTGGTCCGCTACTACTGCATGGTACGGCTCTCGGTGTTTGCGGTAGTATGGTAGCTTCGTAATAACTATGGTTCCATGCTTTCAGGGTGTATATTTTTTCTGAATTCGGGGATGTTTACTAGGGGGGGTTTCCTTTTGTCCCCCGAATTCTGTGATTTTTGCTGTCCATGTTCAGTGTCTCACATAAAATGGGGAGGAGATTCCAGGGAACATGTGCATGACCCCATTACTTGGAAGCTGCCCCAGTACCGATGAGGGACGTAACCGAGACGGGACGCATGGTTCTAGGAGAAAGAAGCAACCTCGCTGACAGTTTAGCACGGGCCGGGTTTCAAGTTCTGCAGAGAACAAAACTGTAAATAAGGATTTCTTCTCGCGAAGGTTGGGCTTTTTTTTCTTTTTTTGAAGGACCGTTCCTATTTGGAGTTATTTCAACTTCCCCCAGATTTGATCAAACTGGCTCGCATAAGTTACTTTTTGGGGCTTATTTGCATACACCGAGAACACGGAACCATCCTTGTGAGTTGAACCAACTTAAGTTGGCTGCACAGCCAAAGTTCCCCACATGACGGGAATAAACAAGTTTTAAAGCAAGAGCGTTAACTGTCCCATGGAGGCGAAGCAGGAGGCATCATTAACCGCGGAAAACGGCACCTAAATTCCCATTTTTCCTTTGGCTGAGCAAAACGGCACCTAAAGAGCCATTGGCTGCGACACGTCATAGTTCCAAGGAATGTCACCCCACAGAAGAGCCCTCTTCCTAGCGCTGCGACCCGCGTGCCAGTAAAAGGGGGAAGGTGGCGCGCGTGCGCCTGCCGCTCTCGTGTCAGATGTGAACAGGGGGGGGGGGGGGGGGGGGGGAGGAGGAGGAGGAGGAGGAGGAGGAGGAGGAGGAGGAGGAGGAGGAAGGAGAGGGAGGGAGGGGGAGCAGCAAGAGATTCCTGGTCCCTCTGCCTGCGCACTACTGTATCACGTGTTTTATGCCTTTCCTTCAGCCACGTCGCACCGCCTGGTCGGTCTCTGCGGAGGACAGCGAGGCGCACTGCTTGTAGGAATGCATTTGCATTCCTACACATAAGTTGTCTTAAGTGTCCTCCTGTATTTCTTTCACTTTATGGTTCAAACAGTGAAGGGACTCTGGAGTATCATCCCCATATGTGACATCGTTAATGACGAAGATTAAAAAAGTAAAGGGCATTAAAAAGAGCTTGAAGACGTGGATGAAAAAAAGGCACAAACAGTCGAGACGGGCACTAACTTTCAAGTGATTAGTTTTGTGTTTGTATTTTTTCTTCATCCCCATCTTTCGTGCTGTTCATGAGCTTGTTAACCATGAGCCTATTATTCATGAACCTGTTAACCACAAACCTGTTGCTCATAAAGATATTGCTTATAAACATGTTAATCATGAACCTGTTAATCATGAACTTGTTACTCATGAACCTGTTAGCCACAAACCTATTGCTCACAAACATGGTAATGAAGAAACTTGTTACTCATAAATTTGTTGCTCATAAACCTGTTACTCATAACTTGTTACTCATAACCTTTTATTCACGAAGATGTTTGTTATGTATCTGTTAGCCATTAATTCATTAATCACAAACCAACTAACCCAATCCAGTTTTATTCAAAGGAGCATTGTGGCTCTGCCTCTCGGTTCCCTCGCAGGAGGGAGACAGGCAGTTCTACTACATCGCCTTGGAGTTGTGCGCCGCGACGCTTCAGGACTACATTGAGAACCCGGAGTTTGAGCGCGGCGGCCTGGACCCGACGACTCTGCTTCATCAGACCGCCTCCGGGCTGCACCACCTTCATTCGCTCGACATAGGTGAGACAGCCCATCGGAGGCCCTGCGCGTCGTTATTTATCTACCCATTCTCTGTGGACGTAACTCGGGCATACGAAATTGGTGAAAGAAAATTTATCAAGTGTGTTACACACCCACGCGTCCCACTATGCTAAAAGCTTTTGTGACGAGAGCCTCTTCGGTCATGGTGATCACACATTCGTGCCAACTTGCGTCATGCTCCACAGCGCGAAGTTGCAAACACGCTAGCCTGCGTCATGCTCCGCCATGCGAAAACGCATTCGCGCTACCTTGCGTCGCACTGTGCACATGCACGATTGTGTGTTTGTCCAGAGCGATGTCATGGTCTGCGCACGAGCAGACGAGTGCTGGTTAGAACCAAGGTTTTGTGTTTTCGGTAAATAAAAATAAGCCCCAAAAATTAACTTGCAAACCGGTTTTATCTTGTTTGGGTAAAACCAAAAAGCTCAAGCTTCAAAGAAAGAAATATTTGTTCGCAGCTCTATATTCTGCGTTCGTCCAGAACACAGCCCACACTGAACTGTCCACGAGGCTACTACTTCGGGACTCATGCCCATTTTTCTGTTTTCTTTCCTCGTTAAAACTTAGAATTTGTAAAAAAAAATAAACCCCCAAAAAACACCCCCAAATTCAAAGTAAAAAAGAGTGGAAAACGCAGAACCCTAGTTATTGTTTGCGTCGCACCTCCGCACACGTGTGAATGCACGCTCGTGCCGACCCGCGCAGTGCACCGAGACGTGAAGCCGCACAACGTGCTCATCTCCCGCCGGAACGCGGTGGGGGAGGCCAAGGCCATGATCTCGGACTTTGGGCTGTGCAAGAAGCTGAGCCAGGGGCGCCTGTCCTTCTCCCGCAAGTCCGGCGTGACGGGCACCGAGGGCTGGATCGCCCCGGAGATGCTGTCGGGCCACGGACGTGCCGTGAGTCTAGTCGCTCGAGAGTGCCACGCGCTGCCGGAGGGCAGTGCGGGACGCCAGAGATTGGTGAGAGTGCGCGCGTCCGACGCGCTTTGTGCGTCGCTCTGTCTGTGCTTTTGTAGTTTGTTTCGCATTACGTGTGAGCAGAACTGAAGCTGGGAGCACAACCGTGCTAAGGCTTCTTCACGCGCTTGCAACTGCTTATGACCATTCACCTGAAAACCTCTCAAAATCTCTTGGGACGAGAGAATGCACACTGTCAGGAACACCTGGCAGCTTCCATATATTTCTTATTTTGTTCAGGCATCGTTCTTTCTTGGCTAAAAAAGTTCTTGGCAATGCATTTCTCATAGATGGTAGGTACATTTGATCTCTCAAATACCACGACACCCTCACTCTAGTGAAATGCAAAACTTTCGCTCTAGTGAAATGCTGTTCCAGGGCCACCTCATAGATTTCGTCAACATGCCAGTGTGTTCTCTTGTCAAAAGACATCACAAGAGCTCCGTCTAAACAAACACAAGTGTGTGAACAAGCTTGTAACCTGAACGATGCTTACATTGCACAAGTATACAATCAGCACAAACGCTGAAAGCTCGGAGCTCGCCGTTAAAAGTAAGACGGAGTATAGTTTGTCGACAATGCGTCGAAAAAGTTTTTTTGGGGCCAATGTGTGTGGTATGCGAGTGCAGTGTGATTTTGCTATAGCTTATTTGTGTCTGCCACATCTTCATTTCATGAAGTTTGGATCACACTTTCAAAACCAGAGAATTCAACCTTAGAACGAGTGCTTTCGGGTATTTGTCTATGTTGCGAATTGACCTTCTCTGCTAGTCATGTTTATTAATGCTTGCATGTTCCTGTGTATGTGTGTAATACATTTCCTAACAAGTTATGATGAACTTTTTACTGCTCTCCTATGATAATGCCTTTGGGTGCAGGGTAACCCGAATAAAAAAACTAGATAGGGAAGCCTCATACCTAGTACAATTTGCCTGTACTCTTAGCTTCAGCTTCGCTCGCACTTACAGTGAATCAGAGTACCTATTCTAGTTAGAATTTCCACCTTCTGAACAAAACGTGATGAGCACAGCAGACCGAGAGGTTGTTTGCGGGCGCGCAAAATGACAATGACCGTCGTAATGTGAGTCGGGACGCATCGCTGTTGCAGACGAAGGCGGTGGACGTGTTCTCCCTCGGCTGCGTTTTCTACTACGTCCTGAGCGGCGGCCGGCACCCGTTCGGGGATCCGCTGGAGCGCCAGGCCAACATCAAGCATGGCAGACACACGCTCACGGACGTCGGACCGCACGGACCGGTGGCGCAGTGCCTCATCGAGCAGATGCTCCGCACGGAACCGGCAGAGCGGCCTTCGGTGGCGGTGGTCACCAAACACCCGGTGTTCTGGGCGCCCAAGAAGCAGCTGGACTTCTTCCAGGTACGGACCAACCACGCTTCTCTTTGAGGTTTGACCCTCGGAGCGCCACGTCCCAGTATCCTCGTGCACGTACCCGCATGGTTTCTGTTTCAGTTTGTTCCCTGCCTCTGCCGACTGGGCTGTCGTCTTGTTTACATGTAGCGGCATGTGTGAGCAAGCGATGGAAATGACGTTTTATCTCGTGGCGTCACTTCTTGATGGCATGTAAATATTTTTTTTATTGCGAATTTTGTGTCGGTAGTTTCCTTTGTCGTTACAGAACGGCGAATCTGTGTCGTTCAACCTCACACTTTGTGGCTCAACCTCGCACTTTGTGGCGAAAGCTGAGACCCAGAAGTTGCGAATGAACTCATTACAGTATAGACCACTTACAACGTAACCGCTTATAGTGCAGGATCGGGTATAACGCGGTTTTTTTAAACCACCGGTTCGCCTCCCATAGAACTCCATGTAATTACATACCGCTTAAAACGCAGGCGCGCGACGGGAAATACCGGTTATAGTGCGGTTTCTGGCACAGCCCGCCGACCGCGCCGACGACCGGAGCAGCGAGCACGCTTGCCTGTGCGACACTAGATAACGGCGCTGACGGTGCTGACGGCGCGAGCCGCAAGCGTTGCGCAAGCGGCACTCGCGGGGCAAGGAGGGTGCTCGAAGAAGCGGGAGAAGCGAAGAGAGAGGCTTCAGTTGCCCCAGCGATGGACGGACGCACGCACGTGTCGTTCACGCGCGTGCGTCCCTCCACTGCGTTGGAAACCAACAACCGCAACGACAGGAGAAGTGTTCGCGCGCATTGCATGCCCGTCGCGAGCCGGCTGCTTCTATCCGCGAACAAGGCGTCGGTTGTGATCAACGTTGTGATCGTCGTCGTAGACGGCATTCATCTCATCGTTCCGCGTAAAAGCGCTATCCTTGACTGTGAATTTTCGTCGTGTGTCGCTATGATAACCCGGCACGTATTAGAAGAGAAGATCCACCTACTCGAGCGGCGATGTCGTGGCGGCGCTCTCAAGACGGCAGAAACGCCCGTGTCGTCGTGTTTGTTTACTTCGACTACAGTGGTGATTTCTAAGCATTTGTGTCCTCGAACATCGCCCGGATTTCTTATTTGGCGCATTTCATGCGTGTGCTCAAGTGCAAGGTATTACTGGCGCGTACCGTATGAAGGATGCGAATTTTCACGCGTTTTCATCTCCGGAGAAAAGTGATTAGGGTTAGCAATCCTGAACGCTCGCAACATCCGTCCGCAACCCGCGACGCCGCTAAGAGGCTGCGCCAGGCAAAAGCCGCTCATTTGTTTCAAAATCTCTGACACACTTGAGAGAGAAGTGTACTAGTCTGGTGAAATAAAGACTTTCCTCAAACTAAGCTTTATTTTTCATCTAACATAAAATAAATTCTTTTACAAAGGTAAGTTGTCTCATGGCATCTATATTTTGGCCTGAAAAATTGATGTTTTGGTTATAGTGCGGTACCGCTTATAGTGCGGATTTTCGCGACTCCCGCGACATACGTTATATGCGGTCTACACTGTATTCGACAGCCTTGAGAACAAGGAAGTTACAGTTCTGCACTGATAAAGGCCGAGTGAGGCAGCTCGAAAAAGTGGCCTTGGGGTGGGAGGTCGAGGTGCCACCACGTACCACCACGTCTCGGAAAGTACAATAGGAGAAATATGTCGTAGTTGGGAGGCACGCAGACATCGAGCAATTTTTGGTGTGGTGTTTATAAACGAATATTCTTCACAGCGCGTGCTACGGTGTTACCGAGTCTAAAATTTACGTTATGCATGCGGGGAAAAAAAATATGATGCCGAAATTGCTGCTGTCACTACGACAACTCTCAACGAAATGCGTCGGCATTTAGCGCGGGGGTTCTGACACGGCGAAGGACTGGAATTCCAATCTCGGAACGGTCCGCATACCGTCGTCTTCGGGGAGGCAATCTTTCATCTGGGGTGTCGGCGGTCTCGTGCAAACGGCATCGGGGCTGCGCCTCGGTCTTACGTTGTCGCTTAGGTCAATGAAAGCGTACCAGAAGGCTTACCCCGCTTGTAAGCGGGAAAGTGGATGTAACGAGGGAACCAACGGAGCGAAAGAGCACGATGGGAACCACGCGTCGGCCTCACGAAACCAGTCCGGTCCAGTCCAAACTAAAGACGGGGCAATAAATGCCAATGCACTTACTCCAACACTCGAAGATCAATGTTCAACGGCATGACACTCCGGTTCCTGCGGCGTCGCTTGCTGTCACTTCGGATAGGGATAGGACGGTGAACGAACCGGTCAAAGACGCTTCCCAGACACCGTACTGACACTAGCCTTTTTCCTCCCCTCCCCCGCTGCATAGGAGCGGGGACTGCATGGTGGGGTAAGGATTGTGTATTGGCAGAGTGATCCAGTAGGAGCACAGGCATTTCGCAGCCGGATCGTGCGTGCGGCGGCGTTTCGGAGAAGACGACACGATGCACCCAAAGAAGAGGTGCGCGGAGGAACAGGTCCTTCGTACGTTCGGAATTCTTTCGCCTCGTGCCTCACATTGCTCGTCGTTCTGACGGAAAATGCTGCTCGTCAAGGACCCTTTCGAGTGCTGCCATACGTTCGTTACTCTTGGTGAAACGTGTGAGGCTGGAAATCTTATTTGTGCTTGCAACATCTTCGTCTGTTTTGTCACTTAGCGATATGTATGATTGCTCCGACTGGTTTGTGACATGTACAATCGAGAGTTTCAAAGGGGCGGCGCAACGATTTTCGGACTTCTGGATAAATAATCGCGAGAATCATTTTATGTCGCCTATACAATGAAGAACAGAAAATGTTTTCTTTGCACGTGCTAAATTTGTATTAAAAAAAAATTAAACGAATCGAAGGTTGGGGTTCGAGCACCATGTTCGGTTCTGTCTTTGGGCGTCGAAGGTCGCATTTCGAGCAATCTATACAAAAGACAGTCCACCACAAAAAAAATGGGGAGGGTAGCAATGGAGAGGAAATGGTTTTCTTTGCTTCCAGTAGATGCCACCAAGAACACTTGTGTCCTCCAAATGATGCTGGATCATAGTACTTGTGGGGGGGGGGGGGGGGGGGGGGGGGGGGGGGGGGGGGGGGGGAAGGGGGGGAAGGGGGGGGGGGGAAAGAAGGATGGGAGGGGAGGGAGGGAGGGAGGGAGGGAGGGAGGGAGGGAGGGAGGGAGGGAGGGAGGGAGGAGGAGGAGGCACTTTTTCTCTCACTTGTGCCAAGATAGCGACGTAAAAAATACGAGCCGCAAATTCTTTCAATGTTGAAATCGTTGCACCGCCTCTTTTGACTTTGGGAACAAACATTGTTTCACCGTGTTGCAGGACGTGAGCGACAGGATCGAGAAAGAAGCAACCGACAGCGCAATCGTCAGGCGGCTGGAGCGTGGCGGCTTCGAGGTGGTCCGCGGCGACTGGCGAGACCACATCACGGAGGAGCTCCAGAAAGGTGCGCCCCGTTGCGAGACTCGACGAAAGAAATTAACCTGGCACGTTCCGACCAGAAATTTGTGGCCCGTCGTCCAAATACGCGTGCCAGTATAGTGGTCGTCGGGGGTCAGACAACTAATTCTTCCCCACGCTATTCAATGGCGAAGTTAGGCTTTCAAGAGCGTACTATGCCGAAACTAAGGGAAAAAAAGTCACCCCATTGCCGTACTGGCGTGGCGAAGGCAGTGGTAACGCAGAATGCGATGTGTTAGTGTTTAGTGTGAAGAAACTGTGTACACACGTGAAAACTAGAGGGCACTGAGCGGCCTTTACGTCGTGTAAGGTAAGCACGCTAGCACTCCGTGGACGTCTTACTTGCGAGTGCTGTCTTCTGCGGTTGCGGCGTAAATGTGACTTTCTCGGAGCCTGTTGAACTGTGAGACGCAGTAGATGGAGCGTGCGGACAACGGAACAATTGGAACGCAGCAGTGCCGAGCACCCTGGCAGCAGTTCGTGGCAAAATAGAACCAAACGCTCGAAACTGCATCGACCTGTTGCGGCAAAGGAGTTTGCTTTTTCTTTTTCCCTCTCCCTTTCCATTACTCTCTCTTGCCCTCTTTCTCTGGGGAAGTCCACAGAGCACTCGTTTCACGGAGCAGAGCGCCGCCTTTCGTCCGAATACATTATGTTTTACCCCCGCCTAGAGTAACACAGAGGTGCTCAAGGAAGGGGTTTGGCCTTTTTTTTTTCTTTTTCTAAGTATTTTGTTGTTGGTGGAACAGCGCTGTATATTGCTAGATGGTAGTGTATATTGTTTGACGGAGTTCAGACTGTGTCTTACACAATGTTTTGGGGTTTTATGCACCCTGTAACACTATTTCGCATGCTTGTCAAGATTTTTTTCTTGGTAGTTTTGCTTTGTGAACACAGAAGGCATGTTTTTGGTCACATAGAATGCCTCTCCTAACACTATGCTTTGGTGCATTGCTGACGGGCGTAACTTTATTACTTTCAGATTTACGGAAGTACCGCACCTACAAGGGCCACTCAGTGCGGGACCTCTTGAGGGCCATGCGCAACAAGGTAATGCAGTTTTCTCCCCTGCAGGCTGTCCTTTGTGTTTGCGGTACCAGTGACTTCGCATCAGATGTTGAGACTTTTCAGTGCTGTTACTCTCCTTGAAAGAGGTTTTGTTGATGCAAGCTGACGTAAATGTATTTCTTCCACATAAATGCAAGGAATGATCGTTGTTACGGTAATCACATGACATGTTTTTCGGACTCGCGTTCCTTTGCACCTAGACAACAGTTTGAGCAAAAAGACCGTCAACTATTCACACAGTCATTTCTCGTAATATTTGCATGATTGTAAGTCACCCCCCCGCCCTACATTTTATGTGCGCGGAACGAAAAAGAAAAAGGATATTGTACTTTAGGGCGCATTCGATGGCTATCATTTATGAATCGCTAAACTACAATTCATCCTCTGGTGGTGCCGCTATCCTCACTGGGTTCCCGTCATCGTTCAACGAAATCTTGCACTTCGTGGTCGACCGTTTCTTCAACGCTCGCTCGGCGATCGTGTCGCACGTCGCGGGCAGGGACCGGTCGTGCATTTCTGCGACAAAGGTCGCAAGCTTGGCCTCTATCTCCCGAAAACATTCCAACGACTGTGGCGTGCAGAAGCATCTTCGTTTGCCGTCGCAGCTAGAGATGCTGTGCCATTGCCACCCGCTCCAAGAGTGCAGTTTGTTTCTTCCGCGCGAAGAATGGTGGCCCTCTTAAACATAGCCGTAAACAAGCGCCGCCGAACCGCCCACACCTTGCAACCTTGCACGTCAATGCAGTCGACTCAATAATTTGATGCTCAAGGAGAGAGCGACAAGGTTTCGAATTAAGCTTACTTGAATCTTAAAAAAAGACGCTCAAACCTTGAGTTTTTTTGTTTTTTTTTAATGTGATAAGGTTTTCCTTGACAGCCTCCCCCCCTTTATTTCTTTTATAAAAGAAATGTCAAAATACAGCCCTATCTTTTTGGTGCATAGGAAATGAATACTGCAGAAATACAGCCCAATTTTGTTGTTTGTGTTTGTTTTTGACCATTGTGTTGAAGACGTTGTACAAGGAGTTTCTAAGAAAAGAAAAACGTGTTTTTCAGTTATGATAAATAAACTATGCATTGTTGAAAGCTCAAACACCTTGAGAATGTGAGGCTAGTAGTTGGGATAGAACGCAACGGTTTGAGGTGACGACGTTGCCTGGATTAAAAGATAACTTAGAAAAACAAAATTTCTCTACGAGTCGACCTCCACCTCAGCCTAGTATGTCAAAACAAGAAATTTTATTGTGAACGCTTGCAGGATTTGTTTTAGTGAAAAACACTTGTCAGCAAGAAACAGAATATTGTTTTCTATTGCACTGACAAGTTTGTTTCACTGAAATAGGTGCTGTGCTACTGGCACCCACAATGCCATTTTGTGTTTTGACCAAATTAGGCATAGGTAAACATCGGTTTATGGTGAAATATGGTTTTCTCTATCATCTTTTGATCCAGGTAACGTTGTGTTCTCAGTCTTTCGCATTCTATCCCAAAAGCTAGCTTGACTTCTCACAGAGTTTGAGCATTCTGTGATGCAGATTGGATCTACCAGGGCCGAAAAACACGGTCCTTTTTTCTCGGGAGCTCCCTGTAAGTAAAAGTTGACGCCAAGTACAAAGAAGACACGGGACAATCTCGCGTCCACCGCCGCAGAAGCATCACTACCGCGAGCTCCCCGAAGCGCTGCAGGCGGAGCTGGGATCGCTTCCTGATGCCTTCGTGGGCTACTTCACGTCCCGCTTCCCGCTGCTGCTGCTGCACACCTACCTGGCGCTCCAGGGTTGCCGCACCGAGGCCACCCTCAGGGGCTACTACGCACAGGACGGATCAGCCGACCTGTGCCGGCCCGCGAGCCCACCTCCAGTCCTGGGGCCGGCGTATCCGTGGAAGTGGCGGCGGCGGAAAGCGCCAGAAGCGGAAGCAGATGGTGAGTCCTTTGTAGCGCTTGACTCTCCACCTGCCCTCCCCTAAAGTGTGGTGCCCAGAACGAGAGTTTGGCTGCCGTATTCAATGCTTGAGTGAGGTGAAGTTGGCTATTTTCACTGAAAGCTGTAGATTTCTTTGCTTTTGGGACTTGAAAACCCTGCAAGGTTCTGTGCTATAGATTGTGTCGTATAAGCTCTCTCATCTTGCCGATTGTCGGGTTTCAGATGCGAATGTGGCTGACCTGCCGGACAAGTTGGTCAAACCCGTGGCACCCGGAAAGCCTGCGGGAGACCTGGCAAGTCTTCTCTTTGTCGGCGAACGGCCGGTTGCCAAGTGGCAACGCGCAGAGGCAAACATCGACGAGGCGACACTGCCTACAAACGTCGACGAGGCGACACTGCCTTCAACATTGGCAGAGAAGGCGATTACGACCGAAGCGAACTCAGTTGACGACGCAAAAGCGAGCACAGCGTCGCACGTCGGGCGTAGTTCTTTGTTGGCAGTGAATGGTGCCGACCCTGTTGAGAGCGCCACCGACAATTTCAAGCAGCTCGGCGCTGTCGCAGAAGAAAACGGTGCAGTGCAGGACAACTGGCGCGACGCCGTGCGGAGGCGTTCGCCCGCAAAGCGCCCGACGAAATTCGTAACGTTGTCGCCACGACGACCGCGACGTTTGTCGGATGGGGACACTGTCGAAAGGACACGCACCACCGAAGCATGGCGGCGCGACTGGAAGTGAGGAGCGTTGGAGCGAGACGGGTTCACTATACGAACTGGTACACACCAGTGTACCAGTCGCTCACACTTGCTGCTGGCACCAGTGGCCAGCCATCTGACCTTGGACTGGTATGAATGGTTACCAAGGTTGCTATTTCAAAAGGTGATGCTTTAGTTTGTGCTGGTATACCAGTGGCTCAAACTTGCTGCTGGTACCAGTGGCCAGCCATCTAACCTTGGCCTGGTAGGAAGTTACCACTCTTGTTCACTGAGACTGATTACAGTAATTTCATATATTCTTTACTGGTACCAGGTGCTGGCAACCTGTTCATTGCTTCTCTTTATTTCAAACTGGCCCTGATTATCTGCTCCTATATCTGAATATTGATTAGCTTTCTTGTACTGGTATTCCAGTTTGTATCAGTTGCCGACCATCTAACCTTAAACTGGTTGGAATAGTTACCATTAGTGTTTAGCGAGGCTGATCGCAGTGATTTCGTATATGCTCTACTGGTACCAGGTGCTGGCAGCCTGTTTAATGCTTCTCTATGTTTCAATTTGGTCCTGAGGATGTCTGCACCTATATCCCAGTATTGACTAGCTTTGTGGTGGTGTACCAGTTTATACCAATGGCTACCAATTATGTTTCTGGTGCTGCTGATTACCTTTAAGGCTGGTTCTCAAAGTTTATGCTGGATTCATATCAGTCTCTACTGGTACCAGGTGCTGGCAGCTTTTTTAATGCTTTATTTCTATCTGGCCCTGATTATGTGCATACCTATATCTGGCTATTGATTAGCATTGTTCATGCTGGTATATATGTACCAGTTAGTACCGGTTGCTAACACCTGCTGCTGTTACCAGTTGCCAGACATCTAATCTTCAACTGGTAGGAATGATTACCAATATTGCTTACTGGTGCTGATTACCTTTAATGCTGGTTCTCAGTTTATACCGGATTCATACGATCTCTACTGGTACCAGGTGTTGACAACCTTGTCAGTGCTTTTTTTAAATTTTAATCTGGCCCTCACTATGTTTGCAATTAGGTATTCTCAGCACCACTTCACCATACATTTTGACTGGTGCTAGTTTTTGGCATTTGTACTATAACTTTCTGGTACCTACCACCTGTGGGTTAATCAAATATGGCAAGTACCAGTTTGCTTGCTGCTGCTACCATCTACTGGCTGGCTTTAGTAGTAGCTTGGGTTTGTGCCACCAGTAATTAGGTGGCCAATTCACCACTGCACCTTATGCCAGTACCTATTACTTGCTCACTACTGGTACCAGTTATGAAAGATGGTAGCTTGTACTTGGAGTAGTGGTCATTTCAAGTTTCTTTTCTTTTTCTCGTGTTTGTATACTTTGTTGGGCACTGGTATATTTTATTAAGGGAAATCCTGTAGAGTTATTCGAGCTTGCATCAGTTTTCATTTTTGGGCGTAAGATGTTAGTCGCATCCATATCATTTTATGTGTTCTGCTTACTTAGAAATTAAGATTAGCATCAGCAGCGTCCACTGCACAAAACGTCTGGTCATCTTCTGGGTGTCCTTGTAGGAAATGGTAACTGCCTTATAAGTTGTGCGCAAGGACATCTCAGCAATCTTATTTCATCTCCACCATCACAGGTATAATGCTAGTTTTGTACCACTAGTTCTTCTCCATTGCACAAGCACATCTCGGTGATGCAGCATGAATTTGGTTGGATATAATGTGCAGCAGTATGCAACGTGCATTTTTGAAAGCGCACACACTAACAGCTTTAGGGTTAACAAAACTCTAGAGCACATATGACATGCGGGACTCGTGTCTGCAATTTATTTTCTATAAAAGTAAACACATATCTATGTTAATCTATTGAACATGTTTTTGTTCACCTTATTTATGCTAGAGATCATTTGGAAAGTTGTGTCTCTAGGCTAGAATTCAATTTCTCTTTAATTTGGCAACCAAAGCCGACGTTTGTTTTATAGCACTCGCCTGATGTTTTTCTTCTTTTTTTTTGCACTTGCGCAACCAAGTTGGCAAAGACTGACATTTAAAAACGTACAGTCGCTGCTACCAGTGGGGCTCTTTTATTTTTTGTTGCAACGATGGAAATTTTTATGTTGTAAATACTTTCGTCTTTCCTTCGGGAAACGTTCCTATTCTTTCAAATTTTTTAGCTTTGTGTTTGATGGTCTTCGTTCCAAAAATGCATTGATATTTTTGTTTTGTCGTACGCACATTATGGTTTTGAACCTGCGGAGCTGTCGAGGAGAGATGGTTTTTGATGGTCACTACCTGACGGTCACTCATTATTAGTAACCTTCATAGTGCGATATTAAATAAAATGCTGCTGGAAATATTTCAGATTATAGCATGAACAGAGTATTTAATTATGGGCATTTTCTTTAAAAAAGAAAAGGCAGCGCATCATTTGTCGGTCCGAATTCACGTAATGATTGGAATACTCAAAAAAGGGTGTTAAATATGCTTTTACGCCTGCCATGAGAAGGTGATTTCTGTGATGGCAATTCAAGATGGTGTTAAAAAAACACTTTACTCCATTTGCTCTCCTTTCTGCCTAAGAGTGTACATTGTGGAAGCACAGAAGTGGTATGTGCCTTTGTCTTTGTATTTGTCGTGCATTCCGACACGTCGAGAAAATATATTTTTTGTTGCGTGTGTTTTACAGTGCTGGAAGAGTATGCATCAATGTTGTCACTGGGTGAATTAAAGGCTAATTGTATTTTTCAGTGATGCATTGACTGACCTCTTTTGGGGGAATAGGTGAATCTGGGGTCGGAGGCCATATGAAATTTTTTTTCAGACTTGCATGGACATATATTTTTTGGAAAATATCCGGGAACTGCAAATAATTTTGCAGGATTCTTACCTACATTGTTCTTCCACGACATCATTATTTTAAGATATCCCTAGAGGTGTGCGAACAGTGAGATTTCAACTCGAATTGAATCGTGTCCAAAAAGTTTAATGTTGAGTCGAATACGCACACCAAACATTTTATTTGCGATGTTCATGAGATAAAAAAGAAAGCCTCGTAGATAAGAAACACCCTACACGTTTATTTTCCTGCAGGGCATGTGGAAAGAGGAGGAATAGGGGCTGTGTTAATGACCACACTTAAAGGACAAAGTTAAGACGCAGCCAATGTTATTGGAAGAACACGGTTGGGAAACTGCCATAGGAACCTGCTTTGGAGAAATGGCTCCAACTTTTACTTCAGAACAGGACTATGTATGCGACCACAATGCCACCATATTTCTGCCACAGCGGCCACTCTCTTGAGCTATACATATTGCAACGCAGAACAAACTAGAAAGTGAACCTTCACTACCCATCTTATTGGCTCAAAACAAATTATTTACTGCCTACTAGCCAACAAACTAATTAATCTGACTATTTGCCAAGGGCAGCGCTGTATTTGAAACCAGGCTCCAGTGGCTCTGTTCCGGTGAATGAAGAGGTCCGCCTTCCAAGAACTTTGCAACTTGGTTGAAGTCAGGATCCTGGGAAAGTACCGCTGAGCTCCTTGTATGGTCGCCATCTTGGTCCATAAGTGAGCAAGCAGTTTCCCCTTGGCCCCTTCGTTCTTGGCGAGCTGATCCAAGTTTGCGGTGACATGCTGCGATTTCATTATAGTGGCGAGAAATGCTTTTGGAACAACTGTGTTCTTTTCGAAACTGCCAAAACCTGAAAGGACCTAAATGGTGGTTGTCATGGCAGCAGCAACCAATGGACCTTTTCCGAGAAGCGTTCTGTGCACGCGCGAGCACCCGATGCCAAGCGGTGGAAGTCGGAACGAAAAATCGAGGAAATTCGGAATGAGGCTGTAGATCGACGAGTAGAACACGTAATTGCAGCATGTATATAATTGTGTTACACAAAAAAAGAAAGTGGACGGAAAGAAAAACACGACGTTTGGGTGGACGCTACGGAGTTCCCTCTTTAAAGTCACGTCGGGCACGCGACGCAGCTCAGAGAGCGAAGCAACTGGTAGCGTAGCTCCCATTATCGATTGGTAGCGCAGGTAGGTCACTTCCTCAATTTTTAGTTCGTGGAGCCACCGCCAGGTGCCGTCGGTATTTGGAAAAGGTCCATTACCTTGAGAGGCTTTGGTCGTCTGTGTGTTAGTTTGTGTCCTAGCAGGCAGGGAAGGCAATGGCACTACTTTCCCAGGAAAGCTGACAGATGTGCCCGCCAGTCTACTACTCGTGGATTCGGAGCTTGCCGGATGAATTAACGGATATGGCTGAACCTCTAGAAATACCTTATAGCAATTATCATTAGCCTTGTGGCTTATTTTATTGAGTACAAACTTTATATATTTCTATGTGGATAGAAATATATGAAGTATATGATCCATAAATAATTCTATTCGGATGATTAAACATTTTTAAATATCTAAAAAGAAATGCTGCAAAGCGGCGAAAGCACTTTTGGATTGAATAAAGTGGTTAAAAAGTAGAAAAACATTGTCCATAATCTCACACAATTTGCAAAATAAACTGCCGAAACCCGGGATCGAACCAGGGACCTTTAGATCTTCAGTCTAACGCTCTCCCAACTGAGCTATTTCGGCGATACAACTGGCAGAATATAACATTCTAAATATCCTATAGAGCTCATTGCTGCTGTTATTACGTGTATTATCTTAAAATTAGCGAGAGAGAAAAACACAGTTGGCCATGCAAGACTGGAGAAGAAAACTATTTTTAATATCTTCCTTTTGTTTTCACTGACACATCTGCAACTCTACGCTTATGTAGTGATGCAATGACGTCACGAACAACTACCATCCTGCATCAAACTTCAAGTTTTGGTGTATATATTATATAAATACTGTACAAAAAAATTATATAATACCCACCAGTTTTAACTATACCTCAATTTGAGCAATTAATGTGACTAGCCTTAATGTTTTCCAAAATGTAAGCGTCACATGACATATATATCAGCCACCCAAGGTGAGCAGTTTTAAGATCTGCGGTCATAGCGACCGCGGAGCCGAACACACCATTTGTTGACATCCAAAGACTGCATGTGCTCACTCGTCTCATTCGGATAACTCCCATCTGTTACGCGCATCTGAGTGGAGAACTCGCCGCAAATTCGACGCAAAGTAGCCCGAACGTCAAAATGATAGATTTCCAAGCCGTGGTGATGGCCGCCGGCCGGGGTTCGCGTCTCACCGAACTCCTAACGCCGGACTGCCCCAAATACCTCTTGCCAATCGGTAACTTGCCCATGATCTACTACCCGCTGTGCGCGCTCAAAAAGGCCGGTTTCACCGAAGTCATCGTGATAGCACCCAGCTCGGGCAAACAGAAAATCGATGAAACGCTTGCGGAGAAGACCGGGCTCCGGATCGACTACGAGTTCGTCGCCGCCGGCGAGGACGATTTGGGCACGCTGCAGAGCTTGAGACAGCTCATCGGGCTGGGCAAAATCAAGAAAGACCTCTTCGTGGTGAGCTGCGATCTGGTGACCGACTTCGACTTCACCCGAGCCGCCAACCTCCACCGCACCTACGATGCAGCTCTGACCGTCCTGCTAGCGCCCATGTCCGACTCGCTGAAGGAGTCACCCGTGCCCGGGACCCGAGGCAAAGCCAAGTTCGAAAAAGACGTTGTGGGCCTTGAGCCCAAGACGAATCGACTCCTTCTGTTCAACTCGGAGGCGGACTTTGAAGAAGTGGTGAGCGTGCGCCGGAGTTTGCTCCGGAATCACCCCGTGATCGAAGTCCGGTCGGATTTAATCGACGCCCACGCGTATTTCATCAGCAAGTGGCTCGTGCCGTTCCTGTTCAAGAACGAAGGCATGACGACCATCAAAGGAGAGTTGGTGCCTCTGCTGGCTCGGGTTCAGTTTAAGCCGGACCCGCGGAAGAAGACCGTTGATATTCCCGAAACTGACGTTTACAGGCGAGTGTCGTTCCGCCAACCTCTTGTGGGCAAGCGGTAGGCACCGCGCATGCGCAGAAGAGGCGTGACGTCACTTCCGATTATGCGCAGTGCGTTGCTCGGTGGTTCAAAATGACCCACTGTATTCACTGTACTTCATTTACCCTTATGCTGACGAGGGGCTACACTCTCACCAGACGAATCAACTGCCTGCCTTTTGTCACCTGATCACGTGGTGAAAGATTGACGTATGACTGGTCTATTGAACGTGTAGCATCTACCGCCCTGTCAGCTTAAGCGTCAAATGGAGTATGCAGAGCGCAAGTTTGTCTGGTTCTTTTGCAGGGGTTGTGGTGACGTCAGAACACCGAGCTCTGATTGGCCCTGATTGAAGGATAGCGGGTAGACCTCAAAGCAAGCTGCCGTGAGGTCTACCCACTATCCTTCAATCAGAGCTCGGCGTTCTGACGTCACACAACCTCCGCAAAAAAGGCAGACGAACTTGTGCTCCGCATAGCGACAGTGTGTTATTCATTGCTTTCATTTTCCTGTAAATCTAGCAAATTTTGGAATTCTAGGTCTCTTTCTTATTACAGGTTGGTTTTGATCGGTCAGGCTATAAAAAAGGTACTTAAGAGCTCTTACAAACGTTTTAATAACAGACCTGGCTGAAGAAGCGTTGCGTAAAGATTTGTTACGTAAATTTTTTTAGAACGCAGTTCTTAGAAAAAATAGAGTGCAGGCGAGCTGGTGTAAGTTGAACATGATTGTAAACCTGAGACTGGGGTAGGAAGAGAACACAACAGAAGGTAGTAAAAGAGGAGGCAACGTCTCAAACTCAGCTGCAAAGTTTATTTCAAACACGCTTTATATACCCCATCTCCAACACCGTCTCTACAAAAAACAAACAAACAAAAAAAACACACATGACAAGAGGACAATGACACTTCGGTAGACCTTGTCTTATCTCTCTTCACCTTGGCTGTGGGACACTCACACAAAGGGACACATTCTAGCAGAACCACCGCTACCCGGCGAACGCCGGGTAGCGATGGTTCTTAGTTCTTAGTTCTTAGGCTTCCGTTTCCAGGTTGAGCGTCGCTACCAGCGCCAGCGTACCCCCCCGTTGCATTATGGGTCGCTTCCCATATTGACGTCACGTGTGACGTCATGAGGGTAAACATTTCCTGCTAAACTTGGCAGAAAAAGTTTTCCTAAATTTGGCGGGGAATTTTTTTACTAAATTTAGCGAGACGTTCTCATAATGACGTCACACATGAATTTTCACCAACGTTATTAGATTAGCTCAGTTACGGAACCGCTCATAGACGCTGCTTGCACGAGCAGTACCCCCCTCACTCACCACGACTCTCCTTTCATCGCTCGACGCACCGGACGGCTGCTGTAGTAACTGCAGTGTATTCTATGGAATACATACGTTTCGAAGCAGGGCGTCAGATGGCGTTCAAGGTCTGCTCTATAGAACACACAGTTATAAAACGAAAATCTAGATGGTGCTTCAAACGACGGAAAGCAGATTGGAGTGAGTGAGGGGGGCTACACCGTTCCGCGGGAGTTCCACAACTGAGGTAATCTAGTAACGTTGATTTTCACGTCACGTGTGACGTTGCATGTCAATTTTCCCGCTAAATTTAGCGAGGAAATTTGGTGAAAATTTTTCACTAAATGGGAGGGGAGCAGGAGAGGAGGATGGGAGGGTACGAAGGGGCATACCCTCCTCTCCTCACCCTCCCCTCCTCCTCCTCAAGAGCTGCACTCTAATTCGGCATGTTTTGTTTTTTTAGATAATCCTGTGTAACCTTTTTTTTAATTGTCAGGGGCATGCATATTTTGTTGGAAGGTTCGAAGTCCAATGCCAATGACGTAATTTTCTTTCCCAATCAGGTATGTTCCGACGCCAGAATCCGGAGGCATACTGGTTGGAGACGAACACTTCACCGGCGAGATTGGGGACGGCCAAGACCCAATCAGGTGTTATGGATTGGTCGCCGACGGCGCGTTCCTAGTAAGGGCCAATACTGTCGCCGGATTCATGGAAGCCAACCGACAGGTGAGACCGACATTGAGCAAAGTTATAAGCCAAACCATGCCAACTGACCTTTGGGCAAATTACAAAGCACCAAGGAGAATGCTGGGAACGTGGGTACACACACCACACATGTTTGCTTCATTGTTATAAAATATTCTAAGTAAATAATTAAGATAAAGCATTGACAAATGCATTAGAACAATTAGTGCTGCTTGTTATCCAGCCTTCTCGAGCGAATCAGACATTCACAGCGCTTTGCGGTCAAAACACGAAGCCACGAAAGTAGGCTCTGAAGCACGCAACAAAAGTTGTCAATGCCCCATGTTCTCGTTCCAGGCGTACCAGCTCGACAGGGACACGTTCCCGCACATACCTTCAGGGCGCTTCGACAACGTCCTATCCGACAAGGTCGAGTTCGGCGAGAAGGCGTCGGTGCGCCACTGCGTGGTCGGGCAACACTGCCGCGTCGGAGCCCAGGCCAAGGTCCAGGACTCCGTGCTATTAGACGGTGTCGTCGTAGGGGACGGCGCAAGCATCCAGGGATGCGTCCTCTGCGGCTCGCTCGAAGTGGGCGCGGGGTCGACGCTCAAGAACTGCGTCGTCGCCCACAAAAAGAACCTCGCGGAAGGCGCCAAGCACGCCAACGAGGTGCTTGGGACGTTCGTCGAAATTTGAGTTCAAATCGCTAAGACGCGTTCGTTTCACGGAGGTTGCGATCCGTCGGTGGCGAGTTGTACAGACTCCTTCCTTTCCTTGGCAGTAAAAGCGGGTGTGTTGGCTTTTTTCGGCAATGTTTTTACATTCGATTGCGTCGACAGACGAGAGGGCTGCGCACGACGGACATGTGGTATGAAATCCTGGAAAGGCCGTATTTGTGTTCGCCAATGTCGTGGCTGAAACGCAGTCTACGAGGACTCGATCGCCCGTAAAAAAATGTTTGCGGCTTGACATTCGTTTTTGTTTTGTGCAAAATCTTCTAGTCGAGAATTTGATTTGAGGTCTGCTCTCATTCTCTTCACCATTGTCGCGTGCGGTAATGACGCGGTGCACAAAATGTTTTGAAATTCTTGGCCATCTAAAGCACACATTCAGTTGAAACAGTACAAACCTACGGAACACAATTCTTACGGCCACTGAAGTGCCAGAGAGGCATTAATTTAAAAACTCCCATACATTTTCTCGATATTTTGGGTTACGGCAGTTTCCCGTGAAGGGAGTGTCTCTAGATTACGAGGTCTCGCTTTTTTTTTTTTTCGATGCCTCGCATAGTTTTGTAGATATCCTACCTCAGAGCATTGTTTCGGGGGTCTATGGTGAAACCGAAACTATTGGCTCAAGCATGATGGCAACCCTTCTGATCAGCTGCATGGCCATCGTGCGACACAAAGTTTGTATTGCTGTACCGCAAAAGGTACGACTGGCCTAGTCGCAAGAGCAGTTCCGATCAGTCAGGTAAGATGCTATGGCTGTTTTAGTGCTTTGCTTCGCAGATATGAAACATCTGTAGCAAATAATAATACACATTCATAAAGTTGCCGGCCGAAAAGCGAATTTCCATGATGAATGCAGGCTCAGACCGAGCTCCCACTTATCTCCTGAGGAGAACTATGCAATCTTGGTGGTGCGCAATGCAAGTTACAGAAGCGTTGTGGAAGCCTATCGTAAGCTCGTGCTGAGCAGGAATGGACTAAACTATAACGGTAACATAATATACGGAGCAAAAGTGGCAAGCAAAGCAGACGACAGTGCAGGTTTTCACTCATTATGCATGCAACCTTGCACTGCTATCCCTATATTTGGCAATTCAGAAGGAAACAATGCACATGCATAGCCTTGATGGCCAATTATGAAGACGATCCCGAGTATGATGTGCACCATGTGCAACATGCATGCAAACTGGATACTTCGCACAACTTGGAATGCATCAAAGAGAGGTATTTATTGTGTTCCATTTTGTATTTACATATGTTTGTATCGTACAGTAAAGAATTTTCTTCTCAGTTTTTCTGTAGCTTGAGGAAGCCAGCTGTGTTGGAGAAGTACTTCGCACCGCTGTCGCCTGCTCTGGTCTCGGCGGCATGTGGATTGACGATCTCCAACCCCTGTAAAAAAAGACGAGGTGTTTCGGACGCAAATCCCCAGGAACTTATGGGTACACGACATGCTTTTATGACTTTGAAGTTCTTGCACACGTCCCACACAACTCGTAAATGAAAGCCACGGCAGAAATAATGGAATTAAGAACATTACAGCACATACATCTGAACGAAATGGGGCCAAACTGGGCTCCTTGCTTTTTACAGCAGCATAAAGGCTAACTTTTAGGAGAGCTCATTCTGTCAAAGGGATCGGTGCAAACGGCCGTATACACACCTGTAGGGGTGTGAAAGCGACACTGGATGCTGTTCCGGACACCTGCCTTCGCACTGTCGTGCTGCCACCATAAACCTGCTGTCTTTGGAGGTTTTTCTGTAAAAGCAAAAGAAAACATGTTTTTCATTCTATTCCGTGCCCCAGGGCATTGCTAGGTTTCGTTGGATCACGACTCACATAGTGGTGTTGTGCAAATATTTTTATCATCTAATAGTAGTTTAGTGTATGTTATTTGATAGATGAATTGTAATGGCCATTCTTTCTTAGGTGTTAACAGAGTTGTGGTCGCATGTCTGCTTACTGCTCAACAAAATCAAAATTGCTGCTTACTTTGGAAAAAATGAAAACCGTATTAATATTAAAATTACCATGCTTGGCTTTGGATACATGCTGCAATCTTGTATGTTTCGGACCAAACTTTGGTTTTACAGAACTTTGGCAACATATCCGAGTTATCTGGGAGCCTAAAGGTCCAGGTGTCAAAATAAGACGAAATTTCAGGTAAATACATAAACAGTAAAAAAAAAGAGATGGGACAAAAAACGTTGCCACCTTGCGGCCACATTTCTTGCGTTGAAACTATTCAACAGTCAATTCGAAAGCATTCGTCTAAAATCACTAGTATTTGCATCGAACCCGTTATCCACTATTTGCACAGGCCTAGGAAATGGGTGCTGGCACAGCAAAAACATTTGTCAGCTAAGGTTGGCCACTAGGATAGATGACCGCAAATCGGGTGTTCATTATTAAGACCACGGTGTTCTCGCACCCGCGCAAACGACGGCAGGCACTGCAATCGCTCACCTGCAGAGTCTTGGAGATGCGGACTTTGGTCTTCTCATCCACCTGCGCGGCACGAATGCGACCTGTTCCCGCTTTGCCGATGTGTCCCGAGCTAAACCCAAGGTCATCCTGGTAAGCATCCTCTTCAATCTGCACCGAGATAAAAAAAGAAATTGTAAGGCAAATTGATAGGCAATTGTGTTGCATATGTGAAGCATTCTAGCATCACAAATGTCTGACGACACTCCCAAGTTTCCAGACGCCAGATGCCTGCGTTCACGGCGCTCTTCTTCAGACAGTTTAACGCGTACCACATGTACACTCAATACTTAGTTGTTCCCAGAATGAAGCGATACTACTGCTAATCGGGCCAATAAGCCTGGCGATCTTCCAGAACCTTCCGTATGCTCTCAAGCTCCTCACCCTCAGTGCGAACAGGTAGTCGAGCCCCTCGCCTACCCCACTGGTCACGTGACGTCCCTCTTAACCATTCAGCGCCAAGCACCTCACTCCTCCTCTGCTGCCCTTCAACCAATCGGTGTCAAGCCTCGCAGCCATGCTTTTATCCAAGCTTCACGAAATGCCGAAAGCCTAGCCGGAGAATGTTTCACGTTAATAAAAAAAAACGGTTTGTGATCTTGGGAAGTCGACACTGTTACAAGCCGAGCCATTTTGACATTGGTGCTTTATAAATGGCGATAATGATAATAAAGAACCAGTTTTTTTCGGCATACAGGGAGGACCATATGGCCCTGGTGCACTTGGGACATGAAAATGCTATGAAGTGTGCAGTATGCATATAATACGATCAAAGAGGGTGCATGACACATCAGAAAACAATATGCGTAGCTGTACGACAAAAATTAACCACTGAAAGAACAAACTCGCATGTACATGGACATAAGAATGTGACATTGTAAGATCATCTAGCAGACATTTAAAAAGTCTGACAAGTACAGCACACTGCTAAAAATCAGGGAATTTATTGTGAACCTCAAAGCAACACGACGAAGTCCTTACATCTACGAAAAAGCAGCGACCATGCCCTTTAGCAGGCCGAAACAATTGCACATTTTCGGGTTGGTGACACAAACAAGACAAACAAAACGCATACGAAAGGACGGCCATTTAAGCGACTGAAAACCAAGCTCACCTCTCCGAAGGTCATGCGGTTGGCTTGCTTGCGCAGTTCGGTGACGGCAAACCGCTCTTTCATTCGCCGTACCCTGAAACGGCAGTTGGCAACATTGTTTACCGTTCTGTTTCAGAAGGTGCAATGCTGCAAGTACTATTCGTTTGACAAAGACAGCGGGTGTCCTCCAGATAAGCTGTCCTTTGACAGCTTTAACAATTACTTGGTCTGCCATGAGAGCTGCAAAATGGCAGTCTGCTACAACTTGAGTGGAATCAAGCATGTTGGTATCACCAAGTGTTTCAGTGTATCTAGGTGTAATAAAAATACTGCAGTTATATAAAAGCCGTTGTAGCTCGACAGAGCCTTTCTGGTTTATAAAAGCTCCTTGCAGTCTGCTAAGACCTATGAAGAGACTGCAAAAACCTTTAAAGTCTGCAGAAATCCACTGCAGTCCCACAAGAACACGTGTGGTCTACTAAAACCTGTTAGATATCGGTCTGTTCTAAGTGCTAGTGCCTTTTCCGCCTGCTAAAACCAGAACCTAGATGAGACCGCTGGTTTTTGTGCTATGCCATTAATTTACATGGTGCTTTAAACATGGCAACTTCCCAAACCCGAGGCAGTACTCGATACAAGGGATCTCTCATGTACTCGGGCATAGACTTTCTGTGGCAATTCGGAAAAAAGGAAAGAGTGGGACTGGATTGGATTCTCAGTCTTTCTCTTTTGTATGTCAAGTGATTACAGGAAGAAATGAATTCTGGATCTGGCCAGAGGAGTGGGAATGAACTGGATGGGATCCTCAAACTTTTTACATTGTATCGGGTGACCACAGAAATTAATGGATCCTAGACGTAACCGGGGGTAGACAAACTGGACAAACTGCGGCTCTTTGCGGGTTCAAGTGTGGCTAGTGGCTTCCTGGTAACCATACCCCCTCTCCCCTGCAGGATCTCTAGAAAGAGACTTAAAATAAACGACAGCTGGCATTTCGGCAGCTTTGTGCCATGGCACGTGCGTCAGTTCGACCAGATAAGGGGCATCGGGTCAACGACCGCCTGACGAAGCATGCACTTCTGCTTCGCAGTTCGGGAAATGTTCTGCCTCTGATTCTTTGCCACAGTCAAAGAGAATTATTGACCCTAGATAAGAAAATAAAAGAACATAATAATGAGCAATCGCTCTGCAAACTCCTTGGTAACAGTCAACTGAAATAAAGACTGCCATACCCTGAAGCTCTTCACTTAAAATTATTACTTCCGTGTGGCCACCCCTTATCTAGTCGGTTGCCTAGCCAACAGCCCGCTGTACCTCCACCATCAGTATGGTACGGCCTTAGTCGGTTTACAATATCAAGCCCCGACAATCTTCTTTCGCAGGGCACGACAAGGTTCAATGGCACCGGCCTTATGGTGCCTGGAACGAATCGCCAACTAGTCTGTTTACCACGCCCTAAAAAGTGGCCCCCCAATTCCCACACGATGACGTCGTAGAAGTGTCACGTCCTCGCCGCCTGCAACCCTAGCCGTGTCACAGCAGTGGTGGTGGAAGTGGCAGATGCCTGTTGTGCTGCAGGTCGCCCTCCAACTTAACAGTCTACTCAAGCTTCGGCAACAAGGAGTTGGGTCGCCAGAACAGCGGCAACGCTCGCACTCTCGCGCTTTCTTACAGAACTTCTATGCCCAACCCCAAGGATCACGACGTCCAACAGGCAAACGCTCTGGCTTTTGCGACGTCGTCTGCTGCCAGTTCAGGACCGCTTTCGACGTACGAGCAGAACGGCGTGCCAAACGTGCTGCTCTGAGACAAGTTCCAGGCACCAAAAAGAGCAAAGTGTGGTGCCCCCCCACCTTTCGCCAAACAAGTGGTGCTAGAGTCACTGAAGGTTCCCAGAGTACTGGAACTCCCAGGCTCAACAACGCCAAGATAATAGCTCACTTTTCTTTTTTTTTTTTTTTTTTTCTTGCTGTGGTCATTATGAGCGTTAAGAAAGCATGTTTTTGCGTAAAAACAAATGGAAAAAGCTTTTTTTGTAGGAAATTTTATCGGAGATTAGCACAGAATCGTAGGAGCGTGATGTTTTCGTAAAATTTTAGTTTACAAGGCATTGCAGCGCAAAAAATATTATTTTTATACAACCGTGTCTCACAGAGGATCTCAGGTGGTGCGTCCTAACATCGGTGATAATTTGTGAAGCGTCCGCTTGGGAGACGGGGTTTGGCATCTCTGAAACCTCTTCCAATGTTCATGTTTCAGCGCCGAAAAGGCCGATCAAAGCTCCGTGGTCACAGCGGCCGCTACCGATATGACATTCTGGAAACATTCAGTGACTCTAGGTGGCGCAAGCCACCACCCCATTCGAAGGGTTCGGTTGCCGCCCCACCCGTCCGTCACACCTGCGTCCGCCACGCTTCTTGCGGTTCTGGTCGATGGGCTGGGGCAGGGGCTTGACCTGCTTGGCCGGGGGCGGCTCCTGCAGCTTGTCCAGCTTGCGCTCCACCTCCTCTCTCAGGGACCGCCCCACCGTCCCATCCTGAGACTCGTGGAAGCTGTCCACCCGCGCTGCCAGCACACACTTGGCCGCCAGGAGGCGGGCTCCCTTGCGACGCAGGTCCTGCCAGAGAACGCCCCCCGTAAACGCTCCTAGAGAGACCGCTTAACGGTACTTTCGCCGTAGACCGTGGTGCAAGATACTCGTTAGGTGAGGACACACAGCACGGCAAGCCTTACGACATGATCAGCCAGATAAAGCCCTACTAGTGTGCGCCCCAGTAGCCCGTGCAGACGGCATCTCCGCCGACCAGACGGCAAAACTAAGAAGAAAAAAGTGTTGTTATGGCACTTGGGCGTGCGCACTTTCTGCTCGAAACGTCTGCTCTGATCTTGACGGACGCTGGCTGGAATGCCGTGCCGGCGATCTCTCCGCTTCAATGCATTCGTAAAACCGTGCTTGCCGCCGTCGAGGCACAAAACTAGGGTCAATGACGAAGCAGCGTCTAAACAACACGCATGGCACAAGTAAGTTCTACATGATACGGTACACCAAGAAAATGACAATAAAAACAAGCGTGTCTCTTGTGGAAAAGAATAAGAAATCGGGCCAGCGACAGGCTGCCATTAGCCGCACGTCGGGGAGCCATCTGGTGGCACCGTCTGCAGCCAAAGTGAGGACACAACTTTGTCTGGCAGTTGCGATGCGCGTGCGGTGTCCACACCTATTTGTTTTATACTGTGCCGTGGGCTAACAAGTGCTCGGAATAGTAAACACTTTGCATTCATTGAGTACCCTTAAGTACCAAACTCAACGAGAACACACGGAGAGGGCGCTTCAACAACTAGACCCTGGACCATTGACTGTGGCAAAAGTCCCGGGCCTGAGGAAGAATCAGCGGCATTACCGTACCGTCTTTAATGTGCTTCAAAAATATGTCGAAGACACTGGTCTTTAAGATCAACTTAGGGTGCATGTTGTTATGTGCTTGTGCATGCGTGATTTCACTCTTATTCTAATTGTCTATATTCCCTGCACTCTTTCCCGTGGAGCAGCCAGTCGGAGAATGAAATCTGGCTTACCTCTCCAGGCTTCAATAAAATTATTTATCTATCTATCTATCTTGCAGTCATGAGGCATAGAACATGAACCAATTTTTATGGTTGCATGCACTAGTTTTCACAAAAACGCCTATTTACAATACTCGTATTTCATTTTTCCTCTTTACATGCCATTGTATTCTCTCATCCATGCAGATTTTTATGCCACAGTTAAGAACTAACCACGACCTATGAGCACCAGTAAGAACAAAGGACGTACTGCGGGCGTGTTCTGCACAATGTCCGTGTAGTAGACGAAACCAGTGTGAGGCATGACAGCTGTCGAGGAGAATCCGGAGAGGGTTCGCTTCTGGGAACCAAGCACCAGAACATTGCAGGCGGGCATCTTGGAGAGGTTGGTCAGGCCGCCCGCCACACCTGCAACATGGAAGAGCGATTGTACAGGTAAAACAACCTAGTTTCAACGCCAAAGGGCATTTTTAAGACGCAGTCGTTATTGTTACACGAGGTCGGACGAAATGGCTTGGCATCGACAAAGAAGAGCGTCGCTTCAACATTGCTATGATTGTCACGAAGTGGGGACGATGTTGATTTTGATGGGCTAACTTGTAGGTTCATAAGCTCGGTTCCGAGGAACTGAGGAGTCCCCCAGAGTACTCTTGTGGGTTCCTCGTGCTACCAAATTTCCCCAACTGTCCCTTTTCCCGAACCTAAACGTTTTTTCCGGTTTAAGTTCTCTTTTAGTGGGCCTACACCACCCACAGTTGCGGAATTCGAGCCAAACTCAGCTTTGCATGTGAATTACTCTACACAAGGTCTGTCAACTTTTACGCTGCTTTACTGAATCAATTTCATGATTGGGAGTGGTCCCCTGGCTGTCATTCGAGGCAAATAGGGGTTCTTTAAGAATAAAATTTTTGAGGAGACCTGCTTGACCATTTAATGTTTAACCATTGCGATGTAGTTGTAATGAAACACAGTACAATCATATGAGCAACAGCAGCGACGCAGGGCAAAACCACGATGAAACATGGGCTCACCAAAAGCTTAGAAGTTGTTGAGTGATTGAACGCGTCGGAGAAAATCATGCGCCAAACGATCCCATGTTTGAATGGCCCTTGCCAAATTCTCCGAGGCTAAAAAAAATACTTCGCCGCATTTTTTTTTAAATTTGGCAAAGGCTCAGACAATCTGGCCCATCACCACAAAGTTACTGCCAACAGTCCAAATTAACGGTCAACTTTGCACACATACCCATGAGCTTGGCGGCAACGGACGCTCCTACAATGGCAGAGAGGTTGGGCGCAATGAAGGACATGCGTGACTCGACGTATGAGTAGATCTCCAGCTTGAAGTCGTTCAGGTCCAGTGCCTGGATGCAAGATATTGGGTTGATGTTGGCATTACGCCGGCACAAAGTTCAACTGAGCATGTCTAAACGACGGTAGGCATGCCGTTTCAAGGCCATGCACTCCAGCTAATGGGCAGCTTTCAGCAAAGCGGAATTAGTGACGAGTTTAACATAGTTAACAGGCAGACATCATCACTATGTTGATACAACATAGGGATGTCTGAACGACACAGAACACATTCGAAGATAGCCTCCGGGAAGACACCGGCATTGCATTGGCACGTTAAGCTGTCTGACTGACATACGACATATCTAAAGGTAGAACCCAAGCCGATATCGGCGTTACTACGATGGCACAATGTTGCTTTACTTGAACGACATACATGTCACTTCAGGGCTCTGCTCTCTAGTCCTTGAAAAGAGTGCAATCTAGGAGGATTTCAGGAAGCATGCACAGCAGCGGTAACGTGAGTTTGTGTGTCAAGGAACAAGCTTTATGCATCTTGACTAGACATGCAGAAGTATACTCGTTAGCCAGATATGTCGTGTAGGCGGGTACATGCATTCCGGCAACAACCGGACTAGTGTAGCTACGTATTTGACTGACGAGTGGGGATACTAAATTTAAGGCAGTCTGGTAGGCATTCTAAGGATGATGTTGGCATTGCAGCGGCATAGAGAAGCAGCTCATACATTTTTCCAGATATGGCACACCCGAGTTTCAAAGCATGAAACACATAAAAAAGGTATCTCAAAATAGTAGATAAAAAATACTGACCATGTCACACGCTTCAAAGATGGTTGCCAACTCCTCTGGAGAGAGTAGCTGTCTGCAAGAAGAAAAATGAGGGGGGACTTGTCACGGCAGTGTCAGCCTACTACAATTTTCACAGACTGTGTTTAGAGCTAGGGTTTCAGAACAAAATGTGCGCAACAAAAATTAAACAGAACTGTAGCCTGTAATTCGCCCGCTAAACTTAGCCGGGAAATTGAATCGCCGTATAATCATACACCCATCTATGTTTTCCGCTAAATTTAGCGCGGAAATTGAACTGGTCTAATCATACAGCAATTTCGTTTTTTCCGCTAAATTTAGTGTGTATGTGCTGCCACGGACATCTGCTGGAGTCAAAAGAGAAGAATACTCAAATGGAAATAATAGATGAAAACGCAACAAGCCTAAAAAGAATTCCACTTCACAGTTTTTATCAGAATTCAAGCACCCTCAATGTTTTTGTTTTTTTCATTTAGATTTTGTTATTTTACACCGAAGGAAAAGCTGCGTATGAAGCCAGCAACTACGGGCACCCTCACCCCTGGGTCGTCGAAGCCGTGACGCTGACAACCATGATGGTGGCTGGCGTGAGGAACTGTTGGAGCATCTCGTTGTTCTTTGCCTTCTCCAGACTGTTGCCCAGTTCCTAATGTCATTAACGGGCAAAATCAGCAGTGATTAAGAAGAAAAGAAGTGAGAGAGAAAAGGCGGCATCTGAGAATCCCAGTTTTCAGCACTGGAGAGTTCTATCCACAAAGATGTTTTAACAAGGACAGCTCCGGCGGTTCTCGTGAACTACTAAAACTGAACACTTTTTCGAAACACCCAGGTTTTTGCTCTTTCCGAGATGCCACCTGTTACCGCTAAATTCAAGATAGCTTTTGAGAAAATGCAAACAAAGCTGAGCCAAAACCGAAATTCAAATTTTCCCGCGCATCATCACACGTGCAACACGTGTGATGATGCGTGTTACACGGGTAACTTCGGTCATCATCACACGTGTAACTTCCAAGTCCAGCAGGCGGTCTAAAAAAACAGTATTTCAGACTTTTTTTTGTTTGTTTTGCTGCCATAGGTTTAACGAGCACTCATTTCATACCATCAAACTTCTTGCGACTCGTCTGGAACAAGCTGTAATGGCCCCCGACTGCCCCATACCGCGACATCCGACGTCACGTCTTCAGCGTTGCCTGAAGAGTTTCTTAGACCAAATTTAAAACTTCAATAACTTTGCAAAAGAATAAATTATTGAGACTCGCAATTTCGGTTACTAGTTCAGTAGCATCTATAATGTGTTAAACAAATTATGAGACAAGTCAGAGACTACGATTTCGCTAGAGGTTAAAAGTTAAAAGGTGGCTAAAAGGTGGCTTTAAAATACCTTGACCGTCGACATGTAGTCAAGCGCTCCGGGCACGAGCGACTCCAACTCGGGGAAGCGTTTGGAATAGTTGTCCCTCGTAAACTTGTGAATGATGTCTGCGGGAAAAAACGGCAATTGACCAATCGGTCGGTCAACTAATATCTGTCAATACGGTGAGGAGTGACCTTGAACAAATTGATGTGAAATAAAGCATCCAGAGATAGAAGGTGCCGAAACGGCCAGTCAGTTCTAGAGCTGGCAGAGAACTCACTGATCTCGTTGTCGATCTCGACGGCCAGGTTGTTCGCCTCGACAATCAGTTGATACTCTGGATCGGCTTCGACTGGCCCAATCACTGCAAAGAGAAAAGGGTCCCACTAACACACCGGCCACTTATCTTGTGGGTTATAAACGGATTAAAGAAACTTTTTGGGTGAGGCGTTGCAATTGAGTCCTGTAGACTAATTATGACCTACCTTCTTCTTTGCGTCCATGTTCCTTCTTCTCTTTTATAGCGTTCATCACATGAGCCAACTGCAAAAAAAAAGAATAATAATAAGAATATTTTAGAGAAAGCACTTTAGCTCATGGCAAGTTTACACTAGGGCAGATTTAGAATAACCAAAAATTGGGATGGTTGCATCTGTTCAAACTATGCATGCGCAACCCTGAAAAGGCCGATTCAGAACAAGTGACGAGTGTGCGTTTATGTGTGCACTAGTCACTCAGCCATGCCATGGCACAGGTGCAGAAGCTTTGACAGCATCACCCCAGGAACCTATCCATGGGTACAGTTAGGTGGTATTCACTGGTCACCACGGCTGTAGTTTACTGTTTTTCTTTTCCTTTAATTGGACATTAGTCAACTCTTCACACAAAAGCATTGGCTAGGTGGTGCAAGCCGCCACCTGATTAAGAGGGTTCAGCCACATTCATCCATCCATCCAGCTGAGCGCGGGCAGACGGTGAGCCTCCACAATGTACATTCCACAATGTCATAACTGCTGTTCTTGGCAGATAATAAGAGCTTATTCTGAGCATGAGCTATGAACTAGCCCAACTGACCAGTTGCAAAGAATTATGGGAACACCCTGTATGCTTCCCTCTGAGAGAGGGTAGGGCAGCTGCACTCCTGCCCACACCCCCATGCCTACGCTGCCTCCATCTGCTACAGCCGGTTCTATATAGCCAGCTCCCAGAACTCATATCGGTGTCATGGATGGCACTGGACGTTTGGCAACAGGCTTTGCAACAAGTGCAGCCATGCAAACAGTTAACAGCTTCACTTCGAAAGTGATTTTCTCGGGATTCAGGAGCTTCATCTAAACTCGGGAGAATTAGAGGACGTCAACAATTGCTTCACAAGAGACTTTTGAATGAAGCATTGAACATGCTTCATGCATAACAGCCTGTCAAGAGCACAGCTTAGGAAATGGGCTGAGAAGTAAGACAAGTGGTTTCAAAGACGGTGCAGTTGACTCTTTGCATGACTGCACGTGTTTATAAATGCGCACAACAGTACCCAAAAATTGTGTGCACCTTCAGCTATTACTTTCCCCAGTAGTTGCTATCAAATATCTGATGAACCTGCTGTGGCCAATTGGAATCTCGGGCCGCCTCCGCTGAGGCCAATCAGTCTGTAGTGACCAATCAAAATCTTTAGCGGACAATCGGGATCCATAGCGGGTGCACAGGAGCCAACCACGGTTACCTCTTCTGAGTCGCGAAGTTTGGCGATGGCTCTGACGGACTTGGACTTGGTGTCGACCTCCAACGGCATGACATCTTCCACTTCTTGGATGTGGGCGTCCTGTTGATAAAGCTGATCTTCTTCGAAATCTCCGGCATCTTCGAGATCGGCCAAGAGCTCCTCGGCCAGAGACATGCTGACGTTTTAAATAACCCTGTGACAAGAAAATTTACGCGAGAACCTGCCGCATTCAGGCTCTCACAAAACTAGCTGATAGAACACGTCCACGGTGGTCGTTTCGAAATCTGTACGCCCTTAGTACTTCAATAAAAAGGACTTCAACACGGAGCGTTCTTCGTACGTTGGACGAAGTGGGGCTTTCTTGGCGAAAGCGTCATGCACCTAACGCACGCACTGCACGCAACCAATCGGATGTAAGTATGAATAGACAAACGCACGAAGTTAGATGCGAATGGAGGGGTAAGACCTGTGGGTGGGATAACGAGGCTGGCAGCGCCTAGAGTCACTAAATAAAGCTACGCTTTGGAGTACTGCAGCGTTGCGTTTCGCGGCGGCGCGAAGGCAGCCAAGCAACGTTGGGCAGCAAGAGCGCGAGATTTCAATGCTGACCCCAGTGGCTGACCCCGTAAGTGATGACGTCACAACAGGGCGTCTGGGTCCAAACAAACCGTTGCTAGGGGCGTTGGTATGGACTAATGCATGGAAACTCCACATGAGGCTAGATTTTTGCTTATAAGTAAGTAAATAATTTTTAGTAAGCAACCTAACTTCTTGATATCTAATTATGAAGATGTTCTTGTCATCTCAGCGTCGTATTGCAACGATGAAAGCCATTTCTGAAGTATTCCACTCCGCTTTGCTTCGGTAGCAGACGACACGATAGATTTGCTGCATTCAAGTGCATCGCCAAGGCCGCAGAGGCCTTCGCAATGTGCGTTTTTTTTCTGTGAAGAACCCAGCTTTGTTCAGAGGGGCGAAAATTCCGTAAAATCAACCCGCGTCATGCAGATCATTTACGACGACGACCTGAAGTGCATTACCGGCGTAGTGCAGGCCAGCATGAGAAACAAATCGTACACCGTCAAGGTAATTCGTTTGTTATTATTAATATTGAGGTTCTCAGGTTATTAAAATATTGCATGTCTATCGCAATTGCGCTTTTTTTTACATTAAATTTAGTGGATGTGCTCTCTCGGTGAAGATCTCCATCGATGTAGGTAGATGGTAAAGAAAGAGGAACATTTAATATCTGTTTGTCTTAAATGTTCATCTTTCCTTATCGCAAATCTTCATCGAACCCGCGATGAGAGTACAATCTATAATAAACTCACCTTATGTTTTTCATTCAGTTTTTTCGCGTTTTGGGGTTTTGCGGAAACCTAAAGAAACTGCAAGAATCTTTCTCCACGCGATGGTTACAACCAGGTACGAAGCAACCTCCCATAGCGCGAGTCCGCAAACAAAATTTGGGATCTCTACCGATCACCTGAAGTGCTTTTCCCACGGGTGCATTACGATCTTTTAGCAGACGATCATCTCGATCGACGCCCGGACTTTCGATAAACCATATTTTGCATAGCACCCCATTATGAATTCTTATAAAAGTCTGAAACTCATTCTTTTTCAACCAAATGCAATATCAGAATATCGTCTTTATTCACCTGATTCAGACGCCGGCGCCGGCTTGGTCGGCGGGCGTGTGGCAGACGGCATTCTTGCATTCGTCGTCTGCTGAAGGCATCTTGAGGACCGGAAGGTGCAGTCGTAAATATTTCAGAAACAAGCGATTACCGGCACACTTCTGTCGAAACATATATGACATTCAAGCTTTCTATATCTGTGATTTTTAGAAGTTTAAATCCTATTCCCGATTTTTGAACGGTCGGGTTTTCGTAGCAAAACCTAGCCACATGTATTTGTCCATAACAACGACCCTAGCAACGGTTTGTTTGGACCCATGACGTCACACTTACGGAGTCAGCCTGAGTCAGCCGAACTTTTGCCGATCGAAAGTTCGGCGCCAAATCTTGGGATTCGGCGAAGCCGAACTTTTGCCGCACTTTTCTAAAGATTCGTCAAAAATACATGGTTACCAGACTTAACGTTGATATTTCGTTTTTTCTGGCGAAAAAAGGTTTTTGGTTCTTTTTTCCTAACTTTTCCTAACTAACCTAACCCCCACTGATTTTAAAGGATGGCCTGAGACCCCCCTCCACAGCCCAGTGAAATATAAATATATCTTTCAGTAAATAGCTTTGTTTTCAGGGATGTAACATTTAATTCAGGATTATCAATTTGAGGGTTGCAGGTGCAGAGTAGGTAGAGTCAGCAGCGGGGTTTATTTTATGTGCATTTAGTACATCCCCCCCCCCCCCCCAACCTTCTTGTAGGGACCCCCCCCAGCTTGCGGGAGACTTTAAGACTTTTTGACTGGTTTTTAATTTGCACTGAACCTGAGCGTACTGAACGTAGTAACTTAACCCAACTTTTCTTTTCTCAAATTTCGCTTTATTTTAAAAGTTATAGGCAAATTAGAACTACAAAAACAAGCAAAAAATAACCTCCTTCATGACGTCGTAGGTCCTGCCTTGAGTGGCCTTGAACTAGAGGAGGCATAGAGATCATATACTAAATCTAGAGGAAAAGGTCCGCCATTTTCCCATACATTCTGGCTGCCGCAAGCGGCGGACCATGCAGGCAGACCCTCTGGGTCCCAAACACGGTTACATCATCAGAGCAGTTTCGTGAACTTCAACAATCCACGAACTTACCGGTGGAAAAATACTCGCGTTCCTTTCGAAGGTTTCTTTTTGCATAGCGCGCAGATGTACGGCCTCGCGTTAACGCTAAACTAAACCATATACCCGGCTTCGCTGGTGGGGCGCGGCTGGGCGTGGTTGAGGAATACGAAACTGCGCAACCACCAGATTTCCGAGATTTCCACAGAAGGGAAGTTAATGCAGCGTAATGACTTTATTGCTTTTTATAAGCGTTAGAATAGCTCAGAATTTAGTTTACAACGTTAAATTATCACTGTTTATATTGCTGAGAGTTTTCACTCCTCGCGTTACCATGGCAACGTTGCTTTCTTTCTCTCGTGTTCTGTCGCTCTCTTTCGCGATCGTTCACTCGGGACCCAGGATGTCGGCGCACGGGATTTGCCACTCCTCCTCACCCACCTTTACCCCCCTGAGAGGAGGAGTAGTGAGCTCATCGAGCGCACACGGCTGCCGCACTCCGTGTCGACGGCTCGAGAGGGCGCCACTAAAGCACGTGTTGGATAGGCTGTATGAAGCGGGCAGCCACGGCGGCTCGCATTGCATTTGCTGCGCGATTAAACACTAATTCGGCATGACACCTCATTGGCCACAAACAAGAGCAAACACGGGGTAAATATCAGTTCAGAACGAGAGCCACTTCGCGCTGCCATACCGCCAAACGGCCAAACAGCAAGCCAAACCTTCTCACCGAAGGCCTTCGGAACGCTCGGATCCTCAAGCCCGTATACGACCGCAGCGCCGCCGCGTACATCCGGGACCTTTCTACGCTTGCCGCTCGTCGCTGCCTGATCCCACTACACCTTTCTACCGGGTGAAACAAGGAGACGGTAGGCTCTTGAAATCGACCGGAAAATTCGGTTTCTTAACCTATCGCGCTACGACTTTGAGCAGCGTTGCCCACAGATGGTGCATTTTTTTTGTAAAATTTGCAAAGAGCGAACTTACCCGAGGAAAAAGTAAAGAAAGAAAAAGGCTTAGCTCCTATGGAAACGCAGCGACGCCACCGGTCTGCAATCAACACGGCGCCGTTTTGCACGGTAGACAAGAGATGGCGCAACGAACGCCGCCAACGAACGAGCATACGGGCGCCGAGAGCCGGCCGAGGTATTCCTCAAAGGCTCTTTAGCAGACATCTTTTCGACTCAAAAGCGGCGCGCGTTCCGCAGGCGGCGACAGTCGCAGAAACAAAAAAGACAGGCGCGGTAACAGCAAGGAACTGCAGTTCCTTGTCTGCTAATTACGCCGGCTCTCGGCGTCGTCTGCTCGTTCGTTGGCGGCAGTTGGCGTCGCGACCGCTTGCGCCATCTCTTGTCTACCGTGCAAAACGGCGCCGTGTTGATTGCAGACCGGTGGCGTGGTTGCGTTTCCATAGGAGCTAAGCCTTTTTCTTTCTTTACTTTTTCCTCAGGTAAGTCCGCTCTTTGCAAATTTGACGAAAAAAATGCACCATGTGTGGGCAACGCTGCACAAAGTCGTAGCGCGATAGGTTAAGAAACCGAATTTTCCGGTCGATTTAAAGAGCCTACCGTCTCCTTGTTTCACCCGGTAGTGTGCGCCGCCTTTTTCACCGCTTGCTGGCGTGTATGTCGGCGGGTCATTTCTTGTTTCCGAACTTTTTAAACTTCATTTGTTCCTTTTCATATCTAAAATACTGAACAAAATCTACCTTTATAAATAATTGAAACGGTTCGCGCCACTTATATTTTGTATTTCGACTAAAATAAGCTTTTAGCGGATCTGACCAGTTGGAAGCCCAGCACCAAAGACTTCACATATCGCGCGTTTTCGGCACCGCGGGTCGCCCCCGTAGGTGGAGGAGGTTTAATTCCGCGTCGTCCGGTTAAAATATGAGTGTATGACGCACTGGTATTTAGTTACTCTCTCCGTGCCCGCTGGCTTGCCCGAACCCCAAGAAACGTGGAAACTGCAAAAAAGGTAGACGCCTAAATATGATTGCAGGGCCCCTTTAGAACACGCCGAATTTAATATTTCCATATTTCTATATGTATTTAGGATTTTAAGTCGCGTTCTCGAATGGTTGTCTTTTTCCTACACTTCGAAGGGCGGGAACTGTGTGTGAACCGAGGACTGAGAAGTGTTTTGAAAGCACTAAATAAAAAAGAATTACTATATATTTGCCATCTTGCGGAGGATGGGTAGACTAAATTGCACAGTTTCACACGACATTCTGAGAATATTTCTTTACTTACCTTATGACTTTTTTTAATTCCAGCTTTTCGTCAAGGTGCCGTGAGGTGCCGACGAAACGAAATCTGCGTGGCAGAAGTTGTAAGCAATAACAGACATACCATTTGACCGCCGATACCGCAGCTGTAGATTCGTTATCGAATACATAGCTGGTCTGCGCACATGAGGGTGCGGCGATCCCCGTGAATCTCATTAGAATTGCTCCACATTTTCTTTTCAAAAGTCCGCGCGAATGCCTGTCCGCCATCGGTTGATCGCACACTGAGCATTTATTGGACACGCGGGCTGCCTCAGCGTTTGGCGGGGATACAGTGGACTAGAGGGTTCTAGTGGCGCGAGGGGACGCCTGGGAGCCTGGGGGAGGCCCTTCAAGTGTAGAAAACCTGCGGCGGCGCTGTAGTCGACCGCTCTTGAAACTTGAAAGCGTCTCTTCGCATCGTAGCGGTCGTAGCCCTGCTGGCTCTGCGTCCGTTCTCTCTTCGACCGGTGCTCATGTGCGCGGAATGTTTAATCACTGGTCCGTTGCTTTTATACTTCGTCTCAATTGAACATGGAGTAACTGGAAAGACTACAAAAGCGAGCGCTTAGCTTTGGAAGGTACTCGCCGGTTTAGAGTTT